GGGGGGTGCGATGTGAGTGCAATTGGAGGGGAGGGGAGGAGGGTGCGGAGAGGGTGGGGGGGGACGGCGTACCCGCGCGTTGTGCAGCACGCTCTCTTGCACGATAGGCGCGACCTGCAGCTGGCGCTCGTCGTGCATCGTGGCCTCTTGGACTCTGCTCAGGGCGGGCGACGGAGGTTTCAAGTCGGTCGTCGGTCGGCGGAGGCGTGGAAGGTAGGTAGAGTGGGTAGAGGGTCTAGGTGTGGGTAGCGAGGAAGCTGCGGCCGGAGTGATTGCGTGTGTATCTCCAGGATCTTCCGCACAGGGCGAAGGGCGGTGCGGCGTGATAAGGGACAGGCGAGGGGCGGAGATTGCGTGGTTGATGCGTGATAGTAAGGTCACGAAGTTGCTTTGTGTCGGGGAATCCGTGAGTGATGCGCGCGCACGGACGCCCCCAATGCAATGCCTGAGGCTCGGCGCGGTGCTGATCATGATCTTCCTCTTGGTCTATTTTCTGTCTGAGATGATCCCACTCAAAGTTATCAGGGTTGAGGGTATGCTGATGATTTGCGCTGATCTGGGAATCTTTTCGGCTTTGCATCATCACCGGTACCGGCGATTTGCATTGGTCGTGGGTACTTGTCTACCTACTCCGTACAGTTACACCTCTACCTAGCTAACTTCCGGCCTCTTCTTCTTCCCCCATCGCCGTCAGACCTAGTCCACCAATGGCCCATACTCGTCCAGATAGCTAGATAGAACCCGTTAGCCAGTCATCCTTTCGCAGAAAAAAGTAGAGGGAACTCACTCTTCGAGATGCTCCGGCAACTCGTGCCCCATATCAACCGCCATCTTTAGGTACTGCAGCGCTCGGCGGAAGCAAGGCTCGCCCGCACGTTTGCCCGAGACATTCCCTAAACTCATGTACGCCTCGGCTGCCTATACGCACACACCCAACTGAATTAGCTGTCGTCCTTGCCATGCACACTGTGAATCACTCATGCCCACCTTTTCCAACAACTCCCCCTTGACACCCTCGCGTGCCGTATGCGCCGCCTGCACAGCTCGCGCCAGATAGTCCGACGAAGGCGTTAGCAGGCCCCGCGCCTCGACGGCGTCAGGCGCCCCGAGCCGCGCGTCCGACACCGCTGCGTTTGCGGGTGCCGATTCCTCTGCAGCATGGATGCGGGCGAGGGCTGGTTGAGCGCGGAAGAGCCAGTATTCCCCGAGGCCTGGGTTGGTCAGCCGTGTGTTGTGGGAAAGAATGTAGGAAAGGAAAGGAAAGGAAAGGAATTGTACTACCTCGTAGCGCGGCTGAGCAGTTGGCCTGCCGCTCCAGCACCAGCAGCCACTGGCTCTGGCACCAGTTTGCAATGTCGGCCGTGGCAGCAGTGGAAGAGGGGTTGTCGGCGTCGGCAAAGGCAAGGGCTTGCAGCGCGGCAATGATGTAGAGACGCTCGGGGATGCTAAGAGAAGGGCTGGCGGCGAGGGCTGGTATGACGCTGCGTGCTGAGGGCAGGTAGGTCTGCCACCGGTCTGGGTAGGAGGCCAGCATGGTGTAAATCTGCGCGGCCACGTTTTTGCAGGAAGAGATACGTTGTGCTTCGGCCATTTTGATAGTGGGGAAAGAGCTGTGGAGATAATGATGCAGAAGAGACAGAAGACTTTGGGGTCCGGAGCAGATTGAAGATCAAAAGGTCAAGATGGACTTGCTGTTATATGTGCATGGCATTGCGAAACTATGCTGCGGCTCGTAGTTGCTTACAGTGACGACTCCATCGTCATGGGCTCGATATGCTGAGATGAGCGCGGATTCTAGACGAATACTGAATGCAGCCTTTGGCTAGCTACATCTAATCAAAGAGCAAAGGAGTGGGCAGTTGGGCATCTCCAGAGGCTCTGAGAATGGCCAGGGCGGCGTTGCTGCCTTGGGGTTGAGTGGGAAGACACATTGCCACCCGGGGAATACGTGTTTGACGAAGGCCGGAAGCGGTGTATCAATGTGGCTGCCTGGAGGAGCAGCATGTTTGAGGAGTATAATCGTCACCGGGGAGACGGGAAGAAACGAGCAGCCTCTTGATCCTATTTTTCAAATCTAGTCATCTTCAAGATGTGGATGAATAGTCGTTGAGATTTAGGGCTGAGCGGAACGGCCGAGTGGCAATGGTAGAGAGAGTCGTATAGGTCTAGTACGAGTACGGTTCAGTAATGAGCATAGATTCATGACGGCAGATAGAGCGTTTCGAGGCTTGCAGGATGCAACGTTGATAGGCCAGGCCTACGGTGGAGATGAGACGTTGCGAGTAGAGAAGACGATAGATTAGAGATAGACGCTTTCAAATCACGATGCCAGAACACAAAGGTCAACCGCACGTCATAGAAGAAGAAGAAGAGAGCATTGGGTAGAAGGGGAGAAAAGAGAGAGAGAGGAAAAAAAAAAAAAAAAAAAAAAGACATTGGCCCTGTAGAGACGGGATGATCTAGGTACTCGCACATGGTAGATACGATGTCATCTCAAAGGGCGCGCCCTGCGGTATCCCGCGCGCCCCGGTCATCACGGATTGAGTCACCCGGGTCTATATTTGTCAGGAAGATGATGCTGACGGAAATGGTGGAAGTCTGGAGAGAGGGGGATGGTTGCGCGAAATGACGGAGAGGCGCAGTCGATGGAAATTGCCATGTGCGCGTGGAACTTCTCGAAAGAAGTCGGCGGCCGTCGCATCATTCCCCGTGGGTCCAGGATCGGATGCGCCGCATGATTCCCGGTAAGCTGGATGAACGATTGGCCCGGCGAGCTCGGGGGACGATACGACTAGGTACCGGCCGCTGCGGAAAACAATGAGGCTTGAGCTGCTGCTCGCATAGTCGCGCGAAGCCGCAGCCAGGCCCGTGAAATGAGTTACCCTCTGGGGGCGCACTGCGTCTTAGGGAGGGGACCTCACTCCCCCCGTTGCACCCGCGCCAAACGACCAATTTCCTCTACGAACAAACATTGTCCGTCCCTCCTAAGCTACCTCACGCGCTCCGCCTCCGCCTCCCGCCGCCAACACCTGCACCTCGTGACGCGACCAACCACCTCGTTCACCGCCGCCCGCCGCCGCCGTCGCAGCATGAAAGCCGGATGGATAACATCATCTACGAAGACTCGCCTCTAGCGGCGTACCTCGAGGGTGCGTCAGACCGTCGCAGCGCTTGTTGCCCTCACATCCGCGTCATGTCCGCAGGAGGTTCTCAGCAAGCTCCGCTAACTCTTCACGGTGTAGGAGAGGGCACTGGAGAGACCGGATGGGTGGCTCACGACGAAGACGAACAGAAACGCACCAACGCACATGACGCACAACCCCAGTCGTTTGCCCCCCGCGGGCCCTCGACTCTGCAATCCAAGCTCAAGAAGAAGCTGCCTCGTCCTCTCCGCCTGAACCTCCCGCAGCACGGGACGGTGCACCGCCTGCATAGCGCATATTCCGTAAGCTCCAAGCCAGCGCTCTCGCAAGGACCTCCAAGCTGACCCGCGACCCCAGCGCGTCGTCGATTCGAGGCTCGGCACCGCCGACAATGCTCGCTTCCTCGAGCACTTCCGTTACATCATCGTCGCCTCGCAGTTGCTGAGCGAGCACACCGGCCAGGGCACCTTCGCCTTCCCCTCCGCTCAGGGCGGCCCCCAGGCCGTCGAGTACAAGGGCGCCTCGGTGGGTGTGGTGGGCGCCTCAGCGACTGGCGCAGGAGCTTTCATCATGGTCCTGTTGATACACTGGGCAACCAAGCGGAACGGATTCAGCGTCGGACGGCTGTTCCTGGTTGTCGTGTCACTCGGCGTCGGCCTGACGGTTGCCTTCACACATGTGAGGCGACAGTGGCTGCAGCATTTGCGGCACCGTGTGGTCAACACGGCCTCGACCCTCATCGCCAATCTGCAGACGTTTGACACTGCCACGTCCTCGGCTCTCATGCTCGTCCAAGAGGTCGAGCTGGTCTCTCGCGGCTATCGACTGTATGTCGCCTGCTCCCAAGCCACCTAACGTGACTAACGCCATTGCAGGAGCATGCCCATGCCACCAATTACCAGACTTGACGACAAAGGACAGGCCAGGCGCTGCGCGCGACTGCGGCGCATACTACGAAGCGAATTTGCAGCTACCATCCCCGTGTTCAAGGATGCTTGCGCGAAGCTGCGTGCACTTGTCGAGCCGGATGACCTCGAGAGATATCTCGACGTCTACGACATCACCACGCAGGACATGGAGGAAGCTGTGTTAGGGTACACCGAGGGCGAATTCGATGACGGGGAGAGCCTCAAGGCATTGCGCATCCTCCAGTTCCGTCTCGCCACGCTCCGAAGGATGTTTTTGAGTTCGCTGTTGGCTCTCGAAGCCGATGGAGGAAGAGCCGACTTTGGCCGCTGGCGGCCTGCCGTCGAGGTCATGGAAAACGTTAACGAGATGGTCATTAAGTGGTGCGAGAAGATCAATCGCATCCTTAGCGAAGAAGAGCGTGAGTAAAGTTGTGGTCCTTGGCAGAAGCAAATGCTGACATCAAAGTAGAATTCTCTATGCCGTCGCCCCAGCAAAAGGTCCCCGCCACGCCGGACAAGGAACGCCTCCGTTCGCAGGTACGCAAGCTCAGCGAGCTCTCGCAAGGCATCCGTGGCCTGCAAGCCAAGATGCAAGTTTTACGCGAAGAATCGAACAAAAGTCTCGAAGAATCCGTCGAAGTGACCGAGCTTGGCTCGAGCCTAATGACGCAGTACGATTCGCTCGGCACCGACCTGAAAAGTCTCGTTCAAGCATGGGAATCTGGAAAAGCATCCCTTGCGCTCAACATCGACCGACATGAGCGGCGCGTCTCGCAAGCCTCGTCAAGCGGCGGCCTCCGCTCCCCCGTCCCAAGCCTGGGCGGTCTCACCGCCGTCGAGGAGAACGGCAGTCCCTCAGACGCCCTGCGCGCGCTCAACGGCGATGGGTATTCATCAGGCGGTAGCGCGTCGGACGAGGAGGTGTTTGAAGCAATTGCGCTGCCGCGCCAGCGGAACACGATGACGCGCGATGAACGGATTGCTAAGATGCACGAGGACCGCGCGAGGCAGCAGACGCTGCGGGAGTCGCGCGAGGCGACGTCATCTATGATGAGAGAGCTGGAGTCGGTTATGGCGCTCAGGCCGAGGGGGACAGGTCGCAGGCCGGTGACGTTTGCGGGGAGGCTGTCCTCATTGTAGGAGAGAAAATGGAGAGAGAAAAAGGAGAAGTTGTTTACGGCATGGCATGGCATGGCATTGACGGCGTTTGCGCGGCGTAAAAGATACACACCACCCACGGGTACTACTCACGGCGTTTACTGGCACGAAAGGGGGAGGAAGGAACAACCAACAGATGCAAGCTGGACAAGACTTGCATGCACCACACCATCGTTTACTACCTACGCCGACGGCTTGACTCTTCTTCATTTGTTGTCGCTTTTGGCTTTCTCTTTCCTTTTTATCTTGCTTTTTTCCATTTCTTTGTTTTTTTCCCCTGGTACTTGCCTGATTACTGCCAGTGTGCAGTTTGCACACATGGATCGTTCACTGCTAACTACCGCCATGCATGCCATGCATGCACTACTGCAGTCAGACTCTGCTTGTCTTGTTTAGCTTTTGACAAAGTGCTGGGGTGGGTGTGGGTACCCCCACCCGTTCGACGCAAGCAAACAGGCAGGCAGGCAGGTCGGTGCAGGTGCAGATGTAAATACATAGGACCTCTTCTAGTGTCTCACGGATTTGATGCGAGACTTGCTCGTACATAGTGTATAACACGTCCACGTTCGATGGATAGATAGTACATATATATACATACATGTCCATATCTGATGTCGCCAATCGCAGCGCCCACGTCTTCCGAACGCACACGCACCTAGGTAAACAGCCCGCGTCCAACTAGTTCGCAGCTTGCGGCACAGTCGCACAGTGGTACGGTACGGCACGGCGCGGCACGTTACCTACGGCACCCCGCACCGGGCGTGGCGGTGGTGGCGGAAGGAGGGCTGCATGATCGCCAGGGACGGTGGCACAGTTGGAGAGGGGTCAAGGGTCTGAGGCGTCTTTCAGCAACACGATGCACCTGCCGAACTTCTCTCACACAACCTGGCCTACGCCTTTACGGGATTTAGGTTTAGGCTCATGCAGCAATACCTACTCGTAAGGATTTCTCGTAGTCATGGCTAAGGAGCTCCTGAACCGCGCGGGTGGCACAGGACATGCAGGTGTGAAAAACTTAATCGCGCCTTGGTTTGGGGGCCGGAACGAGGAGGATTTAAAAAGGCTGCTGTGGCCTTCGATTTTGGCTGTTTACCTTACCTTCCTACCTATCTACATGTTTGCTTCCTTCTGCGGGGTGACATGGTCCCGGATGAAGGCTTGAAGGATGGCCTTCCTCTGTTCACTGAAGCGGCAGAAGACGGAGTGAATGCCTGAGGCTCCTCCATTCTTCCTGCAGCTTCTCGCTCGCTCGCTCGCTCGCTCTCGCCATCTTTTCTCGACACGACACGACACGACGCCCACGCCAACGCCCACGCACCGCTCGCTCCCTGGAGATAGAAACCATCTCATCACACGCGCGCACGCACACGCCGGCTCGGCATCGGCACCGGCACGAAACGGCACCGTCGGCTCGCATATGGCGAATCGACGACGACAAGACACGGCGGCAAGAGCGGTCAGTCGCGCCATGGCAGCGCCAGACCAGCACCAGCGCCAGATCGCCAGCCACCCACCCACTGAAACCCCCTCTTCCTCGAACTTCCGAAACCGCATCCGCGCCTCGGAAGCACGACTCGGCAGTGGGATAAAGCCGGAGTTAAGGCCGGAGGCAAAAAGGGAGCTAAGGGGGGTGAATGGTTAGTAAACACGCGGCAGAGTAAACCCGCACAGGACGGGCCGACATGTACGTCGCGGACTTACGGTTGTGGTGGTGAGTGGTGAGCGGATCGGGCTGGCGGGCGCCGGTGCGCGGCTCTGGCCAGCGTCAGGGGTGGCGCGCTAGGGACGTAGTAGGGCTTCATGCCCATGACGCACGAGGACTTTGTCGCTGTTAGGAGATAACGGCCGCGCCTGCTGTGTAATGCCTTTTTTTGCCTCGTCGTGGGCGAGGGGGTATAATAGCCCGTGGCGGCGCGCGCGGCTTCGGGTTAAGAGTCTCTCTACCTACCTGATCTTTCTTCCTCCCTAGCAAACTTTTATTGCTATCTCCCGCTTCGACCGACCTCTCCATTACCACCACAACAATGTCTTCCACCGACTACAAGTTCGAGGGCTGGTGCGGCCTTGACAAGAAGGCCATCGAGGGCAACATGAAGTGGCAAGAATACGAGCCGAAGCCCTTCGCCGAGACGGACGTCGACATCCGCATCTCGCACTGCGGCATGTGCGGCTCGGACATGCACACGCTGAACTCGGGCTGGGGCGAGACTCCCTACCCTTGCGTGGTCGGACACGAGATTGTCGGCCGCGCCGTCCGCGTCGGCAAGGACGTGACGCACATCAAGGAGGGCGAGCTGGTGGGTGTGGGCGCGCAAGCCTCGTCCTGCCTCAAGGCCGAGTGCGCGCGCTGCGCCGACGGCGAGGAGAACCACTGCGCGAACATGGTCGGCACCTACGCGGCCAAGTACCCGGACGGCAGCAAGAGCTACGGCGGCTACGCCGACTACAACCGCACCCCTGCGCACTTTGTCTTCAAGGTCCCCGAGAACATCGAGCCCGCCGACGCGGCGCCCATGATGTGCGCCGGCATCACGCTGTACGCGCCGCTGAAGCGCGAGGGGTGCGGCCCGGGCAAGCGCGTCGGCATCGTCGGGCTGGGCGGCCTGGGCCACTTTGGCGTCCTCTTCGCCAAGGCGCTGGGCGCCGACGAGGTCGTCGTCATCTCGCGCACGTCGGGCAAGAAGAGCGACGCCGAGAAGATGGGCGCCACGCGCTTCATCGCCACCGACGAGGACCCGGACTGGGCCGCCACGCACGCCAACTCGCTCGACCTGATCGTCTCGACCGTCTCGTCGCCCAAGATGCCCCTGTCCGGCTACCTCAGCCTGCTCCGCTTCCGCGGCACCTTCATCCAGGTCGGCGCCCCCGAGGACGAGCTGCCCCCCTTCAACGCCTTCGCCCTCATCGCCAAGCAGGCCAAGGTTGGCGGCTCCCTTATTGGCTCTCCCAATGAGATCCGCGAGATGTTGCAGCTGGCCTCCAAGACGAACCTTAAGCCCTGGATCCAGCAGCGCCCGCTCAAGGACGCTAACCAGGCTGTCGTCGACTTTGAGGCCGGCAAGCCGCGGTACAGGTTCGTGCTTGTGAACGAGAAGCACGCTGAGAAGCAGTAGAGCGGTGTGTCGAGGATGATAGAGCGAGCGTGCATGCTTGATATGGGATAGAAGAAGTTGTTTGGACAAAAAGCCTTAGATTATGATAATGTCAACTAGATGGACGTAGAAGTCCAGTCACACCACCTTTTGCCGAAATCCCTGTCTGTGTCCGTGTATATCCTCAACGTGCAGTTATGAAAGGTTTAGAACATACAGTAGACGCGAAGTCTCGTCCAGACGGAAGTCGTTCAGGCTATATTGAAATGGCATCTCGGCAGCTGCACAAAAAGTGCTCTGACTCTATCAAAAGACGTCCAATTCATCTGCCCCTGACGTAGTTTGTACAGCTGCAAATCAACCACGATCAACCATACCTAACCTCACTCATACAGATAAAAAGCCCTCCCTCAACCCCTCTTACATTTCCCCCTCCCCTCCCATCTCTCCATCCTCTCTACTCGACCACAAACGCATCCACCCACGGCTTTCCCCCAACCCACCAAACCGTAACAACATTCCTCCCCTTCTCCCAAACAACCTCAACGCTCTTCTCCTGTGTCCCCTCTCCTCCCTCATCAAAACTCACGACGGTCCCGTTCCCTTCACCCGCAAAATTCACCCTCACGCCCACCTCGCCCGGCCCCCGTCCCGTCAGCCGCACGCTCCCCGTCCCTGCTTCAGGCACGACCACACCCCCGACCTCGACCCACGCGCCTGTTCCCAGAGCCACGCCCCCGTCTACGACGCTGCTGTTCAGCCCGCTGGCCGTGCCCTGGAAGGAGCCGATGAAGGTGCCTGCGAGCCCATCTTCTAGCTCGTAGCGGCTCTGCTCTCCTTCCTCTTCTTCGTCATTATCGGTTTCAGGCACCCAAACCTGCACCTCCGACAGCGCGACGGCGTAGTGCAGCTGGTTGCGGAGCGTGATGCTCAATCCCGCAGTTATGTAAAGGACGCCCTCACCATCGGCAGGGACGTCGTTAGCCGAGGCATCTGTCCCGTTCGCCGGCGCCGTGAAGAGCAGCGTGTTCAGCGCGTTAGGGCGACAGTCGGACCAGGGGTTGCGCTCCGCGAGTACGGTTCCGTCGAGTGCGGCGACGCGCACGGCAGCCGGGCAGGCGATGACGCCGCCGCCACGGACGCCGCCATCGCGCTCGTCGTCGGCGTGGACGGCGAGGCTGACACTGCGCAGGGCGCGGGCCCGCGCCAGCGTGACGTTGACCGTGTTGGTGGGCGTCGTGCTCTGGTTGTTGGTCCAGCGGTTGTCGGGCGTGCCGTCGTACCATACGAGACCGTCGATGAGCTTCCAGGCCGGATAAGCGGCGACGTCGCCGTTGGGCGACCAGGTGTAGTCGGACGTGGCGGCGGGGAAGCCCCAGGGCGTGTTTGGGTTGGCGAGGATATTGGCGTGGCGTGGGCGCGCGGCGAGGGCTGCGATTGCGCTGCTGCGGTTGCTGAGCGGGATGCTGAGGGCTTGGAGGGAGGGCTGAGTGTGGATAAGCTGCCCATCGAGGTAGATACTGAGGCCAGAGGTGTTGCTGGCGGCATAGTGTGTTCCTGTTTGGTCCCAGAGAAGCGAGAGGAGCGAGCCTGGATTTAATATGTCAGAATGTGGCTTTCAGGTAGGGAGTGCTGCGCATACCGTGGTATGGTAGGTTCTCTACAGCAAAGTACGTCCAGTTGTCAGGGACAAGAGGGCGCAGCTCTAGCTTGTCCTCCAGGTTCGGAACGATCCCGAGCAAGTTAGTGAAGACATTGTCCAGGTAGGTCGAGTGCAAATAGTGCTCGCTGTGGTTCGCAGTGTCTCCGCTCCATTGGTCGACCGTTGGGCTAAGCCTGTCAGTAAGGATGGCCTCGACGAATGTAGAGACATGTCAACTCACTAATGGCTTTCGGCAGTATACGGCACGCCACCCCTATGATTAGTCCGGACATACTTGTCGAACTCCTGATTGAAGAACTCCTTGGTAACACTGCTTTCATTCGTCCTCACCAACTTCGCTAGCACGTTGAGGTAGACAGACGTGCTAAACGGCCACGACTGGCCGTTCCAAACGCAACAGTTCGTGTTGTTTTTCCGCGCCGTGTAGTACGGGTTCGTCTGCTCAAGCGTCGTTGGGCCAAAGTCGGTCAGAAACGCTTCGGGCGTGAGGCCAGCTTCAAGGCCACGCACGAAGGTGCTGTTGGTTCCAACATCAAAGCGGTATGGGTAGTAACCAATGAGTTGGCGGCCTACCGCCGGAATGTTGCTGCCTTCAACAACATCGATCCAGAAGTTAATGTCCTGGTCCCACAATAGATCGGTCATCTTGGCTTCCAGGTCGTCAGCACGTGTAGTCCACGCTGTAGCAAGGCTATCGTTCCCAGAGAGTGCAGCTACAGAGGCGATTGCCCGTGCATTGGCGACCATGTAGCTGTTGAAGCTGGGCCGGTACGTCTCTGGGCCTAGCCAGATGGTATTGTAGTCGTTATCGAAGGAGTCCCACTGCTCCACAGGCCCGCCATTAGGCCCACCAACAGTATAGCCAGGCAAGCTGTACTCCTGGGCATCAGAAAGTGGAGTTCTGTGGTAGAGGCCGGTGGTGTTGTCGAATTGCACGTCCCACAGATCAAACATCCGGATCATACCCTCCAGTTGCGCGGTCAAGAAGTTCTTGTCTCCGGTGACCTGAGCATGCTCGTAAATTGCGCGCTGAACGTAGTGCGTGTAAGTAACGCCGTTGAGAGCCTCCGTACCACCTCGTGTGTACGCGAGAATTAAGTCTTTGGCATAATTGGTGTCACGGAGCCAACGGGCCTCAACGATATGGTGCCCCGCGGAGTCGGGAATTGTTTGAAATTTTGATGCTATGGTATTCGTCAGACGCAGTTCCAATGGATGAGGTCAAAGGAGAACTAGTACCCCAGGTCACGGGATGGATGAATTCGGTGAAAGTCCAACCATGGCCCTCATGCGCATACTTCAAGTGCCGCTTGATGACAGACGTTCGATAGTAATAGACATCTTGGACAGGTTTGTCTGGAAAGTCGACAAAAGGGATGTTGTCAAGGTACCATTGCGGGTCATCGAGATCCTGGACATAGCTCGCATGGTCGAGGAAAGAGGTCGACTTGAGCTCGGCGTCCACCAATGGGTAGGGCCTGATGGGATCTTGGGCCCTACTTCTCAGAGCCAGCAGCAAAGTGCTGCACAAGAGCGACGGCCGCATATCTCGGTAAACGGTTGCTTGTGAAACGAGCCACTCTAGGCAGGAACGCCCGGTAGCTGCATGGCGACGCTGCTCTTAATATGCGGTCCCACCGCGACAGTGGCTCGGTAATTCATTGTGTCCTGCAGCGAAGCCAAGGCCAAAGGCCATCGAGATCTTGCTTTGGCGGCCGGTTCTCTGGGGTGGTGCTCGGGGATGAAGAGTCGATTGGGATGGATGGTGCGTTGAGGGGAAACGGGTGCGGAGAAACTCTAGCGCCAATTAGAGCGACGCGTTCCTGGCTACGGCCTTGTCAACGTCGTCAGACTGCATGCCACCGGAGATGTAGGTGTGGGTAAACCCCTACACCATTTCCCGGTCCTCGGGTTGTTCTTGGATGTGGTTAGGGCGGTTCTGGAAGAGTGCTGTGGGAAAGTCCACGCCGGTCTCGTACCCGGAAGGTATATCGCACTTTACCTACCGTCAGGTTAAGGCGTCAACTCAGCTGCTGTAAAAGCAGGGATCGACGTGTACATTGCCGTTTCCAGATTTCTTCGACGACGTCTCATCACCTCCATACACGCTTTTCGCCAGCATCTTCCAACGTCTCTTTGGGCTCCTCTCCATATACCATTACCACTAAACTTCCGATGCTCCTTTAAATGTTGAGCCACGCCACCGAACAGAACACCGAAAGCTGCTCCTACAGGAGATGCTTATGGCGTTGCACTCTTCATGGGAACGGCGTACGAAAAGCAGTTATGAATGCAAACATCCCAGCTCTTTCAATCTGAGGGCTACCCATGATAAGAGAGAGAAAAGAGTGTTACCCTGATATATTTATTGCGATTCACCGTAAAAGGTAAGCAAGAAACAGCGTGGTGGGACTCGTAGATCGAACCGTGAAGACGCGTCACCAGCACAGTTCAGTGAAGGCACGAGGATACACACCAGCGCGAGCGCAGTGAGCGCTACACACAACAGCCTTGTCCCCTCGAAATCATAGACCAAAATCCACTGCCAGCAAGAGCAAATTCAGCAATTGCTATAAGGACATTACCTCCTTTAGAAGGTTGACGTTCGTCCGCCACAAGAGAGAGAACCGAAGCCACCAAAACCGACCTTTTGCCAAACCAACACCCCCTTCACCGCCCGATCACGCAATATAGGCACGCCTCTCGTTACTTTCCTGGCGCCAGCAAGGCAGCCCGCCCATCTGCCGGCCAACCAACCAGCAGCCGCTCTCGCAGGCACCGCCCCTCTGTGTTTCACACCACACCACCCGACCCCGCCCCCGCGCCTCCAACGCTGTCAACCGTGTAGCCCTGCGTGTCCACCCAGGCAGCCAGGCAGCAAGGCAGCCAGCTACCAGCCCGTCAGGCAAGCAAAGACATCACCCATTCTTCCTCCACCAGCGCACGAAGTGGTCCTTGCAGAATTCATCTTCATTCTTCAAGTCACACGCTCACGGAACCCACAGCACAGACGTCGATTCGGCTCCGTACCATATTTGCACCCCATACTCTAAGACGACAAGATCAACGGTGCCCGTGACAGGCTATGACGACAATGACGATACCCATGACGATAACAATGATGCATTTGCCGGGCTAACAAGCCAGGCTTCCTACTTTAACTAAGAGGAGCAAAAGATCCGGGGTATATCCTCGCGCGCGCGCCCTCCCGCCTAATCATCAGACTGATTGAAGTTTCCCTTTCTTCCCTCCCTCCCTTTCCCTTACTTCAACCTGCGCGCGACAACGACCTTTTGTCCTTCAACCCCTTGTCCTATGTCCAGTTTCCATAAACGCCGCGCTTTTTAAACAAAAAAAGTGATGATGAACATGCAGAGAGAAAGAAGAAGAATAGCAAACGAAGAGTAAGAGGAAGAGAAGGGCTAAGGATGTGGTGGGTGGAGAGGAGAAGAGAGTAACGGCAGAGAAAGAGATGGTATCGCTCGCGCAGCACGCTCACGCCGCAACTCCAACGTTCACCCACCCCCTTCTCACGCCCTCGAGCCACTCCGCCTCATCCACGCGCTCAAACACGCCTTCCTCATCCTTGGCATACAGCCCAGTGCTACCATACGGTCCCTTACGGCTCTGCATACGGCATAGCGGGAACTCGCCTGCCGAATCGATCTCGGCAATCTGGAAGTCGCCGTGCACGGCGCGAATGTGCGGTTCGAAGATGCAGTCCGCGAAGAAAAGCTCGATAGCCAGCTCGGCGGGAGCCCAAGCGCGAGCACGAGCATCGCTGAGCCGCCGTGCCTCCGAGAGCAGATCCCGCATCGCGTCCGCCGTGTGCGCCGTCCCGGCCCGGCTATAGTCGTGCTCGCAGAGCCGCGCGGCGCGAACCTGACAGTCGCCGGTCCAGCGCACCTCGGGGTTGGCGAAGAGAGCGGGACACATGCTCGGGACGGAAATGGAGAGCGTTTCCAGCTTGGGCATGCTCGAGAGGACGGTGCAGAGGTGCTCGTTGTTGCTGGGGGAACCGGGGTGCGGGTGAAAGAAGCCGCCGTTGCTGCGGGGTGAGTGCTCGAGCACACGCAGGGTGCTGTGCGAGGCGCGCACAATGGCCATGACACCTAAGGTTTTGTTAGTAAGTTGTTCGCGCGAGCGGAACTGTCATGTGAGGAAGGCACGTACCGTCGATTCCGACAGTGTCCAGACACGTGAGGTGAAACTCCTCCAAGTTGGTCGCGGTCCGTGCGATGGCGTACATGTCCTGATCGTTCAGTGGCATGAAAGTGGTCGTGCCGAAAAGCTTCAGCTTTCGGAGTTTGCTAAAGTCGACCAGCTCGGACTCCAAGGGCCGCAAATCAACTCGGTTCTTGGGGTCGTTGGCCTGATCCTTGCGCAGGGTTGTGGCCTGTAATTCCAGTGACTGGAGCGGCATCGGTGAGCCAACACGGAGGATATGGGTCCACTGCTCGGCACTGAGATGCCGCACCATCGTCCATGAGATGCTGACGGCGGTGAGATTAGAGCAGCAGCTGAGGAAGGAAAAGAGATGCGAGTTGGTCTCGGCGATATGGAAGCCGTTGAGCCATAGGCGGCGGACCTTCTCGGCGACGCCAGGCGTCTGGTCGAGAAAGTTGACCGTCTTTCGCAGCGTACAGTAAGGATCCCGGTAGACGGCAGCTCCGGACGGCTTCTCAATGAGCTCATAAATGCCATACGCGCCTGCGTGCGGTCAGCGGCCGGATGCGGCCCCTAGGGACATGCTCGGACATACCTCGCTTGGGGGACAACTCAGCCCATCGCTCGGCACCCTTCCATTTCCGGATGAAAACATCCTTCATGGCATACTCGAGGGCCCATTCATGCCAGCGGCGGCAGACCTCTCTGATGGCCGAGGCGGCGTCCCATCTCAGGATGTCGGGCTGGACGGGGCCGCGGACATATTTCTGGAGTGGCGGCTTGGCGACGATGGTCGGGGCCTGCGACAGACCAAAGGTGAAGGTGACACCGTCGCGCTCGTTGAGCTTGCTGGCTTCTTCGAGGATGTTCGAGAGGATCTCCTGGGGGAAGTCGTTGATGTGCATTGCAGTCCACAGATGGTGAGTTGGGGGATGGTATCGGGATCAGACAGCGTGGGTGGATAGAGTCGGGCTTGGGAGACAAAGAGGCGCCATGGCGCGAGGCCGAAGGGTCTTTATATCATTACCGGGGGGTCTTCGACGACGAAGCCGTAGACCAGCGTGAAACGCCTTCCCGCACGGGCGGTGCAACTTGTTAGTCAAGCGCGAGCAGGCCATGGGGAAGGGTAGCCACGGTCCCGATTGGACGCACGAAACTTCGCAGCAAAATGATGCTGACGCCACGTTTGCACAAAGGGACGACGGAGCGGCGCGGATGGACAGGGCGGCGTGTCATAGAAACTCGAGTAGCTGGGCGGCGTGGACCGACTACGGGCTCAGCAAAGGCGCAACGTGCAGCGGGCGTCTCGCCATCTGCTGGCAGCAGTGCAGATCCGCGGGACCATGGATCGCGACGGCTCGTTGGACGGCGGGTGCGTAGTGATCACAAGGTGCAAGAGGGCGACTCGTCGGATGCAGGGCAGTGTTTCTTATGGGGTAATAGCTTTCCCAAACGAGCGGGGGGCTCTAGTTTCATGGGGGTAAGAGAAATAGGGCCCCTCACTCGCGCGATCCTTCCGTACGTCATGTATCGTTGAATTGCGCGACTCGTGACGGCCGCCCGTCGGTGTGCGGGGAAGTGCGAGCTGCTTGCGTCACGCCGAAAGAAATTTCTCTCTCCCAAGCTCCCAACATCTTGGAAGACCCTTCTGCGGCAGAGCGGCGCCGCTAGTTAGCCTGTGTGCCCGTGTCGCAAGAGCCGCGTGGGCTCGCATACACCCACACACAACACAACACACAACCACGAGGCCCCGTGTGCCTGCAATGCATCCATCCGCACCCCTACTGCTGCTGTGCTGTGCTGTGCTTTCGAGTGATCGATAGATTAATTGCTTGATTGCTCGATTGATTGACATGCTCCCTCCCTGACCGGCGCTGGACAATGAACACCATGCGACAGGAATAGACCACCCTGCTGCCCTTTCCGCGACCTAAACAAGCGCCCCCTTTCCCCGCAAGCCTTGCTGCCGTCAGGTGACGCTCTGGCCGTGGGGCGTGGAGACTTTTTGGAGCGGGAAAAGGGGTCCGAGGAGATGAAGGGTTCATCGTCGTCGTGTCGTCGTAGGTCGTCCATCGGTGAGCCGCGGCAAGCCGCGCTGCGGTCCATGGCCCGGCGCGGGAAAGATGGACCCGAGCAAGGGAAGGAGGGAGGGCTGGAGGGCTCGGTCGCGGCTGCCCTACCCCGGACTTTGTTTCCCCACATCACATGACGCCCGACGAGGGAGCGATGGCGCGCCACACGTCGAACGACAAAACAACGTCCAGACCCCCACGGGCCCAGCCGCTTGCCGCTCGCGCCCCATCGTCGTCGTCGTCGTCGTCGTCGTCGTCGTCGTTGTGCATATTCTTTCCGAACATTGGTCTCGTGCTCTCTTTCACTTTCGGCGTGGCACTGCGGCTGGGAGTTTCGCACACGTAATATTGTCCTACGATACATTTTCTTCTATCCGTCTCGCATGCGTCCTGCCGTCTCTCTCTCTCTCTCTCTCTCTCTCTCCCTCCCTCCGAATTCGCTCATCTCCCCATCTCCGCCTTCCCCTCCTTCGCTCACCCTCTCTCTTCCCCTCCTCTTCCTCCTCACCGCCACAGCGGCGCATCCGAGCGGATAAAGGTAAAAAGCATCGACAAGCGCCGGCCGCCACCCAACAACCCATAAGGGGTATGTATGATCATACAAGCGTGATCCATATTCATCGAAAGTCTAAGAGGGGTAAAATAAAAAATAAAAAATAAAAAAGGGTGAGAAAAGAGAAGGGAATTAATCGTCTACGTTCAAGAATCGGGAAAAAAGAATGGGGTATCCGTTGCCTCCGCGCGCATCGCACTACCCATTAAAAAATGGCTAAAGGCACTCGTTGCAAGCATTACCAGCAAATAATCGGTTCGGACGAAGCGACAAAACGAGGCCGCGCGATTACAGAGCGATCATGGCCGCAGCGGCAGCGAAGGCGGCGGCCAGACCACCGGAGAGGTAGACGGCGTCAGCGCCCGAGGCGTCGGCGCTAGCGTCCGCCGTGGACGACGCCGACATGGCAGCAGCGGTGGCAGTGACCTTGGTCTTCTGGATGTTGCCGTAAGAAGTGCCGGTGGGAGCGCCGTAGGTGTAGAGGGAGGTGGTGGTGCTGGCGACGACGACGGTGCTGTCGAGCACAAAGTACGGGAAGTAGTTGGTCTCGGAGGTGTCGTCGTCGTTGATGATCTCGATGGTGTAGTCGGCACCGCGCACCGTGTTCTTGTCGACGTTCCAGGTGAAGTTGCCGTTGTTGGCAGTCTTCTCGACGATGGGCGTACCCTCACGCAAGTTCGTGCTGGAACCAGAGCGAAGCACCAGCGTCACCGTCTTACCGGCAGTGGGCTTCCACTCGATGTTGATAGGCTGACCGGCAACGGGCTGGAAGCCACTGTTCAGAAGGTTAGTATCTTTTTTTTCTCATGCAAGTCGTATTTATCCTCGTCCATTGGTAAGCACTCACGTGGTGGGAACGACGAAGGGGTTCTCAGCCGCAGCGGCAAGGGCGGCAAGGCCGGCGAAGATGATGGCGGTGAAGGAACGCATGTTGATTATGGAAGAGTCGGATTCGACGGATTCAGACGTGGTCGTGGACGTGGTAGTGGTAGTCGAAGGAGGTATTGATAAAGCTTTATGCAACTGGCACGCGCTCAAGAGATGGATGAAGCACAAGCAGCGAAGCAAGGGAGTGTATGTTGTTCCGAGAGAATGGACGGATGCTCCGAGGGGTGGCCAAAGGACGGACGGGATTATGCGCAAAGAGAGAGCGACGTTGATTCGAGGGTAAGCCGAGAGGAGCAAGCAACGAGCAAAAGCCAGCGGCCATGGGGGCACCTTTGTACTTCACGAGCAATAATCTCGCAGTCAAATGAAATGATCGCCCGCAGGGACGACAGAGCAGCAACAGCGGCGAGTCCAGGCGGGCGGCGCTCTATCGCTGGGCGGGGCCGCGGCTCCATTGAGCGTAGCGTGAAGGAAGATGCCTGCCCGGCACTTTCGCGATGCTGCGTGTCTCGCCATCCGGCACACAGGCACAAGCACACACCAACACATCCACAGTCCCACAGCATCGCACAGATAAAGGGGCGGCATGAACACTTTTTCTTCTTCACCTTCAACTTCAGCTCTCCATGTGTTGTTGACGCGACACAAAAGAGGACGAGGCAGCCATGGCCACCCCCATTCTTGTGCACCACGCATCGAGGCGCAGCAGCGCCTCCCTCGACCACTCCTCCTCCTCCTCCTCCTTGCTCGACGCTCGACGGCAATAATAATCCCCCAGTGCCAACTGCCATGTGCGGGCTCCTCCAGACGTCGCTAATGCAGGGGCGCGCCCCGTCGGCGCAAAGCTCGCCTCGCTGTTGGTCGCCTTTACCCTGCAGGCGCGGCCCGAGCGCCGCCCGCCGCGGCTCTATTCTGCCAAGGCAGCTGCGAAGCCGGGCTCGTCTGGGCCCGCGTCATCGGTCGCCTCGGTCCTCGAGATTCCCGGGCAGGCTGGTGTATTAGATAGAGAGCGTTTGAAGTAATAAATTGTATGTATCCACCTAGATGCCATGTCGTCCCAGTAGCGCCCGTAAATGTCTCTCGGCTGCGCTGCGCAGCCGCCGCCTGGTGGACGGGATCGGCGACAGATACGGAGCTCGTCGACGCTGATCGACTGGCTATCTGCTGCCCGCTGGGCAGATCCGGGGAAAGCTAGTTCCAGATGGATCCTTCCCTTCTGCCATCTCTCTGCTCGCCAATCGACGACGTGACATGTCTGCCCCCTATCCGACTGCTAAAACTGGTTTCCATCCAACGCTCCTCCCAACCCGCCAGCCTAGATGCTTCGCTGCGTCGGGCGTGGCCGGCGCGCCGGGTCACGCGTGCGCGCACCACCGTCGCTGCGGCCCATGCCTTGCGCCTCGCGAGACTTGCCCAATCTCCGCGGCACCCAACAAGCTGCTGCATGCACCACCGATCTGCACTGCGCTGCGAGTTCGGCGCAAACTCAAAAAAAAGCTCAAAATCTGCATCGTCTTCTCATATTTCCGACTGCGAGCGAGCCACCACCACAAACCGCCGAAAGGGGCCGTAATGACTATCCGCAGCTCGCCGCATCGTTCTCGTGATTAACTACTAAGGTATACGTGGTACAATCAAACCCGATAGACATTACAATAAAAGTCCTCCCTGGCCCTGCCGTCATCGCCGCCCAGTGGGGGAAAACATAAAAAGTTAGCTCGTAACTTTAACGTAGCATACATAGTACAATTCGTGAACCGAACCCGCAAAAAGCCAACTGTTCGCCGTTAAATGCTCATGCCCGTGCCTGTCCGTACCACTCGTCTAGTTGAGGTACGCCATGGCAGCGAACGCGCACAGAACAAGCGCCATGGGGCTAGCGGAACGGGCGACAGCGGCGTTGGTCGACGAGACCACGGCAGCGCTGTTGGTAGGCGAGCTGGTTGCGTCGGAGTCGTCGGAGGTGGTAGCCGCGGTATGCGTGACCGTCGACGTATGCAGGCCGCTGCTCGTCGTGTTGGCGGGCACCGACAGAGTCGAGAACGCGGCAGCGCTGACGCTCGCGTTGGCAGCGGCACTCGAGACGGCGGCAAGGCTGGAGTTGGCCGACGCGATGACGGAGGAGAGCGAAGACGCGGCGGCAGTGATGGAGGACGTCAGTGCAGGGAGAGAGGCGGGGCTGCTAGCGATGATGATGTTGCTGGAGCTGGCAGCGCTGGAGGTAAGAGCCGCGACAGAGGAGCTGGCAGCAGCAGTGGAGCTGGCGGCAGCACTAGAGACGGCAGCAGCGCTAGACGTCGCGGCAGCGCTGGAGCTCGCGGAGCTGGAGGCCTTGACGGTGCTGTCGACGGGGAACAGGTTCGAGTAGTTGTCCTCACTGCCCTGCTGGATTTCCAGGGCGTAGTTGCCGGCAGGAAGGCTGGTGTCAACGGTCCAAGTGAAGGAGCCGCCGGTTGCCGAGTTGGTCAGGATGCCAACAGTACCAAGCTGCTTCGGGTCACCCGAGCGCAGAATGAAGGTAACGGGCTGAGGTACTTAGTTAGTTGCTGCTCTACTACGTACAAATTTGTTTCACGCGAGCAGGCACTTACAGCATTAACGTCGGGAGCAACATAGTTGATGGTGTAGGTCTTGCCGGCCGTGATACCAGCCGGGACGTCGGCCGGGAAGAACAGCGTCTTGCTCTGGGCGGCAGCCGACGAGACGAGGGCCAGAGCGGCGAAGAGGGTCTTCTTGAACTGCATGTTTGAGATTGTTGGTTGAGAATGGAAAGAACGTCGGTGTTTGGAGAGCGGGTAGGCGCGCAAGGAGCGTGGTGGTAGAGGGAAGTAATTACTCTGGCGGAAAAGAACGTGGTGACGGAAGGGATAAACAGCTAGTTAAAGAATGGATGCTCGCATTCACCCGGTGGCACAGCGACGTCGCAATCTCTGTCGTTGAGCGTGACCCGGCCAGCGCAGCCAACGACTATCGCGGGAGGAGCAGGACGGGCAGGGCATGTTAAATGACACTGCCCCATCCGGCCTAGCCCCGGCCCTAACCCAGCTCTTAACTGGCCTGCTGGTGAAGATCCGCCACCAACGACCCACGCCTTGAACCTTCTTCCTCCGCTGTCTCTCATCGCAACAGCCCTGTCGCTGCTTGGCGCTGCAGCAATCTCCGGCATAGGTGCATGCCCTGGACCTGGTCCGGGGCCCTTTTCCACCTCTCCGCAGCCGATACGGCAGCTCGAGTCCTGCTGACCTCATCATCCCCCATCTCCCATGCATGCAAGGGCGCTGCGACGCGCCGTCCCTTGCAGGCGGCTGAACCGCTCTCGCCTGATCCGTGTAACCTCACCGCTCATGCTGCCTCTGCGGCGTGAAGGAACGCTCCAATCCGTCCCGTTGCATTCGCGGCTTGACGCCAGTATAGACGACTATTGCTTTTCGCAAGGGCCTGAGCCTGAACCTGCCCGCCTGAGGCGACGCTCAATAATCATCAACCCTTCACTGCTCGTTTCCTCGACGTAGGACCAATGTCGCAGCCATATGGCTTTTCATCACCCAGCCTGCAGGAATGTTGCACCGCCCAGGGTCGAGGGTCCTTTGTCTTGTCGCATGTCATGCGAGGTGAGATGAGGAGAGGTGAGAGGAGCGTCGTCGGTAGTCCGCCGGCGCATTCGAAGGCTAGCGTGACAGACTGCGCCCGTTCGCCAATCCAAAAGGTACCGTGATCAACAACAACAACAACAACAACTCTACCAAATGCAAAAGCTGTCCATTCAAACACTACTACAGCTAGAGAAAAAACAATAAAATATGAAAGATGCCCTGAGTCGCCGATGGGTATGCCGCCAGCCCCAAGACTCCGCCGCACCAATGAGCATGAGAACCGTCCACTTCATAAGCAAAACCTTATCATCCGACCCTATCATCGTCTACCGTCATTTCACTATCGTGTCCCGCATCAACGCCACAATGGCCGCCTATCTAGTCCCGTTGACTCCGTTCGGCGCTTGAGTGAGGTCCAGTCGCTGCACCCACTTCTTGACGCCCGCCCACTCCTCTGCTCTCACACCGTCAAGTCCACCCAGCTCGCTGCCGACTTCGAACACGCTCACCACACCGTCCAGACCGCCCGTTGCGATCCTCTTGCCCTCATGCGGCTCCCAAGCCAATTTGTTTAGACTCCTTGCCATGAAGCTGCGGCCTGTCTTGTCGCTGGGTGTCGTCTTGGCCACTGGCACCTCGACGTCGACGTTGATGTCCCACACCTCCAGGCTTCCCGCGCCGTCGACGAGCGCGAAGACACCTGGGTGCACCGGACTCCAGCGGGCGTCGTAGACCAAGTCTTCGCGCACAAATTCGTGCAGCGGGGTTTGCGCTTGTGGAGCCCCGGCCACACTGATAGTCGCTGTCGCCGCTGGAGGCCGCACCTTCCACAGTCTGACACTCCAGTCGAGACTGGAAGACAACACCAAGTCGCCGAGATCGATGGGGCCACGCGCAGGGTGGAAGTCCAACGACATGACGGGGGCTGCGTGACCACGGTAGGCAACACGCGTGTCGACACCGGCTTTGGCACCGGCGCGGTCGTACCGATGGCATGGATAGATGGAGCCTTCCTCCGAACCAGCGAGGAAGTAGGTCGGGTCGGCTTGTGGGAAAGCTATGCACGTCGGCGCCATGTCCTCAGTCTTTGCAGGCGGCGGCGTGGTGAGTTCGAGATATTCTTGGGGTTGTGAGAGCATGTCCACGGTCCAGCCGCAGACGACACCATCGGTCGAGCAGGAAATGATATTGTTGGCGTTTTGGGTGCCAACAATGTCAATGGAGTAGACGGGGTGAGTATGTCCGGACCCTGTGAGTGGTGTCTTTTGGACAGGCGTGGATTTAGCTCGTGTGTCCCACAAGAGCACCTGACCGCTGTAGGCGCCACCAATGATGAGATTTGGGTGGAAAGGTGAGAACTGCGCGGTCAAGATATCAGACTGCGCATGGAAGATGTATTCGGGGCGGTCGTGCATGTGCAGATTCCAGACTTGGACGAGACCATCCGGATCGTGGGGTGCTGAAGGGTTCTTCGTGTACGCGGCCAGAACCAGCTCAGGGAACTTTCGAGTTGTTAGCTGCTGCAAACCACATAATACGAAAGCGTGTCAAACCTTTGGCGAGAAGCTCAGGTCACTAATCATACGCTTCTTGCTCCATCGCTCGTCGTAAAACTGCACAATTTCCCGTACCCGCCTGCCCTTCTTGCCTCTCGTAAAGCCGTCATCATCTTCGTCAATGTCGTCCAGTGCGCCCAATGCGTAATCAGCGAGAAGATCATACTCCTCGTCCAGCGCCCTTTCAATGACCTTGGTGGAGCGTTCAACGAAGTCCAGGAATGTGTCCGAGGAGGTGACGGCATTCAACTCCTCATCGTCCAGGGTCCGCGAGGGGAATTTGGGCTCGGCCGGTGCTGCAGCCGCTGCTTCTCCGTCAGCACCTAGAGATTGTAGGGCCTTGAGCTCCTCCTCAATCTCTTTGCGGATGTTCTGCCGCAGCTCTTCATCCCTCTCTCGTTCGCGCCTGCTCAACCTCTTGCTAGCCCTGTTCTTCTTGGACGGTGATCCCCATGGCTCGTCCTCTGGTTCCGACTCGGACGGGCGTCGTTGCGGAGGCGTCCAGGGTTCGGATGTCTGGACACCCTTGCTGTACGTGATGATTTCGTGCTTGGAATCGGACGTCTCTTCGTAAACGGTCGTGAGAGGGGCAATGGACAGCATTTGCGGAACCGGAGTTGCCGCAGTAGGTGGTGAGCTCGTAGTGTCGAGAGTATCAGCAACGCTAGACAACTGGCTGGTGCTGACAACAGACGTCGGCCTGCTGCCCCTTGTCCCAGCTGGGGAAGAAGGGTCTCTTGCTCCCGCGGAGCCGGGGCGGCCCTCTCCCACCAGGCTCTGGATCAGGTTGTCTAGTTCGCGTCTGCTGTCAGCGCGGCTTGGGGTGGGCGACACTAGCTGAGGAAGGCATCAGCAGTGTTACAGACAAAGTGGGCCGGCGGGCGTACCTCTGAGCCCTCGCTGGTGCTCTGGCGGCTGGCGGTGAACTCGCGCTGGCGGAGCTCGCGCTGGCGCTTGAGCTCGGCGAGCTTCGCCTTCTTGGCCAGAATCTCGTCGCGGCGCTGCTGCATGGTGGACGAGTGCTCCGACATGGCGGCGGTGGGGGAGACGGGGAGTCTAGTAAATTGTGTGTGTGTGTGGCTGTACAGTGCTGTGGCAGTGGTCCTTGTTGGCCCGTGGACGACGCGCCGGGAGGTCCGCGGGTTACGGAGGCAGCGCGTCGGGGGAGAGAGAGGGGGCTGCCGTGTCGTCTCTGGCAACGCAAAGTGTAAAGACGGTGATATGCGTTGGTGTTCCCCGATGGAATTGCAGCTGTCCGGGGGCTTGCCGGCAATCAGCCGGACGGGAAGAACCGCGACAACCTCACGACCGACGCAAAAGTGATCTTCTGCAGCTCCAGCAGCCAACACTTTCGCATCTCCCCTCGCCTCTATCCACCCTTAGCCGGCCGGTATCGCTCGCCGTCGCCGCAATTGACCAATCTCCACCCTCTCTCCGACATCGTCACAATGGCCTCGACGGGAGTCAACGTACGCTCTTCCCTCCTCCGCCAGCTCTCGCCAGCGACCATTGCCGCTTTCCATCGAGTCCTGCGCGTTCCCCGCCCCTGACTTCCCCGTCTAACTCCGTCTCCAGGTCCTCCGGTGGTCTGCGCTCGGCCTCGGCCTCTTCTACGGCGTCTACCACCAAGCCCAGATCTCGACGAAGGAGAAGCTCGACCAGTCCAAGCGGGAGTACGCGCACAAGGAAGACCTGATCAAGAAGGCCAAGGCCGAGTATGCCCAGAAGAACGCGCCGGCGTCAAGCAAGTCCGACAGTACGTATTCCGTTGTCCCGCCATGGCTCGCGCACAGCCGCGCGTAGCGAAGCGCTGCCCTTGGCTGACAGATTCGCCATTCACAGTCATCACCGACCCCGAGCACCCCAACTTTGACCTGGAAAAATTCCTGAAGGCCAAGGCCGGGAACTAGATGGGCTGTGCGGCACGGGAACAACGACACAAGAGAGGAAGCGTGGGGGCGTAATCTTGGACGAAAAGCGACGCATAGCGGAAGCAGCGAAATGAGATGCGATTGCGCCGCAGTCTTCCGCCATGCTGAAGAGCTCGTGGGTGTAAGACATGTACATTGTACAATATAGACTTTGTCTGTGGTCCATCCGCCCGTCCGACCGTTGGTGCGCTCATGAATCGAGTTATTTATACATCACCGGATAAACCCGCCATCTCCAGAATTCGATCGGCCAGTATATCGCAGCAACGAGGAGTTGTTCAAGATACGCTTTCGGCATTGCCGTCTCTAACGACGCCCAATCCGCGAGCCAGTTCAGCTGATGGAATGGAGATTGCCTTGTTTGAAACTAATCCCCCAGATGAGTGAATCTTCCGCTTCACTTTCTCTTGGCGTCTCGAAACATTATCCCAAGAAATACTCCCGAATTGCTCATACTAATCCAAAGCCTTAAAGAAATAAGAAACACCGGCTAGAAATATGGTCATGTCCATTTTGACAGCCAATTGAGAAAAAAACAATAACTTTTGAACTAAAGGAAGCGTAAATATCTACTTTGAATCGAATGTTTGACCCATATCTCAGGCACCTCCTCCTGCCTTCCCAATATCAATCCCAAATCTACTAACCCCCGGCTCATCCTCGTCTTGCCACCATCCCAGTCTAAACAGAAGACCTTTAAAAACTTTCTTCTCGAGCTCCCTATCACTCATCCACTCTGAACCCGATGGAATAATATTCGAGGTCATTAGATCAGAGCCCGCCAGCAAGCTCGCCACCGCTGCAATGCTGCAAGGGTTCTTCGGAAGGAGTTTTCGGGTATCCATGATGCAAAAGGTCACCGCGCTGCACACGAGCATTGCTAGCAGGAGACCTTGCAAGATGTGAGTCGAAATGGTGCTTTGCTTCAACCGCAGCGTGTCTGTGCTGACCATAGTTCCATTTATGTCAGACGCATCGTCAGAAGCTGCTCGTCTGCAGTCCATAATCTGTGCAACGACTCTGCTATACACTCTTGATACAGCATCATTAAGCTTGTGTATGTTGGTGTCGCCTATCAGTTCACTGATAGGAACTCCGTCTTTGCCGTACACCGCAAGGCCAAACACGCCAAAGAGTTCTTCGCTTGTCCGATCACCAGTGTTCGGATTGGCTAGCGTAAAATCATCAAAGCTAGTGGGCCCAGAGTTCGAGAAGACTTTGCTGGTACTTTTATCGGGCACCGGCGGCTTTTCGTTCGAAATAGTGTAACTGGGTAGGTTAAACGTAACGCTAACGTCAAGCTGCTCAATGTATGGCCAGCAAGAAAGTGCCGTCACTTCGGTTATGGTTTTGTTGACAGCTCGACCAATTGAAGCTACTATTGGAGGGGCTTCTTCGAAATCCATAATGATCGAGTTCCAGTGACCGAAGTAGCCCGTGCCGCTCCAGTCTTTGTTTCCCATAATGGTCACAGTGCTATTAATAGTAGGAATCGAGCCCTCAGACAGGTTTGGGTTGTCGATAGCCCACTGCATAAACTCTGGACTGGAGACAGAGCAGTTTGCATTCCCTCGTAAGGAAGGGACTACCACTTGTAGCTCGCTCGCATTCTTCGAAACTTCTCCGTTTGCTCTAACCTGTAGCTTCGGGAACGCCAGCTGATCATGTGTCCAAGTTGGCTCCGTTAGGTTATACGCAAGGACAAGGTTTGCCTGCTTAACGCCTTCTGAGGAAACATAGTGGGACGTATTGAACCAACCCATGCGTTGGACCTGTACTTCTTGATGGGTTTGGGTATACTCGGTATAAAACAGGCCGCCGGTTACGATTGTCAAGAAGGATGACAACATCATAGCAAATCCCGCCGCCACAACTGTATATTGCAGTTTACCCACTGCAACAAACAGTGCGTGTAAACCCAATTTTGCAAGATGGTTCTCCATGATGCTAGTTCGTGCTGGAGCTGCCCCTACACGAAGGTTGTGATAAGGGTTGAAAATCTTGATAGCATAATCAAGCATGCCGAAGAGGAGCTGGACACCGACCATAACCAAAACAGGGATGTAAGTCCAAGCATAATGTACGGCCAAGCTCTTATCAATTGTAGCAATTCCATTTTTGTCCTGTGAGTGGGCCAACAGAAGTGTCAAGGCGATCACTACTGCGATGGGAGAAACTGCAATCAGAATACGACCGGTAATGGAAACCGCGAATGGCCGCCACCATTTTATTTTATCTTCCGTGAGAGGTACGGAAGATGCAGGCTCCATGTCTGAAGTGCCAGATTCTGTAATCGCGAAGGGCGAAGACGAGTGAGGTTGGACCGACGTCTTGAACTCCCGGTGCTGAAGTCGGTTGCGGAATTCTTGAAGTTCATGTGTTCCAAGACCTTCAAGGCTCGTCATGAGTTCCGGGCTTCGGGCTAGTATTGTAGAAAGTCCGCCAATGGAAGAAGGATCCCGGGATGTCGCTACAGTAGGCGACTTCACATATAGAAAACCGGCAATCCCAATCAAGAAGGCTAGGGTCGCTTCTATGATCGAGAAGGGTACAGTACGCACGTAAAGACGCGTTTCTTCTAGAACAACTTCTCCAGATAGGTCTTCCTGAGTTGGTCTCATGAGGTAGGACCGCGCATACTGAACAGCAACGCGTTGGAAGATTTGAGATAAGGAGCCATTCAACACTGCTGCGTCAGATGTGACATCTCCTTCTGGGCCTGCTGTCCGAAGGAAATCCAATAAGTGTTCATTGATCTCTTCCTCAGCTTCGTATATCGACTGTGCAAATCCTTTCGTCAAAGTCCATCCGGATATCCCAGCAAGCTGTGATGAGTTTCCACCAACGGGGATGGATATATTCGGCGACCAGTATCCGTCGTCATCTTTGGTTAAGGTGACTGATGCCCGCTGAATTTTGTAATGAGGTTTGCAAGAGAGTGCTACTTTTGGTCTGAAAGTAGATTCCGAGATGGTAAAATTAGCCGCGGTCAGAGAGCCGGAGTCGTCGGCAGTAGAGGAAGTAGTAGGGGTGCTCGGCTTATTAGTAGAAGCGCTTAGCGAGGTACTCTGTCCATTGTTGATGATATTTGGCATAGTGGTAGAGGCTTCTGGTGCCTCGATGGTGATACTAGCGTCATCGGAAGTGTCGGGATCATCTATGGAGACAAGTTGATCATCGTTAGAATCGTTTGGGTCATCGATAGACACCAGGGAGTCATCGGTTGAGGTATCGATAACTTCCGTGGAGACATCATTGTTCGATACGCCGTTCGAGGAACCATCACGAATTGATAACGCTGAGATGTCTCTCTCGAAAGGCCTAGTGGTGCTTGTCCAATCGCCAAAGATGATGATGAACCGGTTCGCATCGTCCCCATTTTCCAGGTTTGTGCAAGTGGATCCGTTCCAGGACATGGATTGGCCCTCTTGGACAGCGACAAAAAGATTGTCACAAGTGTCCGTGGAAATCCATACATTCGCTTGTTCCGTATAGGTTTGGATTCTCCTTGGTATGGGTTCAAGCAAGGGATTTTGCTCGCCAGTAGTAGTGTCAACGGTGTTTTCGATTACGTTTCCGACCTCGCAGGTAAGATCTGCAGAGAAAACATTGACTTCCGCGGTTACGATAAACGATGATGCTATCCCATGCTATAAGTAAAGAGTTTATCCGGTTAGGAGCTAGACGTACCGGCTGGAGAGTCGAATGATTGATATGCATAAAGTGGCGTCGTGCCCTCCGGATACTGAAGGCTGTATGCAAGAGTTCCGTAAGCTACTGAGGCGGACTTTGCACTTACTCCCGCATCTGCATTGCCGTAAAATACGTTTCGGGCAATGAGTGGCGAATGGCTTTGTTTGAGAGCTGTCGGAAGGGCGATGAATAGACCGCTAGATAGGACGGTGATTAACTTGATGAAGAAAGTACCAGCTATGGCCGTCGTGACAATAAAGTGCTTTTCTTTGGCCGAGGTAAAGAGGCTGATAATATTCATTGGGTCCGTGTAATCCAAAAGGAGGCTCTTCCCAACAGGCTGTGGTTCCTGAGCCATAAGATTCCATGGTGCCATCTGTTTCGATCGATACTCAACCTGGGCCCATAGAGCTGCGAGTAATGTTGATACTGCTACAGTCTTAGATTAAGTACATGCAAATATAACGATAAACTTGCCGGCTGTAGGCCCGTAAGTCCATAGGTAATAGTATTTCGTGTTCGAGTTGCATAAGCCGGAATTACGAACGGAAACTCCATAAAGGGCCCCTAGGGCGATACCGATGGCCAAAAAAACACATATGAAAAGTATGAGATTGGTACGACGAAGAAAAAATGGGATCCATAACGGACGGAGCGAACCAGGAGAACGGTCATCCTCAGTGACTTGGGCTGAGGGCTGGCCTGTCGGTTTTTCAGATGTTTTCCTGAAGCCTGGCCACTGAAATCGCATTTTGAGGTCTGAAGAAGGAGCACATGGTCAGGCTCTAACAAGCAACTGCCTGTCTTTTGAATAGCGAGAGTAGTGAGGCACAGCAACTATGCGGTTAAGGCGTTATGCGATCTCGTTGCCTGATTTAGTCTAATTTTGGAGGTGATTGTTGTGACTATCCACTCGGGCGCGTATTCCATGAGTGGGCGCTTAATTGATCTGCTGCTCGCGTCCACCGCATTTTCTGTTTCTTGAGCCTCTCGTGCGAGAACCACGAAAATCTATGGTATGGAAAAGGGGAGGGGAAATCTCATCACAAGGAACGAACATTTTGTTCTCAGTCTCTGATGTTTTTCGAAGTAGCGCGAGTATGTAGGCGTGGTGGCACGATGGGTAGAAGTGGGGTGGGGCTGGAAAGCGAATTTGTGGGCACGTGGGGAAAGGCTCATTTTCTGCGCGGCAGCGGCAGCGGCAGCGGCAGCGCGGCTATTGTAGATGCGATGACCACTTTCTTCCCTAAGGAAAGTCTAACCCACAAAGGCGGTCAGATTAACTCTTCTGCGCCGCATCTAATCTTAAAGCTTGTTAAAACGTTCACTCTTGACTCCGTAATTCCGTAGCGATGTTCAATTAACCAACGGCTACTTATGTAACCAGCGTTGTCGTCACGCGTTGCATACGCACCCAGAAGGTGCGCGGCTGGAGACGCTGAAATGGCAGTGGACGTAGTACCATTCCACTCCCCGAGATTATCCAACACTAGCTGGCTAATTCCCTAGAGAGGTTAGTGCATGTAATTCCGTTATAACTAAAGATTTCCGTGTCTCGTAGGATGACAAACAACCCGTTGCTTGAACCCGCGGAGATGTTGATTGCCGCCTATAGAGTACTTACTATTCAATAAATTAAAACACTGATAAGCAACTTGTCAGTAGTCCTGTTTGGATAAGAGAAGTAGCTGTTCACCATATTAAAAATTATAGTTACATGTAGAGCCAACGTGGCTGGGTGGAGTAGAACCCTCCTAACTTCTTCCACGCATTTAATTGTGCGTTGGAGTAACAGACTATAGTCTAAATTAGTAAAGTCCCGGTAAATGCAGTAGCGATGGTAAAGTGTTCAGCTTTAATAAGCTAAACAAGCCGATGATTTTAATAGTGGTCCATATAGTCTGGAAGTAGATCCTTCTGTATATACTGAGGCTGTGACAAATACGCTATTAATAATTAATGCGTCAAGTTAAGCCTACTACGGAGGGTGCGTATTGTTGTTAATATCCCTACAGTAAGTGGCCTTCCGAAGAAGCAAGAGTATGTCTAGTCGCTTTGAATATAAATATCGAAGATACTGCAACCATGCCTAAATGCTCCCGTAAGTAGATTATAACGCCATATAGCTTACTTCTTACATAGATCTAAAGCTTGTATTCGCAGCTAAATATGACGCTCATGAGGGTAGGTAGAATGTAACAATATTCACCCCTCAGACCGTAATAGAGTCGCAGCAATGGTGAAGACTACACCTAATTAGCTTGTAGCATCGTCATAGAAAATAAACACTGACTCATAGTAAGACTATGGACCTATAGTAATAACAGTAGGAATTTGCAGAGCAAATAGCCATGGTTTTAGGTTAAGAGGCTAAGTAGAATTACAATAAAAAGTAGTATGATAACGAATGTAGTAGTGAGCACATTATGGGCTCTAGACGGAAGCAGTACCTACCTAGAGAGGAGGGATAGTTATGCTCGGCACGTCTCTGCTCATAGACTCGCGACTACACTTTTGATAGGGGAGGGTAGTGCTTCGAGAGAAGATACCGCCGGGAACTTCACCTATACCTTCACAGAAAAGCGAAGACAACCAGTGCCAACATACGGTGCAACCATCCCTTTTGAGTGATTTGAGCCTTGAGCCACAGTTAAGCGGCATCACATGTAGCCGCCGATGGACATAAGGGCGGAGTCTTATTGGCCGAAAAGCTCCATAAAACCCCAGAAAATAGGGTGCCATCAGTGCTGTGCCGCAAAGCTCAAATCGGACCTCATTGAACAAACATTGATGATATGATAAAATATGCGAAAGAAAAATAAACGATAATTTACCTGGTACTTCAGCGCATCATAACAACATCCATAGCAGCACAGCGATTGTGCGATGAAGGCTGCTTTTTTGCAAGAAGGTGGGGAAAATGGCAGCAAGAGTCTCGGCCGATTTCGACTGTGCCTCTTCCGCGCCTGTTTGAGGCCCACTATTCGATATTGAATCTCTGTGTGGCGCGTAAATCACGTGCAGGAGGGCGCCAATACTAAAGACGACGGCCGCCCACCGCTGACCGCGTGGGGTATTCCAGTTGTCTGTTAACCGTTGCTTCGATCTGTTCAAGAGTGGGCATCAGCTTTACAGGCCGCAGTTGGGGCCTGAAGGCCTCAGGCCTCCATGGCGGCCGCATTCCACCTCGCACCAAAGACGCGCCTTTTTCAGCCTTGGCACCTGGACTCTCCGGATACTGATGTAATCAAGGAAGTCATCAGTCGCGTCTCAGGAAGGAGCCCGTGGCCGAGAAGGCCATAGCACGAACTAACAGTGGCGTGAGCGGAGAAGAAATGGAGGCGCCGTGTCAAAGCGAGAGGTCTGGAAGAGAAGAGCAGTGCGCGTCCAACGGGCGGGCGAGGAACGGTCAAGAGCTAGAGGAAGAATGGGCGCGCGGCTAAGGTGCAGCTGCAGCTGCAGCAAGCCATCGTGGCAGCCGGCAGTGGCACCGGTGATGTGCTCCCTCCCCCACGTGACCGGCGGCGATGCCCTTACACCAGGCTGCCCCTGAAGCGGTTTGGTCTGCACGGCAGACGGCAACTAATGGACGCGGACGGATCGATTGAAAAGGCTCATCTGCGCAATGGGCTGCAGGCACGCCGTGGGGACCCCCTTGGGTCGTCTCTGCGGTCTTGGCCGCGAAACAGGCCGCGTGGAGACCGGAGAGGCTGAAATCCGAAACACGCCAACCCAGCATCGCGTCGCACGCAGGCCGCCCTCTCAGCGACCCCCTCGGCCGACTGGACGGCCACGAACGCATCGCCAATCTTGCCGCCCTTGAGCCACGTCGTGCAGGCCAATCGTTACTACCCTGGACCTCGACTCTGCCGGCATGCCGGGGCGCGCATTGCAGCCAAGCCCAAGCCGACGGCGCTCAAGCTGGCCCGCGGGCCCAAGGCCTCGTGGATGAGGCCCGTCATCCCCAAAGTGTGTCGATCAACGCGAGCTTTGGCGGCTGCCGAGCGTTTCATTCTACGGAACGGATCTGGATCCAGCTTGGCCTGGGAGGCTTTGCTTGTAATGCGCAACATAGCCGTGTGGGGAACAGCCATGTCTCTGCCCCTGCGCGAAATGCAGAGTCAGTCTGCGGCCTGAATGTAAAATGCGCCGGTGCCCTCTTACTTCACTTTTCCGGTGTGCATGCATCTGCTCTCATTTTGGTCCGGCCTTTCGTTTTTTGCCTACTTCGTACCTAATCGTCCCCATTCTCTCCTTGAGCCTCTGGCGGTACGTGCCGGCACGTTGTCCGTCGTTGAAAGACCAGTCCTTCCCTTTTCCTCGAGAGACCTGGCGTCTGTGACTTCACTAATTCTCAACGTGTTGATGTAAGTATTTCAGTCATCTGCTACAGGCAGAGGCGGCCGTCTCGTTTGGCTTTTATCCCGTTCCAACCTCCGAGCTACCTCTCGTCCTCTTCCGTTTCACTTTTCCTGCGTCTCAGTTCATTCTGTACCACTCCTCCCACACTCAAATGTCTATCTTTGTTCTCTACGTTTTATGTCTGTATCACAGGTGGTCATGCCAAACTGTGTTGCTGGCTGGACAGCATCAAGTCCCTTTTTAGATCAGGGTTAACCATCTCATAGCACATTCATTGAGCACGCCTGAGCTCAGCACATTCTTTTAAGAAGACTTATAAGTCTTCCTCTTCAAGTCTTTTCAACGAGGCCGCTCCAGGCACCGTACATACTATTTCTTACTTCTACATCGGCCATTTCATTCGTTCAAAATGAAGCACTTTGCTGCTATCGCCTCTCTTTCGGCTCTGCTGGCCGCTCCCGTCCTGGCTCTGCCCTCCGTTCTGTCTGAACGTTCTACCAACGTCAGCCATATTTGGGAAAGCGAGATCGCTTCCTCAACAACCACAGAGGAGCCCTCCAGCACCGAATCTTACACAGGCGCCGAAATCGCATCTGCACTCGCATCTGCCATTTCTGAGCCTGTCAACTCTTCTACTCACGAGTCTGGTGGCGAGTTACACGTCGTTCTCTTCAACCGGTCGCATCCCGAGCCTCCGGAGGTTGAGCACATCTTGAATCGCCTGGACCTTACAACCGAACATACCGATGTTGTCTACACCTTCAACAACTCGCAGTTTCGTGGCTTTGCTGCCTACATGAAAGAACACTGTATAAAGGCGCTAAATGACATGGTTGAGATTGGTACCGTTGAGCAATCCTTCCGGATGAAAGCTCTCGACGTCACAACTCGCCCAAGCTCGCCTTGGGGCCTGCAGCGCATCTCTAGCACTTCCCAGGTCTCTGGAGACACCAAAGACGCCCTCAATTTCACCTATTCGTACGAGGGAAACGAGTTGGGCAAGGGCGTCGATATCTACGTCGTTGACACAGGTGTCTACGTCGACCATATGGTCTTCGGCGGCCGCGCGGTCCACGGTTGGACCGGCTTCCCGGAACAAAACCGTTCGAATACTGGCTGGGAGTACCCCCTTGGCGACCACACTGACGGTAATGGCCATGGCACTCACGTTGCTGGCACCGCTGGCGGCTCAAATGTGGGCATTGCCTCCGGAGCTAACATTATTGCCGTTCGTGTCCTCGATGAGAGCGGTGGTGGCAACTCTGAGAACACCTATGCGGGCATTGATTGGGTCATCAATCGGCACGACAAGCGCAAGACAGAGCCCGATTTTGTGGGCAGCGTACTCAGCATGTCGTTCGGCATGTCAATCATCAACAAAACTATCACCGACCATATCATATACGCTACCGAGGCTGGTATCCACGCTTCCGTCGCATCCGGCAACGAAGGTGGCAACTCCTGTGACTACACTCCCTCAAATGCTGGCGGAGCCGGTAGCAATGTTGTCTCCGTTGGTAGCATCGGTATTTCGGACGAGATCTCTTCATTCAGCAACACTGGCAAGTGCACCGATATCTTCGCCCCTGGTGAGGATGTCCTGTCCTCCTGGATAGACCTTAAGAATGGTACGACCAACAAACTTCAGTACAAGAGTGGCACCAGCATGGCGTGTCCTCATGTAACTGGTATCATGGCCTACTTAGCTGCCAAGAACAGCACATTGGCACATGATCCTGCCGCCATGAAAACGTACCTGACTACTACTGCGATTCAAAACCAGGTTTCTGGCTCTGTGCTTGACCTGGCTACAACTTCGAAGGTCCTTGCCAACAATGGCATTATGGGTACCGTTACCAGCAAGCTCAGGCGGGGTTTCAGAAATATGTTCAATGCCCGCGCGAATGAGGATGCGATGAGTTTGTTTGAACTCGCCGAGGATAGCGGAGACCAACTGCAGTGGTAAAAGACACTTCACCTACGAAAAGTGTGTAGCCTTCAGTATTTCATGTTTCCTTCAGTTTCACTTCTACGTCAATATTTCCTTATACCTCGATGTTTAACTCGCTTCATTATACCCGCATCTGCGAATAGAAGAAAAGCGTACTGTCCCATAGAACTTTCAGCGTTGGTGTTTAACACGGGCCGCTTCCGAAAATATTCATAGTATAGATAACCGTCATTTCGGTGATACTCTCAATCTCGGCACTCCAAGCCAATGAATATCATCAATAGTGTCCAGAACACTAATGGTATATTTTTGCATACTATACGCCTCCTAGAACCTCGTCCGTGCAAGCAGTTCGCATGGAGTTATATGGATCGTCAACAAGGAACATAATTGTGGAGCTAATGAAGGGGCAGCCTGCCGGTCAGCTGAGAGCGGGCCGCCAGTGTTCCGGTTCACCTTCACGGAATGTTCCTTGGAGAAGTTCAGGGTCATTCTCGAACTCCTCGCATAGCCGTCTTTGATTAGCCAAGCCTTTACTCCACTGTCAAACACCCGGCTTACGAGTTCACCGCCCGGCCATAGCTGCGGGAACGTCGGCAAGTCGGCATGCTCCCTCAGCCCCCTGCCCGAGCTCGCCATCGGCAAGAACTTCGTAGGAACTGTAGCAATATGCCCTTCCCTCTGAGTGTGCTAACAGTGTGTCGGGGGAACAGCACTGGGAGGCGCCGGACGTGCCCTTCGTAAACAATATCACCGGCGCTGCCTTAATTAGGCCGTCTAGCCTGGCGAAAAGCTCCTCCTTGCTCGTCTAATTGTGGCGGCTGTATTCCGGTGCGGTCTTGCGGTCATTGGTATCCGGTGCGTGGAAGTAGACTAGGAGGACTTTAGGGCGGGAAGTTGGAAGGCGAAGTCGGCGTCGGTGGTGATCTCGGTGACGGTGGTATGCGCCTCAGTCATTTTGAGAGGATGATACCTGTATATGGCTGGTCTTTGGGCGTCTTTCCAAGTGGGCAAGTCGAGCCAGAGGTAGCTGTCGGTCGGGAAGTACGTCACCCAGCTCATCAACCTAGGCGGTCACCACGTCGGGACTAGCCTGGGTGATTTTGCCCGCGACGCGGTCGAAAAAGTCCAGTCAACAGTCAACACAGCACTCTACCGTCGCCCTAGGTACCACATCAGGTGTATGCTCTACGAGCATGAAGATGAGGCTGATGGCGAGGCTTTGGAGCTGGACATACACCTGGAGTGCGAGCGGGAACAATGGGGAGCTTTGGATGCATTTGGAGTGGGCGCTGGGAGTTGGCTGGGAAACATTCAGGCGCTCTATGGTATCTATATCTAAGGGTTTTGTGTGGTCTCCTGAACGACCATAGCCAATTCAGCCAATTTTGGTGCACAGATCTAGTTGGCACGCTGGCCCTCAAGCGTGCCCTCTTTCTCAACCGCGTCCGCAGGCTTGCCCTGCGTGTCCGCCCTGTTCTGAACAATGCGGAGGAGGTTCCTGAGCAAAACCACAATAGTAACCTTGCCGATGGCAGGGACGTAAATTGAGGCCTTCTCCTTGACGTCCGGGTTGAAGTTCTGTGGTGATTAGTATGAACCACAAAGCAAATCACAGAGATAATCCCTACCTTCTCGCTGGAGAAGTTGATACACACAGCACCGGGTCGCAAAAGGTGAACTGGGACCTTGAACTTGTCGCCAGGGACACCGCTGATGACAACATCACTCAAAGGCAGGATCTGCTCCAGATCCCAGCCCGACTTCTCCTCAACGACGTGGGCTCGCTTCCGCAGCCCCTCGCCTCTGGAGTACTGCTGCACATCATCAATGTCCTTCGAGTATACGACTGCGCCATCGTTGGCCAGCAGGGCCGCCAGCGGCCTTCCAACAACCTCAGACCTGTTGATGACGGTGATGGTGTGGCCGTGCAGGCGGTTTCCGTAGGGCAGGATGGTGTTGTAGATCTGGAGGTGCTCCAAGATCTTGATGACGGCAAGCGGGGTGCAGGGCAGGATGCTCTTGCGGGTCTGGTCGTTGTCGAGGAAGCGGACGTTGCGGTACATGTTGGAGACGTAGCGGTGGGTGAGACCCTCGACGTCCTTGGACACATCGACGACGTTCTGCAGGTACTGGTCCTGGCGGGTGCCGAAGATGGGGTAGTAGACCATGATGCCGTCGACCTTGTCGTCGACGTTGGCCTTGATGATGGCATCTTCAAGCTCCTCGCGGTCAACCTCGCGGAGCTCGTACTGGAAGCCGCTTCGAGCACGTCAGACAATCATCTTGGGCGCATGGGCGAAGCGCGATTGCTCACTTTTCACGCGCCGTCTTTCCAGTCCACTCGGCATAGGTGCGCGCGGCCGGGTCACCACTGGCCAGGAAGCCAACGAGCAGCGGGGCTCTGTTGATTTCCCTCAGGCCTTCCTGCACCTCGGCAAGAAGCTTTTTGGCGACGTTGCCGGCGAGGACGACCTTGCAGATGGGGGCTTCGGCCATGGTGAAATGGATTGAGAGGAGTGACAAGATATATTCAGCTACATGGTAGTAAGTCTCGCGGAGGAGCTTCCAGCAGAGGGCCGCGTTTGACTATAATTTTTCGCTAGTCGGCCTTGCGCCCCTCATTCTTGCCGGTACCGGGGCCTTGGATCTTTGCCGCTTACGGCTTGGCGCCATCTGTGGCCGCAGCGCCTTGGATTGGCGTCATTCCTAATCTTTGCCCGCCATTCGACCTGGGAGACCTCTGCCCGCCATGTCTGATATCCAGCTGTATTTGTTCGAGCACGGCAAGAACAAAGACGAGGCCGCCCGCATAGCTGCTCAGACGGCCCAACGTACGCCTTCCATTCGCCCCACCACGCCTTGTCCCATGCTAACCACGTGCCAGGCCTCGAGAGCAAAACCCTCAAGCTTTTTGAGCTGGTAGAGTCGCTCGGCGAATACCTAAACAACGATGACACCCAGACAAGGGCAAAGGGTAAAAAAACACGCCTTGAGGGCTTTTTCCACTCTTACTGACTGGGATTAGCAATGGCCTACCTGGCCGAAGTCTTGTCCGCAACGCCGCAAAAGATCTTTACCAGACAACACCGTAAGTCTCTGTCTACCTCGTCACCCATCTCTTGTCCGCCAATGAGCGACGAGGCATTTGAGAAGTCTCCATGAGAAGAGCAAATGCTCCGCCGCCGCAAGATATGGGCCGCGGAGATAATGTTTTTTATTCCCCGGTGTGCGCTGACTGAGACCTTACAGGAAACTTGCTTTGCGACTTCATCCTATCCCGGATAGTAAATGATGGAGAGGGGCTTGAGACACCCCCTTGTCTTTCTTCTTGCGCAAAAGGGCTCATGGCTCTTGAAGAACGAGGCCAATGGGAAAAAGAAAGGGTCCAAACAGTCCTTACAACTTTCATCGATAACACCCACCCTCTGCGCAGGTTTAAGCAGCAGAGCGAGCGCTACTCAGTCCTTCAACTTATAGATTTGCTTGTGGCCAAGTACAGGGATGCAGTGCACAGCATTCACCAGACTTCTCCAGACTTCCTGTCAAACTTCATTTCTTACTTTGACGGAGAAAAAGACCCTCGCAACCTAATGGTGGTCTTCTCCATTCTCAAAGTCCCAATGGCTGAATGGACTGTAGGCGCAGATGCGCAGGACCTCTTCGATGCCGTCTTCAATTACTTTCCCATCACATTCAGACCTCCGCCAGACGACCCTTACGGCATCACGGCGCAACATTTGAAAGATCGTCTACGGGAGTGCATTGCATCGACTGGAGAGTTTGCACCGTATTCTTTCCCGGCGCTGCTGGACAAGCTTGACTCGACCTCCATGAACACAAAGGTATGTTAGAATGTCAATCAAAGTCAACCTGCCTTCTGACCGCAAGCAGCGAGATGTGCTCCAAGCAATCATTTCATGCGTTCAAGAGTATGGTCCAACGACAATCTCATTGTATTCAGTCACGTTATGGGATGCATTGAAATTTGAGATTCTGAACTCGCAGGAGGAAGATCTGGCAGAAGAAGCCTTAGCGGCACTCGCTGAGATTGCGAAGCAGCTTTCGCAAAACAGTGCGGGTTCATTGAACGCCTACCTCAAGCCAATCGCTAAAGAAAGCAACGAGCATCTCGAAGATGCACCGACCAAGCAGTCGGCAGCGTCAGGGCGTATCCTCAACGCAGTCGCCAAGGTTTCGCCAGAGGTTGCGGACTACATGATTGGAGCGATACTTCCTAACCTCTTCACACTATATCAGACTTCCGATACCATGGCGAAGAGGAGAGGACTTGTCGAAGTCCTAGCACAGCTCATCCGGGCAGACATGGAAGTTTATGGTCAATGGCGGGTAGTGGAAGCGCCTGTGCTACAGTCAGGAGGCAGGACGCCAAACAACGCGCTCTTGAGATTCAGGGACCAAGCACTAGAACTGATGAGCAACGGCCTTGCGACTGCACCTCTCAAGGAAGTGTCTTTCCGACTGGCCACTATGGACGGGCTGCTGCAGCTCAGCAAAGACCGCCTGGTACTCAACGATGAGGACGTTGCTAAAATCATCAAACTTTTTCACGATGTCGTTATCTCAGAAGAATCCTATGGCAAGGACGAGATGAAGACTGCCGCCATCGGTGGTCTCGTCGAAATTGCCCATCAAAAACCTCAACTCGTAATTGAGAAGGCTTTCCCTGCCTTCATGGTAGAGTTGCCCGACAATGACACCGATGGTTCAGATACGTATGTTCCGGTTCTTGAGGCTTTCGCAAAACTTGGTAGCGAAGAGCAGATCTTCCAAACTGTTGTCCTCCGTCTCAAGAACAAGCTGAATGCAGCTGTGCAACAACAAGCCTCACAGAGGTACATAATTGCCTTGTTATCGGCGATGCTTTATGCATTCTCGCAAGGTTCTCCAAAACTCGAAGGGACCGCGGATAGTTGTCCGTACTATGATGATATCATCGTACCCTTACTATTACAGATCTTTGCCCCCGAGTCATCACAAGCGTTTGACAATGAGACCGCCCTCGACTTAATTGGTCGCCTATCCAACATCATCCTGCGCAAACAGCCCCTTCATATCCAAACTAGCAAGATCTCCACTGAGACATACAGTCTCTTTTCAGGAGAAAAGCCAGAAGAGTCTCCTCCCTTCAACATGGAGATCACACCTGAGAGGAGGCGTAAAATCATCGTTTCCACGCATATCCTTGCGGCTCTTAGGAGGGAAGCGACGTTGCCAGTGGAAAGCAAAGTCGTTTTAACGTCATTGCTAAAACTCGCTGTTCTCGACGACGTCTCTCCAAGGATACGGCTGGCCACCCAATGCCAAGTTTCTCTCATTGTCAACAAATTTATTCCAACTGCAGAGCTCAAAGAGACCATTGGTGGTATTCTCTACGAGCCTCTCAATTTGTTTGGCTCAGACGGATTGAATGAGCAAACCATCCGCGTCATTTTCGCCATCATCAAAGGTCTTGCTCTGCGTAATGCGCCTATTCTATCAACAACACTCCCCTCTCTCCTCAATCTTCTCACCGACCCTAAGCATGGCCTCATTGTTGCGCGCGGCTTTTCCAGTATCTTGCAACCGGATGATATTTTGACCAAATACAACTACTGCCAGGTATCTGGGCTGCACAAACAAAAGGTCTTCAACCTTGTGGTTCCAGAACTGGCAGCTTCTTTCAAGGATGCCGCCTCGCATACCAAGGCACATTACCTGATTGCACTGGCCGGCGTGTTGCGATGGCTGCCTTATGGCATCATCGAGCCAGAGCTGGGCTCATTGATACCGCTTTTACTGCAGTCGCTGGACCTCAACGCTGAGGATGACGTTAAGAAAGCGACCATCGACACACTCATCGCTATCCTTGGCAACAATCCGAAGTCCATCGAAGAGCATGCCAGTAGCCTCATCAGCCGTCTGCTGACCACAGCCACCACCAAGACCAATCCGCCAGCGGTGCGCGCTGTCGCACTGAAGTGCCTTAGCCTAGTCCCCACGCAGTTGAGGGGTGAAGTCGTGCTGCCGTTCAAGAGGCAGGTGGTGAAGAAATTGACCGCGGCGCTAGACGATGGGAAGAGAGCAGTCCGAACCGAAGCAGTACGCTGCCGAGGAAGTTGGTTGGCGGCGGATGAACCAGATGACGATGACGATTAGGGTGAGAAAGGTAGGGATGGATGGAATAGAAAGATTTCTGAAGGATTATTGCGTAGGTAGGGAATAGATTTTTCTTCTTTACGTCAAAGATCCATATGTTGATCCTTCTTCTCTGGTCAATTGAACTATACTTCAACAGAAAGTCAGCCGGTAGACGAGGTTTGTGCTCGCCAATGTTTGCTTTTGATTGATCGCAGAGATATTTCGTCGCGAAATAAAAGCCATAAATTGTTGCCAACGCTGAAAATAGTTTGTACACTGGTCGACAAGACGGAGATGTTGCTTTCCAAAATCTAGCTTGACAAACTAGACTCTTCACATCTAGACAATATAGGCCAATCGCTCAGGTCTGTCCTGGGTTGGTATAATCATCAACAACAGTCAGGCATTCGCTGATGGCTCTAGATAATTTGCGCACCTCTTGACCATATGTTAAACGCATACTGCCTACTGAATAACTGCGAGTATATAGATACGCAAGAACGTGGGTACTCAACGAAGGTATGAAAGTATGAAGATCAAGGGTACGAAAGTTTGGTAGGCAAGTAAGTCATATACATTATAGGTGTAATGTCACATGGGGTGGGGAAAATAGCCAAAAAAAAAGGATAGAAAAATTGGTTGGAACCTTCACTGATACGTACTGTCAAAGAGATAATGTGAGGAGCTATGCAGTAATACTGTCACTACAAATGTTAGATCCAAAGCTGTGATCTGTGTTTGTTTCAAGCGTGTAAAGGGAAACTATAATCGTGTTAACACGAGATGGCACTATAACAGGTTAATTTTCCTCATTCACACGCTCTTAGCATTCGATGTCGGTTACACAGTGTCCGAGCGTCTAAATCTAGCTTATAAGTGCCTCCTCCTCCACCCATCTTTCAACTCCAACCTTCACTTTTCTACTTCTCTTTGCTGGACGCCACCAAGCTTCATACCGGTTGTGAACTATCACCCAAGCTGACAGACCGCCATCTACGCCGTCGGGCGCGGAACATGATGGCGGCTCACTCCATTACTAACACAACTTTCCAGTGTCAACTAATCAATACTGGTCCTGCTCTCGATCGTCTTCCGGAAGAGATAATCCAAGAAATCATTAAAAAGCTTGGCGACGATGTTGAGGGGTTCAACAACCTCAGACTCACCTGCAGATCTCTAGAATACTCGACTCACGACAAGTTCTTGAACAATGTCTTCCGGAAGGGCGACTATGAGAACGACTTTGGGATACTGTGTATAGGTCACATAAAGGTCGGAACCAAAGACCTAGGGAACTGGGCAGTAGCCATGAAGCGACCGCAGATTTCAGAGTATTTTGAAATCCTCTACATTCATCCGGACCCAAGAAGCGACATGAAAGCAGTGGCACAACATCTTAAGGAGAGGAAATATCGCGATGATGTCGAGGAGCTGGCTACTCTTTTTGGCAACCTTACCTTACGCTCACACCCAAACAGCATAAAAGAAGCGGCACACCGTCTCAAGGAGAAAAATTACGACGAGGATGCTGAGGTTCTTGCTGCAATTTTTAGCAGCATGAAAAACCTACGCATGATCGTTCTCAGATGCCTGTTCTCTATCTGGGAAAAAGATAAGCTTAATATTGGGGTTAACGATGCACTATCTGACACCAAGGCTGTCCAAGCTGAAAGGGTTTCTCACACTATGTTCATGATTCTATCGGCATTATCAAAGATTCCTATGAGACAACTTTCTAGAATAAGTTTCGGTACAGCGGGTGTCAATCGAGACACTTGGGCACCCGAAATCTGGACACTTGAACATCCACCTAACACGCTCAGGGCTTTAAGACAGTGCGGCTTCCATGGGCTTTCATCCATCGACTTATGTTTGTCTAACAGAAGCGGAGATGCTCCCATGAATTGGACGCAAGATAGAGCGGCAAATGCGCTTATCAAGTTCTTGGCTGCTATTCCATGCTTGGAGTATCTAATTCTTGCTATCGCACCGGATTCTGTATTCGGGCCGAGGGTCGTAAAAAGGTTCTTGCAGGAGTACCATAATCCAAATCTCTTTTACTTCCAATTTGACGATTTTATTGTTCCTGACAGTAAAGATCTGCTCAACTTCTTCGAGAAGCACAAGAGCACGTTGAGAGCAGTCATCCTCAGAAAGATCCACCTGTGCGACAACGGCTGGAAAGTGCTTTTCCAAAAGATGTGTGAGGAGCTGCATCTTGGCAACATCATGCTTGATGGACTTTTCGTATTGCAGCAAAACGCCTACTGGTCTGTCATCTTTCCTTGGTGTGAATACGGTTTCATGAGCTGCCCTGGAGCCAGTGGTTTCAATGAACGTCAGGAAGAGGAAGTTACGGACGAACTGAGACGTGCTGCAGATGAATACCAAAGCACTGAAACGAGATATGAGGACGATAATTTCATCGACCGGGTAAGTCGAGCGGCATCCACTTTCTGTATTATATACTGACAGCTTTGATTCAGATGCGGCGAGGGACAACAACCAGATCCATGATCTCCATGAAGAGCTTACGCTATGTTCATGAAGTCCTCGGCTGGGCCCCAACGGCAGGGGATCTCTTGAACTAGATCATGGTAACCCAGCTAATCTGGAATGATCAGTGAGCAGATGTTCGTAAAGGTGGAGAAGCCTCAACAGTATGCGGTGAAACATATGGCAGAGTTTTTGCTAAGAGGATATGTCCTCCGAATTCGATATTCGACGAGAAGCGTCTCAACAAGGGCCAGTGCAGGTATGGTTGCTAGTAGAGCTTAAGTCATTCGGGAGATCGGGGTACCCATGAGAATTGCCTACCTAGATATTTTTCAAGGGCTCTGATAATTCTGCATTGTATAACATAAGATTGCTAATGCTCTGCATGAGTAGGTAGCAAGGTTAGATAAGGTAGGTAGCCACTCACTCAGTAAACTTCTTGTCATCCAGGTACGTCTTCCGTCTGTCTATTACTTCACCTATCATCCAACAGCGGAGACCGACCAGTCTTCTAGGAAAGTGCGTCCAAAACCACCTACCCGACGCAGCTGCGAGAGCAAGGGAGAAATCCCGGAGACGCGTTCCTCCTTCCACATTCTTCCATTCACACCGCCCCTCCTTCCTCTTTCAGCGCAGCCCTGTGTCTGGTAGGAAACGGTCAGCACTTGACATGGAAACACCCTGAGGTTTGGATTAAATAATCTCGCATATGATGAGCGCATTCAACGTTGAATTCAAGAGCAAGCGTGAGTCAGGTTGTCAGCAGTGTTGGGCAAAAAAGTGGTGCGGTAAAAACCTTAGAAATCAGGCGAGCATAAGCTTAACATAATAAGCACGGAGGGATGTGGGAAAGACGGACGAGGTATGGCGCAATCCCGTAGGTCGAAGGGAGCTCCAACAAACCCACCCTATCAGTGTACGCGTTGACCACAAAACTCGGGGCTTATCAGGCAAAGAGTGGATCGTTATCGAACAAAAATAGAGTCGCACTGACTTGGGATCCGAGATGAGATCTCGGCTCCAGCTGCTCAAAGTACCCGATCGAACATCTTGCGGTGGTCGAAGATTCAGATTTGGAGAGAAAGAGAGAGAGAGACGCCTTGTGCGCAGGGCGCGAAGTCTTCTCGTCAGTTAGATAAAGAGCAGCGGGAACGAGTGGGCATCATAGCGCACCGGCCCGTCCGCCCCCGGCCGACCAACCAACCAACCACCAACCTTACCTACCCACCACGGTGCGGTACTCCGCCTTCGGACTCCGAATGGAGCTGCTGACTGCTGCGGCTGAGCTGGCCCTCAGTACAAAAGTATCCGTATCGCCTCCGTCTGGCACCCGTGAACTTTTTTGCATCCTGCACACTGCCGCATAGTGACCAGCTGCGCCATGGCCGCCTTCGCGACAACGTCGGACCCCACCTTTCAGCTACCCCGCCTGCTGTGTTTACATGGTATGTAATTTCTACATTCACAACCCCACATCGCTAAAGCGAACTCAGGCGGCGGTGTGACTGCCGAAGTCTTCCGCCTGCAAGCGCGCGCTTTCGTCTCAGCCTTGAGCCCCTACTTCCGCCTCGTCTTCGCCGACGGCCCATTCTTTTGCGACGCCGGCCCTGGCGTGTTGCCTGTGTATGCCGACTTGGGACCTTACCGACGCTGGCTGCGCTGGCAACCTCATCATCTAGACGTTGATTCAGAAACCACTGTCGAGGAAATTCGGTACCAGCTGGAGCTTGCCATGGAAGAAGACGATAGGCGTGGGGCAGTAGGCGAGTGGGCGGGCTTTCTAGGCTTCAGCCAAGGTGGAAAGCTAGCAGCGAGTTTGCTGTTTGAGGCTCAGAAGAGGAGGGAGAGGAGGGAAGGGAGTGGATGGGCTTACGAAGACGATGGCGCCAGCAGCGAAGAGATTGATGGTGAGGAGACGATGCTATGGAAGCAGAACTGGCGGTTTGCTGTCTGCATGGCCGCCAGAGCGCCGCTCGTTGCCTTGTCGCCGGGCAGCGAAAAAATCTCATCATTTGTGTCTGCAGGTGGTGTTTCGGAGGGCTTCGATTTCGAGGCTGCCGGTAAACCCGGGCCGGAAGCGTTGCTAAGAGCGCCGACGCTGCATATTCATGGGCTGAAGGATCCGGGTCTGCATCTACATCAGATACTACTGGATGCGTACTGCGCACCAGGCAGCGCTACGTTAGTCGAATGGGATGGCGACCATAGAGTGCCTCTGAAGGCGAAGGATATGGAAGGCATCACAAGGGCGATCTTGGAGACGGCAAAGAAGGGTGGTGTGGAGCCGGGCAAAAAGCAAGACCTTGAGACGTAGCGTCGAGCTAGTGTGGAGTTGGATCGACGGAGAATTGAGCCATTGGATCACTGTGGGGAAGCGGATTGCTATCCAAGCGCGGGAGGGGTATGTTTCTCCGCTTTCTGCAAGGCGATCAGTAAGGGGGGTGGTCCCTTGATGGGTGTTGGTCGCGGTGCGTGTTTTCTTTTGATCAGACCATCGGATATATGTCGGGATAAACAGAGACGGCTTCCAAGCTGACGTCAAAGTAGGCAGGCCGTAAACACTAGATATAGAGGAATGCATTCCATCCGATCAGTGTTTTGGGGATCGGCCGGGAGAGCCCTTGCGCGCGCACGTGACAGCAGGAATCGGTGAAATTGGGATGCAAGGCAATGGGACTCGGGCTCGTGGCATGAGCCTCGTCAGCTAGTTATGTTCCAATGTTTTGGAGGTGCATAGGTAGGGTGGGAAGCAGCAGCGTTGTCAAGAGAGGCACACGACGACTAGTTAGCTACGTATGATTCGAGGCGGAGCAACTCCGCGCGACTCTCCATCTCCAATGCTCGTATGACGATGGGCCGACTGGTCACTGGAGCGCAGTACGGGCGATCGACGTTGGGAAAAAAAGGCGAGCGATCTGCCGGGTTGTTCTGGAAACGTGGGAGAGCAGGCACGCCCGTATGTACGAGTAGGATGCAGCGCGGCTTTGTCCCTAGCGCTGCCGGAGGGTCATGTGGTGACGGCTCGACCGCGTTGCTGCTTTGGCTTTGGCGTGTGGGCCGAAGCCAGTAAGCGGGGTCCTGCCTGTCTGGCTGTTGTTCGAATCGACGTGAATTTGTGCTCACTGCAACCACCACCGCCCCAAAAACGCGCCCCGGCCCCCGACAACGCTCTTTTGCCTGTGCGACCGTCCCGCTCCCTCCAGACAATGCTGCTTGGCCACAAGCCCTGAGCTGCTCTCTGCCGCCCGACCGTCCGCCGACTCCCGCCGCCCTCGACCCCGACACCGACAACGACGACCCTGCACCCACAGCACTCTCGCACCCCCGGCCCTCCCAATTCGACAGCCCATCGCCCTCTGGTCATGATGGTCTGCCTCTCCATCGCCGCATAACTGCCTAGATTCCGCCTGCCTACCCCGCGGCACGGCCTGGGGAGACGGGTAGAGGGGTGGGCCCCCGGCTTTGCTTGAACACACCACCTCCCGCTCCATCCCTACCACCCACCATGGACTCCGCCCAGAAACAAACCTTGGCCCCTCCCGCCGTCACCGCCCTGAAGCTCGAGGCCACCAGTGCCCCCCGTGCCCGTCAGCCCATGGAGAGGTCCGTTAGCCAAAGCATTCGCGACGAAATGGAGGATCTCAAAGAAGCCGCCGAGCAGGCCCTCAATGTCCTTTTGGACCTGAACATGGACAGCACCATACGCTCCGTCAGCCCGTCATGGCGAGAGGTTGTCGGAACCGACCCCGACTCGGTCGTGGGAAAGCCAATCGCAGACTATCTTGTGGGAAACAAGCGCGCCTTTGCCGACGCTGTCGATAACATGAAGCAAGACGATGCTCGGAGCCGTCTCATTCGTTTCTGTATGCACATGGGCCCGGCTTCCAGATTGAAACCAAAGCGCGAGGCGCAGTCGGCCGAAGAGCCTGCTGAAGAGCGCCCTGAAGAGTCGGACCAAATTTTGAACCTGGAAGCCCAGGGCATCATGTCCTATAACCCAACATCAGGAAACGACTGTCACGTAAGTCGGAATTTTACATTGACTCGAGATTCGACCGACTGACATCATGACAGACCATGTGGATGATAAAGCCTTCAGTGGTTCGCGAAGTCACAATTGACTTGCCAGGAATACTTGTCGAATCTCTTGGAGTTGGTGCAGAAGTGCTCGCATGCTATCTAACCGAACTTGCAGAAGCTGGAGCGGATGATCCTGCGACGCATCCACCCCCGCCCGCCGTCCTCTGCCGCATTTGTGAACGTCATATCAACCCGTGGTGGTTCGAGAAGCACACCGATCTTTGCCTGCAGGAGCATCGGGCGGAGATGGAAGTGCAAATGGCACAGGAAAACCTCAGCGACCACCGCAATGCCATTGTCAAAGTCTTGGATGCCCTAGAAGCCAGCTCGCAACGCACGTCCCGGCCACTGTCCGCAGACATGAATTCTCCTGCCCCTCCGACGCCGGAATACAAGGGGCTCCCTATCTCTCCTGCGTCGACCCCTTCTTCTGGACTTTCTTCGGGAAGAGCTTCACCTGCATCGCCGCCCTCCCGTTCACGCGACCGTTCTTCCGGAGTCGGGCACCGTCGGGCACGATCTTTTGCAATACGGCGGCCTGTGTCGAGGATTGTGGAGCTGGTCTTGGATCTGTGCGATACTGCCTTGGAAATTAACACGCCGGCAATTAAAGACAACCGAGGTCAGCTGACGACCGAGCTGAGGACCCAATCTCCGCAATCCGAAAATCGTATCTCCCAAGTGATGCAGTGGCAATCCCCCAGTATTGGCATCAATGAAGGAGAGCAGGGTCTGTTTCAGTTGTGTGAGGATACGGCAAAGTACTCCAAGGCAAAGGTCGATGCCATTTTCCGGTATCGCAGGATTCTCGAGTACTCGGAGCGCATTCGTGGCGAGTTCGAGATCCTTGTGCAAGAATGCATCGAGGCCGCCATTTCCAAGGCCCAGAGCATTGCTCGGGGTGAGTTGAGCGATTCGGGCGAAAGTACGGCTAGCCAAACCGATGACAATACTTTCGAGGGTGAAACGCCAGATGCTCAACCAGAAGAGGGCCTTTTCCCTTGTTCCCTAGAAAATCCCTCGTCTTTGACAGCAGCTATGCGCAATTCTAGCGACTCTTCCCATCTTCACATGGGTCGTCGACCCTCGTCGGCCGCAACTTCTACGAGATCAAGCAGTCCTCGGGGTAGTCAGACACCACGGTCACACGGAGGCGCCATTAGCATAGTGTCCCACAGCAAACGTGCGTCTATGCATTTTGAGAGCGACACAGGAGCCGACAGTGACAGCAGTATGCGGTCATCTGTCATGTCTGGACCACGGAGAGCCGAGTCTCCCAGTTCCGAAATGGGCCTTAAAAGAGTAACGAGTTCCCGTGAACGCAAGCGCCGGAGTCTCATTCTCCCAAGTGTCATGCAAAACAGCAGGCAACAGTCTCCAGCGAGACAACATCCACAGCCACCTTCCTCACCTTTAAGGATGTCAAAAGGCCAAGGTAGAGGGCCAGGTGGCTCGGATGCTATTCACTCACCCATCACTTCTCCAATCTTGTCGACAAGCGAGTTTTCGTCTCCAGCACTCACAGCGCAGCATGTGCACCATCACCGACGACAATCGTCCACAGCTGGTTCTGATGTACTTCGCCCGCCGGTGTCGCCGCGTTTAATTCCCAGTAGCAATCCGCAGCCCAGGGCTGTGCCGCCCTCGATCAAGGACTTCGAGATCATCAAGCCGATCAGCAAAGGTGCTTTCGGCAGTGTGTACCTGTCCAAGAAGAAGTCCACAGGTGACTACTTTGCTATCAAAGTTCTCAAGAAGGCAGACATGATTGCAAAGAACCAAGTCACCAATGTCAAAGCAGAGAGAGCGATCATGATGTGGCAAGGAGAGAGTGATTTCGTCGCCAAGCTCTACTGGACATTTTCCAGCAAAGACTATCTCTATCTCGTCATGGAATACCTAAATGGTGGAGATTGTGCTTCGCTCATCAAGGTTCTTGGTGCGTTGCCTGAAGACTGGGCCAAGAAATATCTCGCGGAGGTGGTGCTTGGTGTGGAGCATCTGCATAGTCGGGGGATTGTTCACCGTGATCTCAAGCCGGACAACCTCCTCATCGATCAAAAAGGTCATCTGAAATTGACAGACTTTGGTTTGTCGCGCATGGGATTGATCGGTCGTCAGAAGAGAGCCTTGAACAGCAAAGCTGACGAAGTAGCCCCGGATCTTCTCAAGCAGGGCCCTTTCCACAGAGCGCTATCGGTTACATCATCTCGATCGGCTTCATTTGATGCCCAAGGAAGTCATTCCCCACAGAACACCCCCGCCTTGACCCCTGCTCTCAGCGGCGATCTGGGCCAGCCATCATACTTCAGCTTGTCTCTTACTCAGGAACCAAGACGGGCCTCTGGCCAAAGGAGCGATAGCGGAGACAGTGAAGCACTGAATGCGCTGTTCCGCAGGTTTTCGATTGTTGACGATCACCCGACCAATCAACGCCGAATCGAGGAAGAGGTTTACATGAGCGAAGACGGCGGCGGCGGTTCTCCGGACCCATACACCCTTCAGCCCACCATCAGTCACCAGAGTGCTGTGTTGAACACCCCACCGCCTAGTTCAACAATGATGCCTCCGCCCATGGCTCTTTTTGATCCAGAGGACAGTAATCGTCGTTTTGTCGGTACTCCAGACTATCTGGCACCCGAGACGATCAATGGCAGTGGCCAAGACGAAGTCAGTGACTGGTGGTCTCTTGGTTGTATACTTTTCGAGTGTCTTTATGGATATCCTCCCTTCCATGCTGAGACGCCAGATGAAGTGTTCCAGAATATTCTCGAACGGAAAATCGACTGGCCACCTGAGGATGAGTACGAAGTGTCTGACGAGGCCAAGGACCTCATGAACCGCCTGATGTCCACCGATCCGCGGAAGCGGCTTGGTGCCAACATCGAGGACAATTTTGTCAGTGGTGGCGAGGAGATTCGTAAGCACCCATGGTTTGCTGATATGAACTGGGACTCTCTCCGTGACGATGAGGCTTCGTTTGTACCTGCCTCTGAAAACCCGGAAGATACGGAATATTTTGACGCAAGAGGTGCGACGATGCAAAATTTCGCTGCGGAATTTGAGGACCAGAACGTCTCATCCACTGGTACTCCCGGCGCGGATTACCCGGACAGGCCCCACGATGCTCTGTCGCGCGTCCGATCTCAGGTGCAAGTTAATTCTGTGAAGAGAAGTTTGATGCCGTTGCATATTCCGCCTCATGTACGCGAAGGCAGGACTAGACGGCTAAGTGAACCTATGGCCACTGACGACTTCGGAGCATTTGCTTTTAAGAATCTGCCAGTACTGGAAAAGGCCAACAAAGACGTTATCCAAAAGCTTCGTGCCGAAGCTATGCAGGCGCAAAGCAAACCTCCTTCAACAGTCACGTCTCCTTCGGTGACCTCGCCATCACCTTCTCTTGACTCAAGTCCTATGGGGCATGTTCCACTGAAGAGGACACAGTCATCAGCAAGTAAAGGGAACGGCAGACCATCATCACCTTCAGTTAGCCAAGTCAGCTCTTCTCCTAGCCGAGCCTCGCAGCCATCTTCGCCGCTTCTGGTGTCGTTCAGTACAGGCCAAAACCATGAACGGAGGAAAACTTCAAGCGGTGCTTCGTCGCTCTCGCACCAACCACCCACTGCTGGTGGCTCCTCTCTGCAGCCTGGCAGTTTCTTTGACGCGCCTAGAATGGCAAACAACGCGAAACTCCCTGGCACTTCCCCGATGAAGCAACCCAAAACACCGGGTGCCACCGTTCCACCGGAAAAAGCTAGTGCTGCTGCTCATCAGCGGCAGAACAGCTTCCCTCGTACTCGTTCTCAAACCATCGGATCGCAAGACGAAGAACCCACTAGTGCAGCATCGCACCACAAACGAAGGAGCCAGGTCTTCACTGTGTCGCCATCTTCTTCCGACAACGAAGATTCGAAACAGAAAGAGGCTCTCCTTCGAGTACATAGGCGAAGGCAAAGCACGCGTAGGATGTCTCATGTTGCTATAGATGGACCGGTCTTCAGGCCTTTGGACTGTCTTATCTGCGAGGATCACCCAGTTTCCCGTTTGGTCATGGAAAAGCTGCTCGAAAAGTTACGTTGTCGTACGATTTGCGTCCGGACTGGCCCAGAAGCAATCCGTTATGCCATGAGCGAGGTCAAATTCGACATCATAATGATGGAATATAGACTTCCACAGGTCAACGGCGCCGATGTTGCCCGCATGATTCGGGAGACTAAGAATCCCAATAGCAACACTCCGATAGTTGCCGTAACAGGCTACCTCAAGGAGCTCTCGGCACCACATCACTTCGATGCTCTTATTGAGAAACCACCGACGATTGCCAAACTCACTGAGGTGCTTGGGAGACTATGCCAATGGAGACCGCCACCCCCAAACTGGACACCAGCACAATTGCCCCCACTTGTCCCTTCCAACCTTCGCCAGGAGTCTAGTCGGTTGGAAGACAGCCCTACATCCAACTCGTCCGGCTTCGCTCAGCTGCCGCCTGGAAGCTACCGTGGCTCGAGCCGTGAAGATTCCATAAGCTCAAGTTTCTTCGGAGAGAACGACGGCCGTGGCGATGATGTTCCAGTGGTCATCAGCAAGCAAGGTACAGAAGAATGGAAAGAACGTGATCTGGCTCGTGAAATTGGTGGATTGGGCATAGCAGAGGAACAGGCTGCAGCCCTAGAAGATCAGAAAAAGCTCCTTCACCCAATGCCAGCCCCTCTACCTCTCCGTCACGAGACCTCCGCTCCGGCCGCTATGGAACATCCGGCACCCCGCAAGCAGCGCTCCTCAGAACAAATTACAGCTAAGCGACATTCGCTTGAAAAGATGAAACACGAGTCAGCGGAGTCCGGAGACGACGAGGACGAGGAACTCGGCAATTCGCCCTCGCGCGACCGTAGCCCTGGTGCTCGTAGCCCCAAGGGTAGGGCGCGTGGTTCATCTAAACTCGGCGTCGAAATGATGCGTACGAACAGCCATGGTAGTGTCATCTCCGTCGAAGAGATGGTGATTGCTGACGCCCTGGTTTCAACTCCACCTGCGGCTATCGAAGAGAATCCATTGGGTGAACACTCAGAGACTGCCCGGACACCTGCAAACAAAGAGGCAGAAACCGTTCAAGACAAAATCACTTCCCTCACTCCGCCAGAAATTCTACCCCAGCGGCCAGGTGACACGGTCAAAGAGATTGACGTCGACACTGAGGCAACTCCGAAAGCTTCACACTCCGACGTTCATGATCCAGACCCGACCCCTCGTGCTTCGACAAGCCCATCGAGAAAGGGACACACATCATCACCTTAGAAGGTGGCCACGAAGAGGGTAGATAGTTCGAAACATGCAATTCTTTTCCTTTGTTTTCCCGTCATACTGGGCGCCGTCATGCCCCAGATCAGACCGTACCTTCGCTCTTTCAGAACAAACATTTTCTTTATGGACACTTAAGCAAGCGAGGTGTTGGTGGTCATTAGTCTGGAAATTCTCTTTTTGCTGGATCTCTGCCAGGCCCAAGGATTCACAGATATGTCCATCCTGGGTAGCACCTTTCATTGGGGCACGTAGGGTTAAGGCTGTCTGCTAGGTGTGGAAACTTACACGCACGGCTGGCCGTGGGATACTTCTCCTTTCAACCCTTTGCACTTGCCTCTTTTTTCTTTTCTCTCTGAAAGGCGAGACCAGATTGTCCACATTCATTCACGTGTACATTTTTCTTTTTCTTGTTCAAGTTGGAAGAGGGAGATACTGGGATGGAATGGAGGAGTGATGCTTTTCTTTTCTTTTCTTTTCTTTTCTTTTTTTTTTTTTTTTTCTTTTTTCTTCACTCCCTTTTCCAAGGAATGCGCGCAGTACTCAAATTGCCGTCGAAAAGGGGAGCGTACAAATTGGGTCATTATCCGATCGACAATACTTTTCAAGAACTTCTCTTTCCCATGAGGGCAAAGTGACTCGAGTATTTCTGCTTTGCTGCGACTTCTTTTTCCGCCTCGATGTACCGTTTATTGTTCTCGATTTACGCGCTGACAGTTCTGGTGTCTCATGTTTTCGTTCTGGCAGGTTTGGGAAATTGGATCAACGGGTAGAAGAAGGGTGGAAGGAGGGTGAAAGGAATTGTATAACATGCCGTGCTCGGTGAACTGACGGAGGAAATTGGGCTCTCGTACGATTCGCACGCGATGCGGTTAAAATGTTTGGACCTTTTTCTGCGCTGACATTATGACTTTGATGTGCATTTGCTTAAAGGTTCCTACTCAGCCAACGTTAAAGTCTTGAAAGTTCGTGGGTTTCCGTTTTGCTCATCATCCAATTGACGCTTTCCCTGTGTAATTTATCGCCAGAACTCCAGTCTTTTCCCACAGCCGAGCTGCTCTTTGTTTTCAGCTTGGCATTTTTGCCGTGCCCTAATGAGCCATCTCGCTGCAAGTGGCACCCATTGGGGTATCTTTTCCTCTAGTTATACATGGATTGTTAGCGTGATCGCGAAGCGCAAATAACCTGGCATCTGGCAGTCCCAGAGGCATGCGATTTGGATGTTCTTTTACTCGGCAAAGTGGCGCAGGCGACTGATTTCGTTCAGCAAGGCAGTCAAGTCCTCATCGGATATCTTGTCCTGCAGGCTGGGGATCAGGGTCTTGGCCTCGTCGGCGGTCTCGCAGCAGAGGGTGCCTAGCACGTCAAGTCAGACAAGGGTCGCGGGGGGACAAGGACAAGGCGCGGGGCGCATACCAAGCTGGGAGCGCTCGAAGCCGGCGAGGTCGTTGCGGGTGCGCAGCAGGTTGTCGATCGAGTCACAGTCGTCGCGCTCCTTGAAGCGGGAGAAGACGTCGAGGTAGGTGCGCATCTTGGTGAGGGTCTCGGTCTCGTTGACGGAGATCTTGTTCTTCTTGCGATGCTCGACAATGGCGTCGATGATCAGGCGAGCCTCGGAGAGGGTGAGGGTGGTGACGCCCTGGAACTCGCCCAGCTTGAGCTCGGTGCCGACTTCCTCGTCGCCGCCGGCGTCGCCCCGGCCGCGTGCAGCAGACATGATTCTTCTAGGATTGGCGAGGTTGAGGGTGGGCGGTGAGGGCAGGGGATTAGCGGGCGTGGGTAGGTGGGTTTGTTCGGTCGTGGGGGAAGCAGGACCCTTGGAAAAGGGAAAAATGACACAACAATGCCCCGAGCAGCAGCAGCAAGAGAGCGAGTTGGTTGCGCGCGCGCTGGATCGATCAACACGCCTGCCGCCAGAAGCACGGGCATACTCAATCTAAACCCTAGGTCCCTCGCTCGCCCCCCCTCTCCCAAATGCCTCGTCCATAAACAACACCATCTTCCCTCCCCTTTCCTCTATCGACAAGCCTGCCAGCCAGCCAGCCAGCCAGCGACTCTCTCTCCCCTCCCGTTGGTGCATGGCGGCGTGACCCCTCCCTCTCCCCGTCGTTGCGTTTCAGCTCTCCTCGCCCGTCTCCCCTACCGCGACCGACATCTCCCCGGCTGCTGCGCAATAATAACACCGCCCATGTCACTGTCCACCACTTCAGGAGGATCGCACGCTGCTCAGGAAAATCACCCATAAACTCTGGCCGCGCCCCTGCAATTGCCCCTCCGTAGCTTGGCGCCCGCGCATCGCCCTCCGTGATCCCTACCACCTCGACCACCACGACCACCACCGAGAGCCGCCCTCCACGCGCCTCCTCCACCCCCCTCTCCGTCGCGGTTCGCGCCTCCGCCTTCACCCTCTCACCACCCCCCTCGACCCAACCAACCCTGGCCGCACCCCGGCCGGCCGTCGCTCGTTTCGCCGGCTCGCGGACCCTGAGTTACACGTCTCCCACCTGGTCCCGCGGCAATCGGCGTTGAGGGACACAGAGGTCCGGGTTTAGGGGCACACAACATGGCTGCCCCTTCAGAGGGTCAGCCTCCCACGGACGGCCACAGTCCCGTCGACCATGCCATGGGAGACGCCGACGACTTCCCGCCGTCCAACAACAACGGCCCCTCGGCCGCCCTGCAGGGAGGCCCGGGGCCGCTCGAGGAGGACGACCGCTCCAGGGCCCCCGAAAACGCTGCAGACGCGCGCCCTGCGCGAGACAGGTCGCGCGGTCAAGGTTCGCGGAGGCCAAGCGGCTCGCGCACTTGCGGGAAATGCGGTGGACACCTCACAGGACAGTTTGTCAGAGCACTCGGCGATACGTACCACCTGGAGTGCTTCACATGCCACGTTAGTCGTCCCCGATGCCTGCCGCGCCCCGGATTCCCTCACTGACCTCTCGCTCTAGGACTGCGATAAGATCGTGGCCTCCAAGTTCTTCCCCGTCCCCGACCAGGGCCCGAACCAGTACCCACTGTGCGAGACGGACTACTTCCGCCGCCTCGACCTCCTCTGCTACGACTGCGGCGGAGCCCTGCGAGGCTCGTACATAACCGCGCTTGACCGTAAATATCACATTGAGCATTTCACCTGTTCTGTCTGTCCGACGGTCTTCGGAGCGCAAGACAGCTACTACGAGCATGATGGCAGCGTCTACTGCCACTTCCACTACTCGACAAAGTTCGCCCAGCGCTGCAACGGCTGCCAGACGGCCATTCTCAAGCAGTTCGTCGAGATATTCCGCAACGGCCAAAACCAACACTGGCACCCGGAGTGCTACATGATTCACAAGTTCTGGAACGTGCGTCTGCACTCGTCGGGGGAGCCTGTCGTCGACAAGGCGTTGGTCGTGGAAGAAGACAACGAGGAGCTCAGGAAGGACGTCCGCATGGAGGAAGAGCGCGTCGAGGAACGGGTGAACTGGATATGGAAGACCCTCTCCGCCTTCGAAGAGCGCTCGGCCACCTGCATCTCAGACATGCTCTTGCACGTCAGCAACGGAGCCTACTTCGATGGAGTTCTGGCTGCCAGGCGATTCATTGTGCACATCGACCTTCTGTTTGAAGCCGCCGATGATCTCGACCGTTTACTGGTTGCCGAGACCCCTAAAGGTATGTCCTTGTGTTGCTTCTGGCACTCCAGCTCTTCCCGCTAACCCGCAATTCCTTGTTCTGCAGGTCTCTCCTACTCCCGGGAAGCGAAGCTGCTTTGTAAGAAGGTTGTGGCTTTCTTCCAGCTTCTGGCTCAATCCCAGGACACTGGCGTGCGGAGGCTTGGTGTGACGCAGGAACTGTTGTCCCTTGTCACAGGTCTCGCTCACTACCTCAAGCTCCTTATTAGGATCTGTCTTCAGGGCGCGCTCAAGCTTGAGCGTGAGACTGGCAGTGCTCAAGGCCTCACGGCCTTTATGGACCAGATCAACGCTCTCGAACCGAAACTCGAGGCGGACGGTACGGCCGAGGCCGCTGCGGATTCTGCGCTTCTTGTTCAGCGAGTAGCCGATACTTGTCCGGTTTGCGACAAGCCGGTTGAGGATAAGTGCATGAAGCAGGGCAATCGAGTCTTCCACGTCGCTTGCATGGCGTGCCAGGATTGTGACAAAGACTTGCGGGAGTTGCATGATGCCAGATGGAGCAGCGTTCATGAAAGGCTTCTCTGCACGCAATGTGCGACGAGTGTCTCGGACGCTGAATCTGGCTTTGTACAAGTCACGAGGTTGAGGCAATATATTCACCTCTTGAGGGTGGCTCACGCAAGGCTTCTAGCGACCCTGCGCACTAGTGGTGCGCTGCCACATACTTCAGGTGAGGCTGGGCGAACGTTGCATTATGACCTTGGACCACGCTAACAAATGAGGCCTAGATGACCCGAACTTGATGGACTATGATTCCAACTCAGGCCATCGTCTTTCTCCGGCGGGCTCTGACGCTGCAGATCCGCCTCTGCTTCGCTCAGATACGCGCTCCAAGTCATACACCGGTCACAACTCCGGCGCTGCCCACGCCGCAAACTCCTCTTACGAGCAGACGCTTGGCGACATCCGACGACTCCGGTCTACCAGACTGGATAAGCATCTTTCAAACACCATGAAGCGCCCGCGGCAATCTACAGTCATGGACGGCCCAGCAGGCGTCCGTCCTGGCTCTGCCGGCGACGCGACTGAAGGAACATCCCAGGCAATGCGTATCGAACAATCGCGCGAGCAGGCTAACGACACCCGCCCCCTGACCTTTGGCTCCAACGGAATCGCACTGGATGACATTCCGCGTATCGTTGCCGCCGAGCAGGCCAAGGATCAACGACCAAATGCAGCGAGATATGCGCGGGATCACCTTGTTGGCCAAGAACCGAAGCCCAAGCTTGTTAACGGCCACCGCAGGGATGTCTCTGGGGCTAACGAGCTCGACAAGGCAATTGCTGCTGGTGAAACTCATACGGGCGGAAAGAAGTACTTCTCAGAGCTCACTGCTTTGGAATACTTTATCGTACGCCACGTTGCTGTACTTTCCATGGAGCCCTTGCTCGAAGGCCACTTTAACCAAGAAGAGCTTCTTGAGCTGATCGAGAGCCAGAAGCGGCCCAACTTCTGGAATAAGTTCGGCAAAGCCTTCCAGGGAGGGAAGCAGAAAGAGCCCAAGGGCGCCAAGGGGAAGAAGGGTGTCTTCGGTAAAGCCTTGGAGTATGTTGTCGAAAGGGATGGTGCCGAATCGACTGATTGCGTGGGTCCTGGTACGCTCAAGGTCCCTGCCCTGGTTCAAGATGCTGTCTCGGCCATGCGCACAATGGACATGTCTGTCGAAGGTGTCTTCCGTAAGAACGGCAACATCAAGCGCCTAAGGGAACTCACGGAGGAGATCGATGCCAAGGGTGGTGATGCTGTCGACCTGACGCGGGAGAGCCCCGTCCAGGTTGCAGCATTGCTCAAGAAGTTCCTTCGTGAACTACCGGATCCTGTCATGACGTTCAAGTTACATCGCCTCTTCATCACTGGAGCCAGTAAGTATCTGTCTGTAGTTTGCAGTGAGTCTTTGACTAACATTGCACAGAAATTCCGGACGAAGACAAGCGTCGGCGCGTGCTTCACCTGACGTGTTGCTTGATGCCCAAGGTTCATCGTGATACGATGGAAGTTTTGTTCACCTTCATGAACTGGGTCTCTTCCTTCCATACCGTGGACGAGGAGACAGGATCAAAGATGGACATCCACAACCTTGCCACGGTCATTGCGCCTAATATCCTTTACTCTAGCACCAAGAGCCCCGACATGGATAGCAGCTTCCTCGCCATTGAGGCAGTGCATACGCTGATACAGTGCAACGATTCCATGTGCGAGGTTAGTGTATCCCGCTGCTGATTTTGTGGTCAATTCTAATTCATTTGAGTAGGTTCCGGAAGACTTGCAGTCCATTCTGACCGACTCGTCAATGTTCGACCTCAGCGCGGAGCTTACCACTAAGGAAATTCTCAAGCGTGTCGGCGAGCTCGGCAAGATTCCGCAGACCACAGTGCAAACAATCCCTGCTCAGCACAACTCCGGCCGCTCGTCGACTCCTGTGGTTGCGCGCATCGAGACGGATCCTGCATCCTGGCAGACCGAGAGCTCCGTGCGACATGTTGGCGGCAATGGCCCAGGTAAAAATAACCCGAACCAAGGCCCTTCCAATAGCCATCATAACGGTCATCAACAGAATCATAATAACAATCTGGGCGCTCCCAACCCACCGTATGCGCACCCCTCATCCTCACCCGAGTCTCAGGGCAGTCACGGCAGCCGTGGCGGGTCCCCTAGTCGGTACTATCAGCAGCACAGACCACCCCAGGGGCCTTCTCGTCCGGGTCACGTTGCACCCACTGGGGCAACGTGACCGAGGCTTAAATTTCTGTGTTGATCCTGTCCTGAGAATTTTTGGGTGCCTTTTTTTTTTCTTTCTTTTGTTTATTGGGTTAGTTCGACAGGTTCACCGCCTGGAGTGGACGGAACTTCCCCAACCGCACGTCGCAGCCGTGCAAAGGGGTATCGGCCGCTTTACTGTGGCCAGGATTTTTCAAGCATTTTCTTTTTTCTCCCCTTTTTCCTCGGTTTCCTACCTCGTCTGTGTACGATGACGATACAAATCTCGTCTACCAGACCTAATTCACTTCTTCTCATTTCCTGCGGGTGTTGTTTGGAGCGCTCCATGAGCACACAGTTGGCAGATTCGGTCACCATTTCATTAGCGGAGCTCAGCTCTTCTGCGGGCAAAGCGAATTAGCGAGTTTCTATTTCTTTGTTTTGCGCCGGCCAGCCCGCCAGTAGCATTTGGGAAAGGGGCGTTCTACTAAGACAGCGGGAGGACAATACTCACCCCGCCGTTGTACAGCCGTCCCTCGAAAAGGGGAGCGGCTGAAAGTTGTCGTTTTTCTGAAGCATTCGAAAGCAGGCGATCGAGATTCAACTTTTGCGTTCAAGCTGTCGCGGGACCTTTTTTACAGAGGTCTCCTGTTTGTTATCGGAGAGCTTGTTTGAGGCATGGGGCTGGTTTACTGGTGTGGCGGTGGTCTCTTTCAATATTGCATGTTTGCTGAAGGGGAGGAGGGGACGGAGTGCAGCAAGTTGGCTAGAGTCGAGCGAGTGAGATGTAGGATGATTGAGTAGTCTCGTGAAGGGCAGCATTCAGGAATAGAGTTCAGCGATGGTGCTGCAATCTCTGCTTTGGCCCATGTGTGGACGTGACGTCCCCTTTCATATCCAATGCAAACTGGAGCCTTGGCATCGCTAATTCCGATAACCCCGCGTTGAGCTCTCTGGTCACCCCACACTTACCCACCTTCAACATCATCCGCCATCAGCCCTACGCCAGGCCACCCCAATGCTTTTCCAATCCTAGCACGAGCAAAACCACACAATGTTCTCCATTCCGTCGCTCCGGCTGCCGTCCTTCGGTTTCGGCGCCGCAGTCCCGAAGGCCGACATTCCATCCGTCACCATCCACGATGTCGAGACGGCGGCGGAGAAGCGTCCGCGCACACTGAAGCACCTGATCCGCGCGAACCATGCGAACCACTCGATCATCTACCATGAGCTGCGCTTCCACAACCACACGCCTCACGTACGTATTGTGCGCCTGTCCTGTCGTCTTCTCTTGTCGAACTTCTCCGGTGGACGATCGAAACAATATAGTAGCTTGCGCAGTGGCTGATGGGGCAGGGCAAAGATTCTAGGCTCTGCGTACATATTTGGGGCCACAGCTGAGCACCTGAACGACATCTATGACAAGGAGGCCGAGGAGTTGGAGCCATGGACGGATTCGCCGAGCGAGATTGCGAAGCATGATTGGCGAGACTTTCTGGGGAAAAGAGAGTATGTTTGGTTCCGGAATAAACATACCAGACGTCGTCCATGAGCTGATGGCTACGTGTAGGTATCAGAGAGCTTTCATTGATTTTTTCGAGGACCAGCTTGTCCAGTACAGCTATGACTGGAAGGCTGAGTTGAAGGACTTCCTTTTCGAGGGAGAGAATCCGCTCATAAACAACCTCATCTCTGGGCGTATGTGTCCCGTACAAGCTTCTTTTTGCCATGCAGCACTGCCTCTAGTATATCCAAGCTAACAGATTCGTCCGCGCGTACAGTCGGCCATCCTCTCATTCATTTAGGCTACGCTTACGAGTTGCGATCTCGCACCCTCGCCATCGAGGCTCTCGCGCTCACAAGCTGCTTCTATGATTTCCAGCATCTTTACCTTGACGATCCGGAGTACAGCCGTCCGTCTGACTTCCAGACTCGTTCTCTTACCGAGATCCTACAACGGGTCCACGATGACGACCGGTTCAATAACCTTTTCGAGACACCTGGCGGCGACAATTTGGAAAGGTTGTTCAAGGAGAGAGAGGATGCCGTGCTTGAGCACTGGAACAGCTGGGATCTAACCGGCAAGAACCTGGAGGAGCAGTTTATGGAGGGGCAGAAAGTCGCGGTGGCCCTGTTGCTGGCGCGGCAGGGAGGCAGCACTACGGAAAAGTACGACTTCTTCGTCGTGCACTTGCTCAACACCTCGCATGCAGTGCGCGTCCTGCTGCCCCTCATTCCCGCCAAATGGCACGTCCCGCTGCTACGACAATGGGCACTGTTCGTGATTTCGGCGTATGTCGCGCAGCTGCGGCCTGCGCTCGACTTCAAGCGCATCGAGGATTTCGACCTCCAGGGCAAGGATTGGAAAGACGTGCAACATCTCGCGCTCAAGGGGGGATACAATCTTGACGCGCACTACGTCAAGGCGCTGCGCAGCATGCAGGAGGCGGAGAAGACGTGGCCGAACGTAGCAGAGGGCTATTATCTTAAGGCTGCGGTGAAGTTTGCGACGGAGTTTGATGGTTGGGGTGGGTTTGGGAGTGCGATGAGCGAGGAAGAGGTTCGGGCACATGCGAGGGGTGGGTAAGTGCTATCAGGATCGGGTTTGAGACTGAGAGCGGAGAGAAGGGAAATTGATCTGATCTGCTCGTTGAGGTATTAATCTATAAATGTTTGATTTGGTTTGTATGAAGATGAAAAGGGTTATGAAGGGTATGAGTATTAACCGCGGAAGGTAACTACGGGTTTTGTCAATGTGGTTACGATCGGAACCGTGTCCTTGGTTGGGTTGTGTGACTTCAAGACTCGTACCTACCTATGCGACATGCATGTGGTGTGGCACGTATGGCGCAACCTACTCGTAGATGAAGCCCATCTCGGACCCGCACGGTCCCCCGCGACTTGCAGGCTGACGTAGGCAACGGTAGGTCCCGCCAAGCTAAGTGGACTCTCACCCGCACAAGCGCACGCGGCGGCGTTGCTCCCCGTCCCGGTGAGGGCGCAAAAGGACCAGTGAGCGGATCCAGGGACTTTTTCCAAATCGCATCTCAGGACGTATGGGGAAGAGTTGAGGGTTGATGATGTCACTGGGCGATGCTCTCTCTCTACGTCTTCCACGCTAAATCTTGCTTTTGCACGCTTGTTGTTGGAGCTTAAAGAGCGGTGGCTATGGACTAGGATAGGTCGTGGCTGATCGGTTTTAATTCAGCTGGGGATCGCGATCATGGACAAAAGGCTAGACCGTCGGATCCGACATGGTGCCGACGAGGCATGTTGGAGGTGGAAGCTTCTGGGGCATGGAACCTACCTAGGTACGGATATGCCGGGCGGGAAAGCGAAGAATCCGGGGCCGTTCGCGACCCCTTGGGACTTGCACACAACAGCCACCAGGGCGATCAGCAGAGGCGTGGCGCATTTCAGATTCGAAGCTTTTTCTGGGCACGGTATTCCATGCGGAATGCCGCGGGCGATTCTGCCGGACCAAGCAATGCACCGAAGTGTCGTGGATGACGCCACGGACGATTAAGCGTGATGAAGCTCCCTCGGCCGCCGCTCCCCATCCGGTCCGGGCGGCTTATGACGTTGCCGCGAATTGAAGGGCGCCGCGATTCCTCAAAACCGCGCGCGCCGCCCCCCTCCGCTCCCGCCCTTTCCCTTTCCCCTACACACTTTACCGCAGGCTTTGTCTCGTCTAAGACGTCTGTGGCCGGCTTTGTTGCCACCCCATCATCCATCCTTCCCCCACGCACCACTCCTCCCCTACCGCCACCATGCCATCGCTAAAGAGAGCCCTCAACAAGCTGAAGACGGGCTCCAGCAGCCAGCCCAACACCGACGACGAAAAGTCGCTCAAGAGCCCCCAGCCCAATGGCCAATCCCCCATTGCCTCGCCCATATCCTCTCCGCGCAGCAGTGGTATGTTTGGCCGCAGCAGCGGCACCTTCGACCGTCGCGAGGCCCGCGGCAGTGGCACCTTCGATCGCACCAACCACCGCAACAGCACCTTCTCTACCGGCGCCTCGCACAGCCCCATCCGCGCCGTCCGCGAGAAGCTGCACCTCATCCACGATGACGACTCGGACTCGGGAGACGTGCCTCTCAACCGCGAAGGCGAGCCCATGAGCAAGGCGCAGCAGAAGAAGCACGAAAAGCAGGCCGAGGCCGAGAAGCACAAGAGAGAAGCCGAGGAGCGGCAAGAGGCTCAGCAGCAGAAGAGGCGGGAAATGGAACAGCGGGCCAAGAAGGAGGAAACGCCAGAGATGAGCGCCAAGTACGGCGTCCTTCCCGTGAACATGTACGCGACCGACCGCGAGCATGTGGACCGCTACAACATCATGGACCTGTCCCCGGAGCAGGTCGGCAAAGAAATCGTCTTCAGGGCACGTATCCACCACATCCGGAAGATGAGCGCACATCTGGTCTTCTTCGTCTTCCGCCAGCAGACAACAACCGTACAAGGAGTACTGCACGAGCATGCTCATATCTCTCCCCACTTTGTTTACTGGGCCGAGCATCTAGACGCCGAGTCGGTCGTCCTGGTCAAGGGTATCATCCAGGAGCCCAAGGCTAAGGAGGGCGCCATCAAGAGCACCACCATCCACAATGTCGAGATCTCTGTGCACGAGCTTCACGTCGAAGGCAAGGTCACCGAGTCCCTTCCTTTCAATGTGGCCGAAGCCGAGGTTTCCAAGGCCGAGACCGAAAAGGAGGGCGATACTCGCGTCAGAGTGTCCGACAGGACTCGGTTGTCGAACCGCATCATCGATCTTCGTACGACCACATCCCAAGGCATCTTTCGCATCCAGTCTGGCATCTGTAACCTTTTCCGTTCCTACTTGGACTCCCAAGGGTTCATCGAAATTCACACGCCAAAATTGCAAGGTGGTGCGACCGAGTCTGGCGCTAGTGTCTTCAAGATCGATTACTTTGGTCGCCCTGCATTCCTGGCCCAGTCCCCTCAGTTGGCCAAGCAGATGTGTATCTCTGCCGACTTCGGCAAGGTCTACGAAATTGGTGCCGTGTTCCGTGCCGAAAACAGCAACACTCACAGACACATGACTGAATATACCGGTCTCGATCTTGAGATGGCCATTGACGAACATTACCACGAAGTGCTACGCGTTCTTGACAACACCTTCAAGCACATTTTCAAGGGTGTCTATCAACACTACCGGCACGAAATCGATGTCGTTAAGCGCCAGTTCCCGCACGAGGATCTCGTATGGGCAGACCAAACTCTCCGGCTGACCTTCGCTGAGGCCATCAAGTTGCTCAACGAGTCTGGCTGGAGGGACGAGAACGGCGACCCGCTTCCGGAAAATGAAGACATGGGCACGAAGGATGAAATCCAACTCGGCAAGGTCGTCAAGCAGAAGTACGGCGTTGACTACTACATCATCGACAAGTTCCCGACTTCCGCAAGACCTTTCTATACCATGCCTGACCCCAACAACCCTGAGGTTACCAACTCCTTCGATATCTTCCTCCGTGGCCAAGAAATACTGTCTGGTGGTCAGCGTATCCATGATGCAGACATGCTAGTGAATAACATGGAGAAACAGAAGATGGACCCCAGAACATTGGAGGAATACGTGCAGGGCTTTGGATGGGGCGCTCCCCCTCACGGAGGTGGAGGCATTGGTCTTGAGCGTATGCTCATGCTCTTCCTTAACTTGGGCGATATCAGGCACGGTTCTCTCTTCCCTCGCGATCCCAGGAGTTTGCCCGCAAAGGCGCCTGTGAAGCAGCTGCGGCATCCTGAAGCAAGCACCATGCATCCGCCATGGGAAGGCCAGGATCGCGCCGCTGCCGCCATCGACTTCCAGCCCATCGAGAAGCTCATTGCCAACTATGGTGATGCATCCAACACTTCGTGGTTGGAAGAGCGCACGCAGATCTGGCGTGACGAATACACCGGCGCTGCTGTTGGCTACGTGCCCCAGGGTGACTATGCTATTACCGTTGGCGACCCCCTTTGCCACCAATCGCAGTACACTAAGATCATCTCCGGATACCTGCGCTTCATCAAGAGAGAGCGTAACCTCAAGCCTCTCTGGCTACTCTGTGGTCCCGATGTGGAGGAGGCACTCGCGACGCGCTTCAACTGGCGGACCTTCTCAGTTGCTGCCGAACAACGTCTTGATCCGAGCAACAACCCAGCTGCCCATGACCATGACCTGCAGCGCAAGATCCGTCATGCGGAAAAGGAGGGTGTCAAGCTTCACGACTTCCCTCTCGGATCGCCGCCACCGCGGGATGTTCGTGAGAAGATCGATCAGCGCATCAAGGATTGGCTGGCCAATCGCAAGGGCAAGCAGGTCCACTTGACAGACATCCACCCATGGCAGGACATGGATCATCGCCAGTACCACTACGCTGTTGACAAGGATGGCACCATCGCCGCCTTCGTTGCCATGGCGCAACTTAGCCCCGACCATGGCTGGCAGGTCAAGTACTCGCTTGACTTCCCCGGTGCTCCTTCTGGCGCTATCGAGCACATTGTTACGCACGCCCTCAAGGCTGTGGCGGCTACTGGTTCGACCAACGTCACGTTTGGTGGTGGTGCTAGCCAGCGCTTCACGCCTGGTCACAACATGAAGAAGCCTCGCGTCAAGGTTTTGAGCCGTGCTTACCAGGCCATTGCCACCGAGCTCAAGCTCACCAACAAGAGCGAGTTCCGTGAGAAGCTCGGTGCTCACGAAGACCCGGTCTACATCTGCTACCCACCCCATGGTCTGGGCCCAATGGGAGTGAAGGCTATTATGAGCTTCTTTGAGGATGACGAGTAAAGGAGCAAAGAAAAGCAAAGCAGAGTGACATCCAATGACTGATTTCTGCCAATAGGTCAGATGAAGCGCGGGTCTCAGAAGCAGATCGTACGTTGACACCGCCATTGGTGGAGATCTCAGAGGATGCTTATTGCTGTCGTTGCAGGAATGGGTGGAACTGCTAAAGCAGCTCCGCAAGATACCCGATGGACGGAAACTGATCATGCAACGGAGCATGTGGTCAGGATTGACGTGTACTACGAAGAGCGGCTCCTTTTGTTTATTGTGCTTTTTCGACTCTTCTCTTCCCCTTGATGCAGATTCCCCCAAGAGCGCGTTGTTATAGTTATGAGTGCTACGAGTAAACCCTTAATTCAGATATTAGAAAGCTTGAGCTGCGCTTTTGCGAAATGATGGTGTTGCACGGGCTGGTCCGTCGTGCCATGTGGCTGGTGCCACAAAGGTACCCGGAAATAGGCGGTCCGCCTGGCGCGCCAAGGCCAGGCCGGGCGCGCTAATGACGCCAATCCATGTTAAAGTTACCTACTCTCTCAAGTCTTCTGCGCGCCGTCCTCACTCCCACGACCATAAGATCCCCACAATGGCTCAAAAACGCAGCCATGAAGAGTTCGCCGAACGTTCGACAGAGGGCACGCACGAACACAAAGACAACGATGCTACAACCGACAATGCTAGCGGCGGCGACTGGGAGACGGCCGAGAACCGAGCGACGAAGAAGCTGAAGAAGGTGCCAAAGCAGCAGTCGAATAACTACCCTTCTATCAGCCACTCCAGCAGTGCGCGCCTGCAGTCTATCGTCAAAATCGGCGATCTTCAGGCGCTAGCGCTCTACATACTCGGTGACGGGAATGCACCGCAATGGGTGGCAGTCAAGAACAAACAGCAGATCCGCAGATTCGTTATTGTCATGGTGCCTGGTCTGGAAGCGGGTATGTTCAATGGAACGATTCCTTTGGAGGACAGTGCTGCGCAGGCGCAAGCGCAAGAGGGTGAGGCACAGGACACAAATGGCAAACTGGCTATGAATCCCGACGACTATTATCCCGTCAAGTTGGTAGCAGACAAGTTGCCCGAGCCCTTGAGGCCGTTTGCAGATATGTTCCCGCACATCTGGCCCATCAAGACTCCCGGCGACGATAAGTTCTCCAAGGTGCATTCGCCGCTGCAAGCAATCCTCAATTCGCCTTTGCCCAAGGGAGTCGACGAGAAGAAGAAGAAGGGGCCACAGCCGCCAAGGGGCGAATGGAAAAACCAGCGCACGTCCATCACGGAATACCTGGCGACGTCAGAAGAGTTGTTGGAAAACGAGTACCCGTTGCATCCAGCATACTACACAACCCCAGAAGAGAAGGAGGCTGCTCTCCAGCAGAGGACGGCCGCGGAGCAAGATTTGGCGCATGGATGGCTCGACACACCAGTAGAGAAGCTCGAGGACGGCGAAGTGCCGGATCAAGAGATTGAACAAGGCAGCCTGACAGCAGGCAGAAATGTCCTTACTATGGACTGCGAGATGTGCAAGACTGCGGAGGATACATACGAGCTTACACGCATCAGTTTGGTCAAGTGGGATGGCTCAGTGCTCATGGACGAGTTAGTGAAGCCAGACCGGCCCATTATTGACTATCTCACACCCTACTCTGGCATTACTGAGGAAATGCTTCGCCCTGTCACAACTACTCTCTCCGACATCCAGAAGAAGCTCATGGAAGTCATCACGCCGCGCACGATTCTAGTGGGCCATTCGTTAGATTCCGACCTCAAAGCGCTCAAAATAACGCACCCCTTCATCGTCGACACGTCGATCCTGTACCCGCACCCGCGTGGACCGCCGCTCAAGTCGTCACTCAAATGGCTTTCGCAAAAGTATCTGCAGCGCGAAATTCAGAAGCAACACGGCTCGACAGGCCATGACAGCGTCGAGGACGCGCGAGCTTGTCTCGATCTCGTCAGGCAAAAGTGCGAACGTGGTAAGCGCTGGGGCACCAACGACGCCAACTCCGAGTCCATTTTCAAGCGACTGGGGCGCAACAAACGGCCAAAGAATCAGGCCATGGCTGCGACGGGCGAGGAGCCGCGCACAGGCGCAGTTGTGGACTGGGGCGAGCCGAAGCGTGGGTTTGGTGCCGCTGCTGAAGCGGCCATCGGATGCGGTAGTGACGCGGACGTTGTAGAGGGGATAAAGAAGGTGGTAGTGGGAACGGGTAGGGGCCCTGAACAGGCGGATATTCCGTCAAGGGGCGTGGACTTTGTTTGGGCGCGAATGAGGGAGCTCGAAGCTGTCAGGGGATGGTGGACAAGGACGAAGAGCGCGGATAACGCGGTACTGCTGGCAAACGCATTGGCGAAGATGGGCCCTGCCGCAGACAACAGCACCGCGAACGCCTCGGACGAAAGCACTGCGACAGCGACCAAAACGACGAACCCTGCCGTTCCTACGACGGGCCCTGGCGCCGACGCTGACATCAACTTGGCCTCGCCCTCGGCCGAGGTTTCGCCCTCTCAGCTCGGTGCTGCGGTCAAGAAGACGGCGGACCACCTGAAGGAGCTGTACGACTCTTTCCCGCCATGCACGGCATTCGTCGTGTACAGCGGGACGGGCGATCCGCGCGAGACGCAGCGGCTGCAGGAGCTCAAGCAGCAATTCCACCGCGAGTACAAGACGAAAAAGTGGGACGAGCTCAACGTGCACTGGACGGACGTCGAGGACCAGGCGCTAAGGAGGGCGTGTAAAAAAGCGAGAGCGGGCGTGGGATTCATGGTCGTGAAGTAAAACGCTACTGCTGATTAATATAGATGAGCAATAGCGCGTAAAAAGATGGATCCTTGACGGCGGGGGAGATTGCTTTGAAATCAAGGTACTGGGATGGTGTATGTACGGATATGGTGGCAGTCGTGTCTACGTATCCTCTGACACGATTGCGCAATACGTTGCCTTCGCAGCAGTTAGAGTATACGAAAGGTCTACGTAGCATTGCATGCTACAAGAAGACACGCGTCGAATACGAAATGGGAAACGTGGACATGGAGATAGCTTGGTAAAAGTAAATGGATATATCGATTAAGTCCGTCAAGGCCGAGGAGGGTGAGGCTCAAGCGGCCAAGGCAGCAACAAATGGACTTGGATGGATTGGAACTGGAATCCTGCAAGCATGATGAACGCGTGGAGAAGGAATGACTTGCCTTTTGCCGACCCCCTGGTAGGTAGGTAGGTAGGTAGGTAGAAGGATTTACTGTAGAATGCCAAGGTGTCCCGACCGAGACGTGGTGGTGTACATATATCATCTGGCTGGCAGGGCGGATATAAGAGAGCAAGCCAAAAAGCTTAAGCAGAGAGCCAGGCGGACACGAGGACGGCCTTATGACGAAAGAGGCCAGCGGTCCATGACAACAAACAGCAAAGAGGCACTGCCACGCAAGCGGGGACTGGATGCATCCTGCAGGGCTGTGCCAAGAGGGGGAAGGGACGGGTGTCAGGTGAAACGACTTGTGGGAGGCCCGGTGGAACGGTCGCGCAAGGACTGGATTGGCGACGGGCGTGGAGGAGGCACGCAAGCACGGGAAGCCAGGGACATGATCTTACACACGTGCACGCGCAGTGGCAATTGGCGGCAAACGGCAAGGCTGATTCGCATCAGGCCACGGATCGACGGCCGTCTTTTCGTCCGTGTTGCGTGAAGGATTTCTTTTGCAAGCGAGGTGAGGGTTGGGTGGAGACGCCATTGGAGGTTAATTGTTGATTTAGGGTAGTTGTTGCGAGCGAAAGGGCGCATGTGGCATTTGGCCCCCAACCGGTCAAAGGCGGTGGATGGTGGTGCAGGCGCGCATGACTGCAGGCGCACACCGCGTCCGGGCGGGCGAGGGCAACGGTGTTGGGCGGGGGAATGCGGCTCAAATGGCGGACTCTGAGCGCTGCCCGGCACAGCCCCCGCCGACCCGCGCCATCCCCAATCGAGCACTAGGTTTAGGCAGCAGCCCAGCGGGACGTCAGACTGCGCGCCCTCACCCTCACGCGTCTGGCCTTTCTTTTCCCCAGGCATCCCTCCCTTCTACCTCTCTCTCTCTCTTCGTCCTTCCTCTCTACCCGACAACTAACACAACGCCTCCCGCTCTTCTCCGTGCCGTGTTTTCCATCTTCCCTCTAGCTCCGGCCGCCTCGTCATCCTTCGCTGCTGCCAGGTAAATTAACTACCATTTCCGGGACCACCACCTCGTTCATATACTCAACCCGCCCCAGACGCTTACCCCGGCGCGCTTACAACTGTCCTGCTCCTCTTGTCCCTTCGACGCACTCCAAGTCCGTCTGCTTTTTTGCCGTCCCTCGACGTCTGCCCTGGTCCCCTCGCGCGTCACTGTTGTGCCTCAGCCTCGCCCGCTCTTGAATGAGGCCGCCGTTTGCCAACCAGTCCGCAAGCTCCCTCCGCGCTGGAAGGATTCCCAGTGCACTGCCTTCCTTAGTACCAGCCCGGTCGCCCTGCGCCTTCATCTCGAAGCCCAACAAGGCCCGACTTGCCTGTGGATATCGAACCCCATTACCGATTCACCGGATTCGTTCTGTGTGAATCACAACGGACGGTCCAATCCAGCGTGAGTCATACCTACCGAGCAGGACACCGGACATCACCGGGCTAACTCGAGTGCAGACTGCAAGCATACTTCCAACCGCCCACACCTTATTACCCAACATGGCAACCGCTCAGACCCACCCCCGCCGCCGTCCTCAAAAGGTCGACGGCTCCCAGATGGCACCGCCCTCTCTAACCACTTGGAACCTTCGCAAGGCTGGCACTTTCCACTCTCCCACTAACGTCTCGTCGGAGCTCGTCGACCCCGTCGCTCCGTACTGCTCCATGCCGAAGCGTTCTGAGACCAACCCCCAGTCGCTCGAACAGATTCTCATCGACGCCGGCGAGAGACGTGTTGCCGGATTGCTTGCGACCGTCGACAACGTGCTGGCGGGCAAGACCTCGTCTGCTTCCGATGCGAGCATCCTGAAGGACAACAAGGTCCTCCCTGTCCCGTCTTTTATGCTGGACAACCACACCGTCACCGACTCTGATCCGATGGAGATCGACTCCAAGCCTGTCGTCGTCGACCACCACCATGCGTCTGACAGCGGTCTTGGCTCATCCGTCAGCGGTTCTATCTATGGTACGTGGCCCCCACCCCCTCCCCCAGTACCATGGCTTGGCAACGCTAACTGATGTAAAGAAGCTGGCAGTGCTCGCCTTCGCGGATCCGCACGCTCTTCCGTCACCGCCGCTCGGTCGGCAATCACCAAGTCCTACTCTGGCTTGTCCTCAAACAGCGAGGACAATGTCCGCCGCATGAGTGAGCAGGCCATCAAGCAGATCCAGAAGCGTATCATCAAGCCTATCCTCCAGGAGCCCTCTCTTAAGGACTTCCATTCCATGGTTAAAGACGTCCCTCGTCGCATCGGCCACAAGGAAATCAAGAACCTCCGTGACCTGGAAAAGACCCTCATCTACCTCGCTCCTGTAAGTCCATATTATTTAACTTTGCGCAGTGCTTTTACTTATTTGTTTTGCCGAATGAAGGAGTGTGCCGCTTTGTCGCCAACGAAGTACCTCCGATTCTGCGAAACTACCGTTACGTTTATCGCCTCTACGGTCAACTACCTTTGCGAAGCCGACCAACGACTGCCGACTGATCGCCCGTACACTAACAACTACTTCCTGGACCTCGTCGAACAGATCCGCAGATACGCCGCAATCATGGCTGCCACAAGAGCAAAGAGGGCTCGGGGTGAGCCCCTTAGTGAGATGGACCACTCCCCGTAAGTTATATTCTATCTATCTCCCCCCATGGCTATCGCGGCTAACTCGTTTATAGTAATGAGAAAGTTGTCCTTCGCGGCGGCCTCAGCCGCAACGGTCGCCCTGCCGAGTTGGTACGTGAGAAGAACGGTAGGGTAATTCCCATTGCTACCGACTCTGAGCGAGCATCTGCCTCGAAGCGCCCGCTTGAAGACGACGAATCGGATGAGGACAGCGTCCACCGCTCCATGGCTCGCAGGCGAAAGTCCGACCGCCCCGGCGATGTCATGCACATTTGCCCGGATTGCAAGAAGGAATTCAAGCGCCCTTGCGATCTGACCAAGCACGAGAAGACGCACTCGCGTCCATGGAAGTGCTCGGAGCCGAAGTGCAAGTACCACGAGATGGGTTGGCCGACGGAAAAGGAACGCGACCGCCACGTGAATGACAAGCACTCGGCGATGCCGGCTCAATACAAGTGCCTGTTCGCGCCTTGCTCTTATGCATCCAAGCGCGAGTCAAACTGCAAGCAACACATGGAGAAGGCTCACGGCTGGACTTATGTCCGCTCAAAGGCGAACGGGAAGGGCCCGAAAAAGTCCCCGAACGCTCCTGCTTCTCTCACTCCCCAGACTCCTCTTACTCCATTCATTGCCACCCCGGCATCTGGAATGCAGCAACTGTCTACTCCTGTGACACCCTTTGACAACTCTCCGTCCGTCCAGTCGTACCAAGAAGTTGACTGGGACAACTACTACAACCCACAGCTGAACGTGGACACCAGCTACCTGGATGCTTTCCGGCGCGAGTCCATTACGACCGCCGGAACAGACTTGACATATTCATCCACGCACTCACCGGCGCAGCCCAACATGTTTGAGGACTGCATCACTCCTCCAGATGCTGGGTTTGACCACACCCTGTTTGGTAGCGGCTTCGACTTCAACCCTACCGTTCAGCAGCCTACTCCCGCTCTGAGTGATGACAACCTCTTCGCCGACCACTTTCAGTCTTTGCCGCAGCTGAGCGCAAACCTGAATGTAAACGGCTTCGGTAACACCACTCATCTCTCGCCGGGCGCCCAGCCGGACCTCACTCTGTTCAGTCCGTCTGAGAACGATATGCAAATTGACGAAGGCTTTGGGGACTACCCGGCTGGCGTTGATTTCCCGCTGTTTGACTCCACCAGCAGCAACCTTACCTCCAATGCCAACAACGGAGAAGGCAACAGCAGCAACTGGTTCCCCGACCTGTCCAACTTTGGCGGTCAATTCGAAGACATGTCATTCCCCCCTGCCGACTTCTGCACCAACACTTCTTATGAATTCAACCAGTAAGTGACCAGGGTGGTGGTCATTGCTGACCTTGACCGGCTTCATCATGCCGGCAAGTACCTACCTACATGTGTGTTTTTTGCGTGGATCTTTTCCCACTTCTTTGCCTTGTGTGCGCGAGTAGATGATGACGTACCGAGGCCCTTTTTCAGAATGTTTTTTATGCCTATGTTACGAGCGATTTCCCCCTTGGAAAAATATTTCTTTAAATTTCCTCAACTATTATTGAGCGGATGGCGATGGCCATAGCCATGGCCATGGATAGGATCGAACGAATCTGGACGGGTATGGATGGAACCGATTCCTAAACAAAAACAAAAATTTATGGCAACACGGCCAGTTAAGGATACGATACGTCTTGCAGTTGGGACAAACCAGAAAAAAACGAAGATAAAAAAACAAGAAGAAGCTCAGCGTGTTTACTTGCTCCCTTGCTCTCGTCATCCAGTTGAAAACGCAGGCGTTATTGGTGGGTCCCCGAGCTAGGTAGCGAGAGAGGGTTTTTGATCTTCTTTTTCTTCTTCTTCTTTTGACAGGATCTCAAAGAGATTGGATCAATCATTCACCCCACTCTTAGCTAGTGCGTGGGTGGCGATTATGACGACGACGAGAGATGGTTATTATAATGGACGGATTTATTGATTGATTGGCGGTATCGACGGGACGGATGGGCTGGGACACCAATCTCTACCCTGTGAACCAAGTCAATGGCATTTCTATACTCTCAGTCCCTCACCTTTGGTTTGCTTTGCTTGCTGCTCGTCTTTCTTTAACCCCTTACCCTCTTCCATTTTATCAGTGGACGGACAATGAGGGACGGCATGGTCTGTCCCGGTCCGGCTTGTAGCATAAAGAGAGCGAACAATCTCCGCATCAGTACGAGGGAAAGAGTGTGTGAGAGAGACAGAGAGAGGGAAGCAGAATGTCGGAATTCCACTCAGACAGAGCGCGTGTTGCTCGACCAAATCAAACGGATCCATACTCTGGGACTGGCTGGCGTTGTTGCTGTTGAACTTGCGTGACTAATACGATGGTGGTGGTGATGACGATAGATGGTGTGTAGTTATGACATAAGCAGTCCAGCATCCTGAGGTGGTGACGACGATGAAGTCGTGAGGGGGGGGAAAAAAAAGGGCGAGCCGCACCCAAGGTGCAGTATATATATGTAGGGCGCTGACGCCCATCGTGGCCCCCTCTCGGGCCCACGACGATAGCTGGAAGCTAATCTTGGATCGTGAGCGCCGCCTCCAGCCCCAACAACCATGTGGGGTGGGGGCTGCAGCTGCAGCCTTGTGCTAGACCCAGGCTGCAGCGGCGCCACCCACACCCACCACCCATCCAACCCACACCCTACCGACCGTGCCTAATCCCCATCTAACATGTAGTAAGCCGCCGCCGCCGCCGCTGTTTGCCGAATGCTCACCGGGCCTGCATGGGGTGCTGCCTAAAGAGGCACCAACACCTGCCTGCTTTGTAGGCAGTCGCGAGCGGCAGTCATCCGTGGCTGCCCGCTAGGCTACCTTAGTAGGTCGCTGCCGCTGGCCTGCTCTGTCTGTTAGGCAGCGCTCGCGGGCGTGTGTGGGCGCCGACACGACAACGTCGACGCCGCCACCATCAGGCAGGTACCCTTGGACGTCTGGGCTATTCTATTCTTACCAGCCAGCCAGCCAGCAAGCGGACCAGCGCCTGCCTGGACGAGGTGATGATGCGAGCGCGGCTCGAGGCTGGCCGCTGGCCGCGCGATGCTTGGGGCCTTGGCGGCGCTTGCAAAGGCAAGCTTTGGGAAGCAGCGCTCGCTCTCTGGAGGCGTCCGTTCGAAAGCTCATCTAACTACGAGTATCTGGCGCGGTCTAGAGCCGTGCCGGCTCGGTTGTGCTGGCGTATCGGTACTCGTACCGTGCTGATCGAGCGTTTGAGTGCGTCGAGATGCACACACACCCACAAACACCCACACGGCTCTCGCCGCAGTGTTGGCCGTTGGCATCGCGTCAAGATCCAGCGGTCGCTCAGATGTACAATGGCAGCCTCGTGCAGTTTTGCCTGCTCTATCTGAAGCCTTATGGCAGTGCACGCAGTTGCCTGCATCCAAAGCCTAGTCGACGTTAGACACTGGGCATACTCTATGGTGCCTAGAGACCCCGCTACACCTTGAGTGACGTCTATCTGTTGTAGTCACCGTATTCAGCCGCAATGGGGGCGGCTTCGGCTTTGACTCTGCTTTGCCAACAGCGGTCATATGGGGGCTGGACCGGGCTGAGATGCGAAGTGACCGTGGTGCGTGATGGGTGATGATGTTAGTTAGCTTGGGCAGTACGATTCCACAGCCTCCCGCGTCCGCTGTGCTTCGGGGAGGCAGTAGTGACGGCTACAGTGGCTGGTTGAGTATGCGTATGGCTCGTGTTGGTGCTCAATGGGCTCAAGAGCTTAGCAACAAGAGGCCAGTTGAGACGGTTGAGCGGGCTTGGACGTTCTTCGGTCAGAAATCAGTTATAGTTTGCGCCACGGGTTTGGGTGGAAGTTTCTGATATCGTGCATGCTTTTGTTCACGTGGGTTCATTTCAGTCCTGCTCCGCTCCGCAGCGCAGCATGGTGCCAGAATTAGGTTCTTGCAAGGGTCCGATGGGATCCGAAGCCAAGACCGATATGAAATAGTACTACATCTTCCTCTTTCTTTTTCTTTTTCTTTTCCTTTTCCTTTTCCACTTTCTTTGGTCAGTTGTAATGTCCAAGGAATGCTCCTGGACTTAGTAAATCATGGATAGCTGACTTGACGAGGGGACCCATTCACTCATAAGATCCTCCGTAGAGTACTTCAGGTAGCAGTGGATGATATTCCGCCTACATGTACCACGGGACATGCCATGGCGACCCTGGCCAATCCATGGTTCCTACCTCCCGGCCCAAGGCCCAGACGATGCACATGTTTTCAAAAGGTATGTCTTCATAGTGGTAATATGAACTGGTTGACGACGTTGATCAATAAGCTTTTCAATAAGCTTTGACGCTAAGACTAACGGTTCCAATAATCCACTGTGTTCGTGATGGCTTTTGGGATCCTTTTGACTCATCAGAAAGCATGGAATCGCACCTTGGTGGTGAGATGAAAAATATAGGCCTGAGTATGCCTCCAAAATCTTTTCTTGGGTCTTTGGTCTTCTTCCTGCCACGACGAGGTGTTGGTTTGACCTTCTTAATTAAAAACAAAGTCCAGCAAGGTGCTGCTTTCTTACCGAGCTAACCCTAAAAGGCAGCAACCCTCCTGGATCTCGGCAAACATCTGGCCGACTCACGCTGTCCAGGGCAAGAGCAAAAGGACATGGGCTCTGAAGGAACGGTGACGGAATCCTCGGTGTTAGGTCAATTTCAGGTCAGCATGCTGCGCATGGATCCCCCAAAGATCTTTTGCAAATAAAGTAAGGTTCAGGCCGTCGCCATATTGGCTATTTGATTAATCTATGACCATGATCGCTGGCACCAGACCCCCACCTTTGCATTTCGAGTGAAGCGCAAGAGAGGATAGTGGATCGTAGCTATCATACTCTCTGAAATATGCCGAAAATAGGCAGATTACTGGTACACTGAGCTCAAAATGGTGTAGAAAGCCTTTCTGCGATGTATTTTCGAGCTCAACCGATAATGATGTCTTCGGCAACCGAGAGCATATAAGACACAACTCAAGCAATCCTGGTACTTATTTCTATTTCTCTCGATTTGGAACTCCGAGCATACTTTTAAAAAGAGAAGATAAAGTTTTCCACCTACCATCGACATCGACTACCGCTTACAGTTTTGATAATTCTGTTGCTGACCAACGAAAGGGAGGTAGTCTGATAATGTAAGGACTGATTATTGTGAATATTCTACGGCTTGGTTAGCTAACCTGTTGTAAGACCCATTGGCTGGTTGATACCTTGTTGTCTGGCTAGTAATATTGCAATTGAAGATGGACCAATGTGAGCCGAGAGGCTTGGCACCAAAGTAACTGATTCGAAAGCCTAACCTGTTGATACAGTCAATCAAACGCCCGTTCAAAATCCTTTCGCCGATACGCCCGTTGTACCTCCTAGAAAGTTATTGGGTGTCTCGAGTACGTACAGTCAGTACTCGGGGTACTCAGTACCCCCTTGGCCCAATGCATGGGGAGAACATACGGTTCCTTTTGGTCGTCCGAGCCCTAGCAGCAACTCGATTCCACCATCGCAGGTCCCCTTCAAGCACACCGAGTCACCCAACTTCGGACCTTTTCCCACGGCTTATTTTTCTGAAAACCTACCTGCATGTCAGACAAGTATGCGTAGTGCCGAGACACCAAGCATCTATGCAACAGCCGGCTGTCATAGATCCTTCTCTCGCGATACAGATGACTCCTCTAGTGATGATCAACAGCCATATGAAAGCCAAGCACATTTCTATATGGAGGAGCCGCGCAACAGGAATATTCCAAGGGCTTTGAGGTCGCCGCCTCCCTATTTGCAATATCCGAGCACTCAGGGTCCCGCAAGCATATCATCGCATTCCGAGCTTCCTCTACCGACAACAGCGGAGATGTATCCCGGAATAGAAGGGAACGAGCTGTATACAGCTCTCAACAACGGGAAGGATCTCTACGCGAAAGACGACGAGCTTGGCGTACAGAAAACCGAGAACATCGAAGCAGGAGAACTTTACAACTCACATACTGAGCTCTTTAGCTCCAGGCGCGACTCATACTTCTCCAACGAGTCATCCCCCAAGCTCAAGCGGCGCAGATCGAGTTTGAGAATCCGCCCTATCTTCAGTTTTCACCACCACAGCGGTAAAATTATCGACAAAAACACTGGCCCTCAGAGTTGCGAGTCCGAGCAAAAGGGTGTCTGCAACGACAAATGCAGCCAAGGCGGCCTTGATTCAACTGAGAGTCTTGATACCGAGGGCACATGGGTCTATGTGTGCAACATGTGTCAACATGAAGAGGCCGCATGTTTCTGTGGCACCGATTGCAGTGTTATGGAGGTTAACGAGCGCGAAATACCCACATTGAGAGAGATTGAAAGGCATCAAAAGCTTTGGAAAACCCCGAAACGCTGGTTTTTAGGCCTGTTCAAGAACGGAGACTAAATCAGGTTTACTGCAAAAGCTCGATCCCGTCTTCGCTTCTGTTTCTTTTGAATGCATAGTCGTAAGTTGATAACCGTTGTTAAAATAAGATGTTTATTACAGCGACAGGCTGATCCACCTTATTGGAATCCGAGTCGTCTGTTTGTTGGAAAGCGCATAATTATACCCCATGCCGTCTTTTTTGTTGGCAAATTAAGCAATTTGCCTTTGTTATTGAAATATGATCTTCAATCAATTTCGTTTTCTTCAAATCTTTTTAACAGTCCAACGTTCCAATCTTGGAACTTCCTTGCGGAAGCGGGGAGCCATTGTGCGCTCTTAGTGAGCGTGTCTATCAAAGCTTCGAAAGCGGGCTTGGGCAGACTCAACTCTTCCATGGAGAGGCTTTGGCTGTCAAGCGCCTGCGATCCCGAGGTCCTTTCGGATGAATGTGGCTGATTGAGGTCTGGCTGCCAAAGCACCTTCATGGCGCGAGTAGGATCTTCCCTTGCGTCTGTGTCTACGGAGCTCGAGAAGCTAAGATCTGGACTGAAAACCCAAAGCTAATATTAAACAAATTAGCACGGAGCCGCAATCTTGTTGAACTAATTTAAACGAACCGTTGTCGCTGGCAGAGCACTGATTGGTTCAGAGCGGACAGTGAATTTGCGTATCCCTTGGTTCTCGATGAGAGTGAGAAGCTGAGCAGATATCCATTTAGGCATACTGTAGCTTTTCATCACACCAGAGCTTTGGCCAGTAACGGCCATGCTCCACTTGAATAGACGCCAGCCTTCAGCTCGCTCATCTACAGCACCGACCGTAGCAGTGCACTGTTTGCAAACTAGTTGCTGTTGGTGGGTATGAGATATATCTCTATCGTTAAGCTGAAACGAATGTTAGAATACTTTGTCGATGACTCCGGGCACATTCATTCGGTGCTAAAGAGCCATGTATAAAACGACTAAAGGGTTATATTTTCATGGGCATATATCTCGACTGCATCCCTCCGGCTTCGAGGAATAGAGACAGTGATGGTGAAATGTATGAAAGACAATAGCTCAGGCAATCCGCCCATCGATCGCCCGAAAGCGAGAGGATGAAGTTGCCATTGCCAGTCTGTCGCTTTGATCTTGGGCGATTGTATCGAAGACCACGCCATTAAAAGGAGCGAACTCTGGCAAGGCCTCCTTCTTGTCACCCGCTAGCAATGCTGAATAATACCAAATAACAGGGTGATAGGGACAATGGAGTGATGGGATCGAGGAAACAGAGAGAGGTCTTACCTGCACCCCGCAGCAGTCAACCTCTGTTAAGAGAATGTATGATAGATCCACGTAGCCGACTCCAACCTTAGCAAAAAGCTTGTTCGCCGCTGCATAACCTTTGTCGCGGCCTGCCTCGTGTTTGTGATCGGGCAGATGGTGTTCATCGGGCTTGTGACAGTGCCAGAAGTCCATCATTTCTGCCCAGTTCTCGTTGGGTAGGTCCATCCAGCGGGAAATGCCACCATCTTCGCCGTCACCTGCGATTGTTACAAGGCTAGCGCTACAGTTGGAACAGGCAATGTGTGTGCAGCTACTGAGAAAACCGGCGGACCATGGCGTTGCATTCTCCGAACGCTCATTGAGTTTCAATAGACCCGGGCTTTTCTCCTGCAACTGCATGCGTAACGTCAGATCTTTTGAAGGGGTCGCTGGTAAGGTGAGTGTAGCTGAGCCTCCGCCCGAAATTCTTGTTGGTAGCCGGATGGTGGCTGTTTCGCCTTCATGGGTCAAGCTGATAGCCTCACCATCTGCAGAGAGCTCGGCTTTGGTGGTGTCGGTATGTTCAGACTTCAAGGAAGCAAAGAGGGTAACGGTACGAATATTTAAGAGGAGCTCAACATAGAGTTGAAGGATCGAAGACATTATGCGTTCATGGTATGTCGTGAGTTGCTGTTAGTAGGGTGGTAGGCCAAGAAGGAAGGAACGTCCAAAGATCGCGTTGTTTTTGCGGACGCCTTGACTCGTAATATTCGCGGAGCCCCTCGGTCAAGTACATCCCATGACTCGCGCCCAACTCTCTTACAAAAATTAACCTTGGGACGGTGGGCAGGCCGGATGTACCTGGGAGTTAAAAAATACCGTTGAGAAGCTTGCCCAATAAATGATCTTTGTCTTTTCTTGAAGTATGGAAGATCATCCAAAAGCTTACGAGTGCTTCATCTAACATGAGGTTTTGTGTATTGTATTCTTGTACGACTGCGCTCTCGCTTTCTGGATATCGAATCACTCCGGACACACGAGAGAGGACATCTTACGAACAAATTGATCAGAGGTTTACCCAGTTGCATTACAAATCACCTTAAAGGCGTAGTCAGATCTGCTTGCATTCAGTTATTGATAGACAACTTCGACGTGGAGAGTGGCAGCATTGACGATACCAGCGACATAAATCACATCAGTTTCCAACATGGAAGAGACGGGACTTGCTATGACCCATATTTAGATTTTCGACGCTTTCTTGTTTGTTCTTTTGTTTATTTACACACTCTAAGCAAAGACCGGCACTCCCCAACTCACATATAACCCAAAGCTCCCAAAGGTACTCCTTGATGGTTTCCGTCGAAGTACCCTAATCCGCTAGGAAGCAAAGCTCGGAAAGAGTTCCCTCGTTTCAAACGTGAGAAACACCCGATGATGTAACCATGCCCATTTCGTGAGAGTGGAAAGGAAGAGTGCAGAAAAAGTCCCAGCTTCGTGAACTCAGAAAACACTTGAACAGAGAACAATAAGTAGAAACTCCATAAAAAAAGAAAGGAAAAGAGTCTATGAGCAGTCTTCCGTTCCACTGGTGAAGCTGGGCGGTCATCAACAAACAGCGGTGAACCTAGCCGTTGGTGGGGCAGCGGGGTGGAGGCACCGAGCGCGACCGGAAGATACCGCATCTTGATAAGCGGTGTCAAACGCGTGAAGAGGAGGGATGGAAGATCTCAGTGCATGGGGGGCTGGTAGTTGATGGGCCGCCTGCATCGTGTCAGTCGTGTCATTGTCGCGCGCAAATGGTTGCCGAGGGTGTTCAAGATGGACTTTGGCCCCGGACGCGCATATGCGCAATGAGAAGGGGGGCATAATACGTACTTGAAGAGGAGAATGTGCGGCTCGGGCTCATGAACTTCGTAGTGCTCCCAGCCCAGACTCTGATCGCAGTCGTCAGGTTAGCCTTGGTCGCGAAGCGCGATGCGACATCAATGTAAAGTGCGGATGCGCGATCGTGCTTACCTGCGTGATGCCCAGAGCTCTCCACTCCTCTTCCCACAGCAGCTTCAGTGTCCCCCTTGAGCCATCAAAATACTCCTTTGGTATGGCCTTGAGCATCTGCTTGGGCAGCTGGACGTGACGATACTCGAATTCGCTGTCGGAGTATCTGCGAGGATCAAGTCAGTGCATGTCGACGCGTTTCGCGGCCGCGGTCGCGTTTGCGTTCGCGCCGGGCGGCGGGAGTCGCGATGCGCGCGCACCTTGCGGAGTAGTGGATGCTCTCGACGAACTCGTCCAGCTTGTCCTTCTCGGCCTCGGAGAGCGGCCTGGGCTTCTTGTTGCGGCGCGTGAAGTCTATATCCATGTTCATGGTTGCGTCGGGGGGGTTGGGTGGTGGTGTCGTGGTGGAGCGCGCGGGCGGCGGTCGTGTGTCACGTCCAAGGAGGGGTGGTGGATTGGCGATGGAGGGGTAGCGTGCAGCGCGTCGAAAGAGAAGTTCGCAGGGGCGCTGAGGCGAGGGGCGGGTGTTCGGGCGGGCGAGGCAAGCGCGGGCGACGTGTGCGAAGTATGGGCTGAGCGCGCGCAATGATAGCGACAGTGAACACGGACGGCGGTGACTTGTGTCGCGGGACGAGGGAGTTGAAAAGACAACAATGCCTGACGCACAGCTCGCCGGGCGCGCCGCGCCAAACGGGCGATGATGACGATCGGACCCGGGGGGGAAAGCACGACGGGCCGGCCAACCATGGAAGTCTCACTAAACTCTTTGACATGCTTCTGCCATTCGGCGCCAATGCCGCGCTATTTGATACCTCAGTATTTGTATCTACAAGTGTTCATAATCCGTCGTGAAATGAGTGTAAGCGTGGGTATACCACTCGTCGTCCCCCCAGAATATATCCTCCTTCCAGATAGCTTAAAGAGAGTAGAGAACGTAAGTACTAGGCAATATACACAAGAAAATATCATCGTCCCTCGACCTGCAGTCGGTGCTGGCTCAGCAGCCCGTGCGAGCCAGTGCACTGCGACACGGCAAAACAGTGTAAAAAAAAAAGAGAAAATGTCTCTGCCGCACCGCTGCGGCCGGAATAAGCGCAGTCTCTTCTTCTTCTTCTTCTTCTTCTTCTTCTTCTTCTTCATCTTCTTGATCATCCTCCTCACCTTCTGTTAGTGTTTAAATCCACGTCATCCCCGCGGGCGGGGCCGCCGACGCGAATTGGTGCTTCTCGTACTCATTCTCCTCGTCGGAATCGATTTCCGCCAAATAATCCGACACGCAGAACTTCACCAAGCCCTTCTCCTGCATGTGTCTTGTGTCTTCATCCAAAACTACGTCGCGGATGACGCCGCCGAGCTCCTCGACGACCTCGTTAAGCTGCTCCAGCTCCTTGCCAAACGGATGGGCTGAATCGACGTGGCTCCTGAACATGTCGACCGACGCGCGCTGCTCGTTCGTGGACGGGCTGCGGCTGTGAAGGGTGCTGGGTGGTCCCATGTTGCGGATCGACCGTTTGCGCGCCATGAGTTCATGCGCCTCCTTGCTGTGAGACCGGGCACGCTGAGGAATAGCCGGGGAAGTCGAGGATTCCGAAGATCTGTGGGTGTCAAACGAAGACTTGCTGCTGTGGTTCATCCTCGAAGACGTCGACGATTGTGTGCGGTGTGAACCCGAGGAAGAAGAAGACATGTGTAGCTGAACCCTCTCCTTCTGGGCTTTCTGCGCAGCGTCGAAGAACCCAGTCAAGTGGTTGCCTTCGGGCGAAGTAGGCACGGAATCGAGAGAGGAAGCGTCCGTGGAGACACCCCTGGAGCCAGTCGAGCTGCGATCCGATTCTTCAGCCGAGCGGGTGGACCCTGGAGTAGTGGATTCCGAGGAAGGGTACCGGTGTTGCATGGCAGGAGGAACGTTAGGAGTAATCTTTCCGATGTCCGGTGCATTGTAGGAGAGCATGTTGGTGGTGGAGAGCAGCGTCATGGGAGCGGAGATCTGGACGCGGTTGCCACTGCCAGAAGACTTCTTGGTGCTAAAGCTGCGCGACGGCATGCCCGGGGCATTGTCGCCAGACTTCTTGGCGCGCCTGTGGGTGAAAGAACGGAAAAGGTGAGAGGATTCAGACATGGTGATGGGTAACAGTGCCTGTCGCGACAGCGAGGTGGTAAAAAAAATCGCAATGCGACAAGTGAAGAGAAGAGAGGTGGGTGCGCGCTTTCCTGCAGCAGGCACACAGGCCCTTTTGCGGTGTCGAGTGACGGAGCGTTTGGAGATCAGGTGGACTGGTGGCTTTGGGCACTCCCCACTGGTTGGACTGGGGAACAACCGGAGCTATCGCGGTAAGACGGAGAGCGGTAAGTGCTGAGCTGATAAAGACGGCCGGTGTCGGGTGGGGTCGTGCAAGATGGAGGCCTTTCTTTTGCAAGCAGAGCCCTTGGTATGTACGGTGTGCTGGCTTGCAGCGCGTAAGAGAAGAGAAGGCGGCGAGGGCGGAATGGAAAAAAAGGTCAAAGAAGAACAATGAATGTAAGGAGCCTGCTGCTGTCGAAAGGAGCGAACAACCAGGCCGCGGACAGAGTGGGACGAGAGGGAGCGGGATCAGCAACGAAGGGAGAGGTGAGAGAGGCGAACGGGGGAGATATTGAGGGAAGGGAGGAGACGAAAAAGCTAGACCAGACGACGGGCGGCAGCAGGCGACTCAGGCCAATCGTGCGCACCCCCCGGCCGCGCGCTGTCTTCAGGCTCGCGGCCAATGACGGCCATCGGGGCCATGCATAAACGGGAAGGCTTGTCCGTGTCTCGTCACAAGTCCTGGAGAAACAGTGTTTCAGCCCGGCCGTGCGGGCTCCCTCGCCCTCTACAGATCGCCCGCTTCAAGCTGCCCGCAAGCCCGCAAAGCCCGCTCTCCGCTCCACTAACGACGTAGGGAACGCCCTCCCTCAGCGATCCCCGCCGCGCAGTGGGTATTCTGTCGTATCGCCGGGAAGCTATCCGCAGCCCTAGCCGGCCCGGAAGAGGTACGTGTGCGGCTGCTGCATCTCTCGTTTCCTCCATTCTCCCGCTGATAGGCCCGGCGTTGGCGGCCAAATCTAGGCCGAGGACCACAGGACCCTGAGGCAGCCAGCCGGGCGAGATATGGAAACACGCACATGCCGGCCCCAGAAGCAACCTGCCGTCTGCCCGCGCTTCCGTCCGCCGACCGCGCAAATGCAAATTGATCGCCCGCCTCGCCGTCATACGATGCCTGCAGTGACGCCCTCTGCTTTGCATTGATAGCCACCTGGACAATCGCCGACGCGTGAAACCGCTAGCCGCTCTGCTTTCGCCCTGCAAACGGGAACTCCGCCGACGAAACAGTGCGGAGACAGGCCGCCAACCCCCTCGGAGTCGCCAGCCCGAACTACAATACAAACTAGGAGCAGCTCGATATTTCGACCCTCTTCGGCGTCATCGTTTGTACAATATTGTACACTACGTACCGGTTCTACAATAGCCACGATGCCGTGAGTTGGGCGCGTCGGCTTACCCGTCAAATGTCAAACACCAAACACGCGTACCAACCGGGTGGGGGTGTGGGGATTATCGCCCTTTCTTATTTATTTGCTCTCGCCAGCTCCTTATTCGCGCCGTCTATTCCTCCATCGACTCCCACCCGTCAGGGCCGTGATCGCTATCATTGCCCTCTTCGCCCTCATCGCCCTCATCGCTGTCAGAATCCGTGTCGTCCTCCTGCACGCCAGTAACCCTCTCCTTGACCTCTCCTTCAACAGGCGCGACTCTGCCGGCAAACGCCCGACGCACCGCAGCGTTGGTCGACGTATCCCAGACCTGGACAGAGCCCTTGCTACCAGCGACCGCCAGCCTGAAACCAACTTCTTGATCCGGCGCGAAAGCAGTAGAAAAGACCTTACCAACACTCAGATCCCTCGAGACGACCATGCTGGGTCCGCTTGGCTGAATGTTCCAGAGCTTGACCTGCTTGTCGGTCGAACCGGTAGCAATGAAACCTGGTATCACAGGGTTGATGTCAAATGAAGAGATGGACTCATCGTGGGCCTGCAGCGTCCAAATGGGCTTCGTCTGCGAAGGGTCTGCGGGTGCCATACGCGCGTCGTGATAATGGATCACGCCGTTCTCCGTCGAAATCTAGGGGTAATTAGCAATTTTGCTGTAAAACGAAAGAGGTCATAGACTTACGTAGAAGAAGTTGGGGTCGTGCGGATCCCATCTGACTTGCTCCACATCACTCTCCACGCCCCACCTAGGGGCCTTTGCCTCGGGCGCCCGCATGTCAGCTGCGACGGCCGTCCTATCGTAGCTTCCACTCAAGAGCACGGTGGATTCCTTCGGGTGCCAGGCGAGCGAGCAGACCTTGTCGGTGTGGTATGAGTAAGACTTTGCGCACTTGGTGGTGTTCAGATCCCAAAGCTTGACGGTCTTGTCCGCAGAGGAGGAAGCAAGCAGGTTCCGGTGGTGGCGGTTTGCAGCGAGCGACAGAACGGCATCAACATGGTAGTCATCGTTGGCCTTCTTGGTCTTCTTCTTCTTCTTCTTTTTGGGCTTGTCCAAGTTGTTCGCATCCTCTGCGCCTGCTCCAAGGATGGCGTTGGGATACATGCAATCCACAACGTCCAAATCCCAAAGCTCAATGTCCGGGTCCATGGTACCCACGGCAACAAAGTTACCCTTGGCATTGGCCTCTGTTACGCCCTTTCCAACCGGCAGGTCTAACCATTCGACCGCAAGCGGTATCGCCGGAAGCATGATATCGTGGTGGACGTAGAGGTTGTCGGCCGCATCTTCATAAACATATACTTCCAGATGGGCGACTTCGTCCTCTATTCTTGCAGCCAGCACAAGGTTGTCCGTTGCCGTGATCTGTAACTCCTCGCGCTCCTCGTCGTCATCGTCGTTGTCTGGCATGGTGATGTAGGGATCGTCGGCATTGTTTTCGTGGTAGACGAGAGACTTGACATTGCCAAACATTCCCATGGTGTCGCCATCGTCCTCGTTGCCGTCACCTTCATTGTCGTAGTTTTCCAGGTCATACTCTTTCAAGTCGTCATCAATGTCACTGCAGATACAACGGGTCAGTGGAGTGCGACAGTTGAAAGAGAGAGAGCCTGTTACGCACATATCGTCGTTGACCTTGGAAGCTCCGGCAGCCGTGCCATTTGCTTTCAGTCCATCCTCTTCCTCATCCTCGTCGTCTTCTCCCTTCTTTCCGCCTTTCCTGGCCTCGTCGAGCTCTTCCTTCGCATCGTTTAACTGGAGCTTCGCGAGCTGCGATATTCTCTCAAATTCGTCCTCATCAAAGACGTATTTTTGGGGAAAGGGTGCCGCGAAGCCGCGCGGCACCCATGTCGTCGCCGTGATCATAGACATGGCGAAAAGCGACAGAAATTAGAATCCGAGGGTATCTTTGAACTTTTTTTTTTGGCGCCGCGCATTCCAGGTTTGCATGCCCCAAAAAAGTTCCCAAGCCCGGTCAATGCTTTCTCCGAGGTAACGGCGTTTGGCGTCAGGGCTTGGCAGCGACCTGGAGGCCCAAACCTCCGCGGCGAACATCTTCCTCCCAACCCGCGTCGCGTATACCTTGCGCGTCATTTTTCTCGAATCTTCCGGGGCCGCCAGTCTTCGTCATGGACCGCGAATGGGAAAATGCGCCAAAAAGGCGTAGACTCGATTTTTACCAGTCACGTCCCTCTACTGAGAGGCCTCCCCGACCTTTTACCACGCCTAGATTTCAAGGATCCGCCCGGGCCCCGACTCCTCGGAACAGGCATGCCTCGAAGCCGCATCAAGAAGAATTCGATGGACCGGAGCCCGCAGTGGACAACGAAGCGGCGATGGCTCTAGACAGGGACTGGTACGGCGGCGAAGAGAATGGTCACACTTTCGGAGACGAGACGCATAATCCTTTTGGTGATGATAGCACATGGCTTGACCAGCAGCGTGAAGCAGCACTTGCTGAGAAAAAGAATGCCAAACGCATGAATGCGCGCCAACTTCAAAAGCAGAAGGATGTGGATGCGTGGGAGACGAACCGGATGCTCACTTCCGGTGTCGCCCAACGGCGAGATTTCAGCGGCGACTTTGACGAGGATGACGAAGGAACCCGCGTGCATTTGTTGGTCCACGATTTAAAGCCTCCTTTCCTGGACGGGCGCACAGTCTTTACCAAACAGCTTGACCCAGTTTCTGCAGTTCGGGATCCGCAGAGTGATATGGCTGTCTTTAGCCGCAAAGGGAGCAAGGTTGTGCGGGACCGGAGACAACAAAAAGAACGACAAAAGCAAGCTCAACAGGCGACCAACATGGCCGGGACGGCTCTTGGCAATCTCATGGGAGTCAAGGAGGATGATGCGGATAGTGCAGCACCTGCGCCGGGTGAACCTGAGAAAAAGAACTCCGATAGCAAGTTCGCGGAGCATCTCAAACAAAGCGAGGGACAGAGCGCGTTCAGCAGAAGCAAAACTCTTCGGGAACAGAGGGAGTATTTGCCTGCATTTGCTGTCCGCGAAGATCTCTTACGCGTTATTCGCGATAACCAAGTTATCATTGTCGTGGGCCAAACGGGTTCAGGCAAGACCACTCAATTAACCCAGTTCCTTCACGAAGACGGCTACGCAAGGTTTGGCATGATCGGATGCACACAGCCTAGGCGTGTTGCTGCCATGAGTGTCGCAAAACGAGTGGCTGAAGAGATGGAAGTCAAGCTTGGCAGCACTGTGGGCTATGCAATCCGGTTCGAGGATTGCACTAGCGACGAGACCGCCATCAAGTATATGACGGATGGTGTTTTGCTGCGAGAATCTCTAACCCAGCCTGATTTGGACAAGTATTCTTGCATCATCATGGACGAAGCTCACGAACGAGCGTTAAACACCGACGTTCTCATGGGTCTTATCAAAAAGGTACTTGCGCGGCGCAAGGACCTCAAACTGATTGTCACTTCGGCTACCATGAACGCAGAGCGCTTCTCTCGTTTCTATGGCGGTGCTCCTGAATTTTTCATCCCGGGAAGGACGTTCCCTGTGGATATTCAATATTCCCGCTCTCCTTGCGAAGACTATGTGGATAGTGCTGTAAAGCAGGTGCTTAGTATTCACCTTTCACAGGGGCCTGGCGACATCCTTGTTTTCATGACCGGACAAGAAGACATCGAAGTTACCTGCGAATTGATAGAGGAGAGGTTGAGGCAATTGGTCGATCCTCCAAAGCTCAGCATTCTCCCAATCTACAGTCAAATGCCAGCTGATCTACAGGCCAAGATTTTCGAACGAGCAGCACCAGGCGTCAGAAAGGTCATTGTGGCAACTAACATCGCCGAGACAAGTTTAACTGTCGACGGTATCATGTACGTTGTTGATGCGGGATTTTCGAAGCTCAAAGTCTACAATCCACGGATGGGTATGGATACACTGCAAATCACACCTATTTCGCAAGCAAACGCGTCACAAAGAGCTGGACGAGCTGGTAGGACTGGCCCTGGAAAAGCTTTCCATTTGTACACCGAAAGGGCGTTCAAGGAAGAGTTCTACATTCAGACCATTCCTGAGATCCAAAGGACCAACCTCGCCAACACTGTCTTGCTCCTCAAGTCGCTTGGTGTAAAGGATCTGCTTGACTTCGATTTCATGGATCCGCCGCCGCAAGAGACGATTACCACCTCACTCTTCGATCTTTGGGCTCTTGGAGCACTCGACAACATTGGAGGCCTCACGGAGCTTGGCCGAAGCATGACACAGTTTCCCATGGATCCGCCTCTTGCGAAGCTGATAATCACCTCGGAAGAGTACGGCTGCAGTGAAGAGATGCTTACTATTGTCTCAATGTTGTCTGTCCCCAATGTCTTTTACCGGCCCAAGGAGCGCATGGAAGAGGCAGATGCCGCACGCGAAAAGTTCTGCGTGCCTGAATCAGACCATCTCACGCTTCTCCATGTTTACACGCAGTGGAAGGCCAACCAATACTCGGACGGGTGGTGCATCAAGCACTTTCTGCACCCGAAGGCTCTGCGCCGTGGAAAGGAGATCAGAAATCAGCTTGAAGACATCATGAAGCAGCAAAAGATGACAATGACCAGCTGCGGTACCGACTGGGATGTTATCAGGAAATGCATCTGCTCCGGCTACTATCACCAGGCAGCCAAGGTCAAAGGAATCGGTGAATACCTCAACCTGCGGACCAGCGTCACGGTACAACTGCATCCGACGAGTGCTTTGCACGGGCTGGGCTTCCTGCCCGACTACGTCGTCTACCACGAGCTCATCCTCACGTCCAAGGAGTACATGTCGTACGTGACGTCAGTCGATCCCCACTGGCTTGCGGACCTGGGTGGCGTGTTCTACTCGGTCAAGGAGAAGGGCTACTCGGCGCGAGACAAGCGAGTCACGGAGGTTGAGTTCAACAGGAAGGCGGAGTTGGAGGCGAAGATGGCCGAGGACAGGGAGAAGGAGGCCCAGCGACGGGCCAAAGAGAACGCCCCGAAGTCGGCAGTGCGGCGACCGGCGACATCAGCAGTCAGGCGAGTGCAGACGCAAGGCGCTGTAAGGAGGCCAATGACGCCGAGGACGGGCCGGGGGTTTTGATCTTGTAGCATTATTAGAAGATTAGGAATGATCATACGGCGAGAAGAATATAGGCGGGTCGAGTGAAGATGGTCGCCGCGGAGATTTGGGGGCCCTCGTGTGCTGCTGCACCGTGCGCGTGCATGACGATGATCAGGGCATCGCCCAACAACCTCCAGGCAAGAGCATCAGCCCATGCTGCACCCAGCTTCCCGGGGAGGGAGGACGATGTCGGGGCATCACGTGGCTGTCAGCTACTCAGGCGGCATCGCGAAATGTTGAGCGCCGCCGTCATCCCTCCTCCGCGCGCCTTCACCACCGCCGCGCACCGCTGGAATGCCGACCTGGAGCTGGAGGATCTCATACCGCGGCTTTGCGCTCACACACTTCCGTCCCTCTGCCACATGCTTCTTCAAACCGCGCTTCCTGGCCACCGTTGCCGCCGGCCGCAGGCAAACGCCGCTCGGCACAGGCACCACCACGCCCGTACCAGATGAAGCTCATCCGCCCAGATCCAGCTCGCCCTTCTACTTTGAGGCCGGTTATGCCCTCTACGCCAAGAGGCCGTCGCGCCCGTTCCCCCCGCCCTTCCTCTCGCTGCCGTCGACCTCGTTCTCCGACCCGCTGAGCACCCATCATAGAAGTAGAGACAGGTGGAGCTACGTCAACGGCGAGATGATCCGGGGAATCACCAACGGCGACGATGCCGTCCTGGTAAGCGAGAACTTCATCGGCGCAAATGACGGCGTCGGTGCGTGGTCGACGAAAGAGAGAGGGCATGCTGCGTAAGCCTCCATTCCTTGGCTCATGGAGCATGCGATTGACGCTTCGTGTCCAGACTGTGGTCACGACTCATCCTACACTTTTGGGCGCTGGAAGCTGAGCGTGATAACTACGGCGACCCCCACGAGCCGAACCCAGTTGAATACCTCCATAAAGCCTTCGAACATACTAAGGAAGCTACGTCCGCGCCCACGGAATGGCTTGGGACGACAACAGCCTCAGGTGCGATCCTGGGCTCAGATGCGGGCAACGCACCGCACCCGATCCTTTACGTTACCCAGCTTGGTGATTCTCAGATTCTGGTGCTGCGTCCGCAGAGTAAAGAGGTAATCTTCAAAACAACCGAGCAGTGGCACTGGTTCGACTGTCCGCGACAGCTTGGAACAAACAGTCCCGATACTCCGAAAGAAAATGCCGTCATGGACCGCATCAAAATTCAGGAGGACGATGTCGTGCTAGCCATGTCCGACGGCGTGATTGATAACCTTTGGGAGCATGAAGTCTTGCAGAACGTTGTAGACAGTATCACCAAATGGGAAAACGGTGAGGCTCTCAAAGACGACAAAAGGGACATGGAGGAGAAATCCTACGCCGATGGTATGCTATATGTCGCGCAAGAGCTTGTCAAAGCCGCACGTACTATTGCTGAGGATCCCTTCGCCGAAAGTCCGTACATGGAAAAGGCAATCGACGAGGGTCTTTCGATTGAAGGAGGTGAGATCCCTCCAACGCGAACGGAGCCTCTCATGGCAGCTAACCTTTGGCGCTGTTAGGCAAGCTAGACGACATCAGTGTCGTTGCCGCCCAATGCAAGCGAAGGAAGGGCTGACGTAGGCTACAACCACGCCCCTTGTCAACAAGGCCTGTTTAGATGGTCAACGCCGCAATCTCACCAAGACCCGGATGAGCTCTGTGGCCTTGCCCCTCCGCAAAGAATGGGTTTTCATACAGCCTGGAGCTGCAGACTCATAGCAACGGCCGCATTGTGCGTTTGAACGCGCCATCATTGCTCCAGCGGAAAGCCTGGTTGGAACGCTCGGTCAACTTTTGCTGCATGGTAACTCCCGGAATCTCTCTGTGTTACTCGTCGCGCCGTGCGTTCAAGTATATGAGAAGACCCGGGCTCACGGGTAATGCTGCTTGCCTGCGCTGCAGTTTAAAGGATTCAGCATACAGTATTACTGACCCACAAGGCAAGTTGAAAGAAGGATTTTCGTCCTTCGGAGTGGATTGTTTGCAACTTAAATTTGTCTGGTAGAGCTTGCAATGTCACCAAGGGTAGTCAAAGGTGAGCGCATTTTTCGGCGGTGTTTTAGTAAACCGAGACTGCGCTCATACAGGCGTTTATGGGTTGATGTGCTGTTTATAGCGGTGTCGAGATGTACGGTGCGCTGTATTGATCCTTTCTTTCAACCAGGAACGATCTAAAAAAAGATGTCGTAGATGATTCTGCCCACTCTTTTTTGACTGTATTGCCCACCTCTTGTGATATTATATCTATATAGGCGTATGACTTACTTGCCTACCCTGTTACTTTTATAATCTCGTATGTTTATAGGATATTATTACGCTCTAATATCTCCTTATCTTTAAGCCATTTCGAGTACATTCGTACCTACGTATCTTTATATCTTTATTAAATATTATTGTTCATATAACTTTTGCTCGTACCTTTATGAATAGTAATATTATGCCCTCGCGTATTTCTATTTTTGTAAACACCTAGCACCCTACCGTTTGTAGTGGTTTAACCCATTATAACCATCCGGGGAGTTCTTAATAGGTAGAGCACTCTTCACTTGATATATGATCAAGGGGTGAGCAAATTATCTGGAGCCCGAAAATAAAACCTATCAATTTTGGGTCTTTTCACATCACTAGCAAGGCCTTTGTAATCGAATATATTAGGTATGTGTAGTTGTCGTTTCGTCTAGGTATCGTGTAATGCCATTCCCAGTGTCCTCCGGATTAAGTCGCCAGTGCCGCAAACAACTGGCACGTGCTCGTCCTAATGATGTTTCCAGCGGCAAGTCTTCTACTGGTGTTCCACCCAGTCGTAAATCAGCTTGATCCTCAGCACCTTCTGCACGTCCTTGTCCTTCACAACGACGTGTCTCGCGTGCCTCCGCTGTCCCTCGACGACCTCGAAACCCCACGTCTGCCAGGCCGTCCATCCATTGTCAAGGCTCGTGACGTATGTCTCGATCAGCTCGCCGCCCTGCACAATGTCCTCGCTCCAGCCATCGCGCATGAAAGCGATGTCCTCGTCGGTGATGGCGTTCTTCTCCTCGCCGGACAGAGCGCCAATGGCGACGCGGCGAGAGCGGCCGCGCACGTGGCCGAAGATCTGGTCGCTGTGCTCGCGCCACTGCCAGTTGAGGGCGCGCTCCTCACGCGTGCCGCGGATGCCGCCCGTCAGTGTCTGGTCGATGTCGATGCGCTCGGTGCCCGCGTCGTCCTTGTATTGCTTCAGGTGCAACGTGATGGTCGCCAGGCCAATTGCTGTGCGTGTCAACCAGCCGACACCTTGCTGGCGGGGGTGTTAGTCGGGGAATGCGGAGAGGGAGAGGGCATGTTGTACCAGTGCTAGGACGGCGTCGCTGTCGCCCGAGAGCGTCTTGTTCTGCGCAGTGTTAGCTTTGTGGGGTGTAGGCAGATGGAGTAAAGGAAGCTTCACCATGACCCAGGCGCCATTGAGGTCATTGAGCGTCTTGTTTGCAGGGGCTGCCATGGTGATTTGAATGCGAGTAGGTAGTTGTACTGTGTAGAGGCTTCGGTAGCTAGCGGTGAGGATTGGGTCGAAGATGAAAGAGAAAGATGGAATAAGTGGCTACGTCGCAGATTGTCCCCAGGTGGCCGTTGCCATTGGCGATAAATACCGCAAGGCCTTCGAGCATCAAAGTCAGGGACGAAGGGAACGCGGCGTAGCGGGCAGTCACGACTCACGTCACAGCGGTGGTGTGGGGAACCTGGCACGCTTACTCTAGCCGTCGGCCCAGCCGGCTAGCTCCCGCTGCGGGTCCCCGGGGCTAAACTTCCAATGTTGAAAGCTTTATTTGCGGAAATGCTCTGCACTCCCTCGTCCGATTGCAGCGTGACAATTTGTCTGGTTACTAGATTACGTAGGTATGTGCAGTGTCCGACAAGGTACAATAACCCGAAAGAGGGCCCTCCCGATCCCTCTAATCGCGCAATGGTTAGCCGCTAAATTACTACAAGTTCCCCCATCATTATGAATGCTAAGCTTCCAAACACACCGCTATGAGCCCAGTCCCGAGGACCCTGATGCTTCCGTGAGATTTAGTGTAGTATGAAGAGTGTTTTCCTTGATGGCGGCCTCGTAGTACGTGAGATGCTCGCCCTCGCTATTGATGCTGCTGTTCCCAACGATGTCGACGGGCAGCATTAGGTCGGTGTATCCCTTGGCGACTAAACCAAGCACGAGCGTCGTGTTGACATAACTACGCATGTCGAACTCGTTGTCTCTTTCTGGCTCGAGGGTGAGGTTTGGGATCAGAGTGTAACCAATGTACGTCCCGTTGACTGAGAGGTCCATGGTTACGTTGCCCATTTCGATGCTCAAAACCGAGGGGTTCGGGATGGAAACTTTGCCAAGCAGAGTCGCACCATCTGGCTCGGGTTTGAGCTTGACTTGCGCCGAGGTTATGGCAAAGCCGGCAAGCTTGTTAAGCCCTGGTAGCGTGTTAGTTGAAGAAAGACGAGCTGTGTTGGCTTTTTCCTTACCTTTCATAGTTACTACCTTGTTGTAGTTGACCTTGTATTTCGGCAAGCCCCCGAGCTTCAGCTTGGGCTTTCCTCTCACAGCGAGTCTAAATTCTTCGCTGTTGATGACCATCTTGTTGTAGGCAAAGAACTGATCCATATCGGTAACGGGCAACTCTTGGTCAATATTTATCTTGTTGTTGGATTCTACGTGAGTCTTCGGGATCGTGATATATCCAAACGGCTTAATGTCTGGCTCAGTATTCTCGAGGAAGAGAGAGGCGTTGAAAGCTTCAAGATCAGGATGGTAGCTGGTGTGGCTCTCGACGGTTGTGTTGAGTCGCAAGTGGATAGAGTTGGATTTGGGATTGGAAATGCCCTGGTATCCAATTTCAATTGTGGCCTTGTTCATTTCAGACTGTGCCTTGTGCTTCACCCCGACGTATATACTGAACCCAACTGATGATTAGCTCGAGAATATTTTTTGGCAATTGCAAATTGAAAGGATTCCGACGTACACGGGCAGGATAATGACCAGGACGATGGCCGCAAAGATCAAAAAGTCAAGCCACCAGAACCTTTTACAATGGCGTTTGAACTTGGACCCGAATGTCGTCTTCTTCCCAGTTGCCGCAGGAGTGTCTGCAACATTGGACTCTGCGCTTGCTCGCGCCGCCGCACCATCTGCGGTTTCTTTGGAAGGTTCCATGTCTCACAGAAGGGTCGAACGCTGAAAAAAGCGGTGGCAAAGCTGAAGAAAAATATGTGCAGAGGAGGGAAATTAATGGACAAGGAAAGGCGGGGTTGTAGGCTCATGACAAGGTCTTGAAGCACATGGTTTCGAGACGTGGCAGTGCCGAGGGAATGCGGACTCATGTCTTAAGGGAATACAGCTATGTCGAAGATGGAGCTAGGGCAAGGTTCTTTGATGTCTGCTGGGCAGAGGCAGACCAATGGGAGACGGGGGAAGATGTCTGGTCGGAATAGTATCAGAACACGGCTTAGGCGATTTTGGCCAGCTGACAGGGTGGAGCGAAGAAGCAACAAAGCAAGAGAGCACATGCCGCGCCAATACCTGGCGGCGTGGACAGCTCGGACCGGGCTGGAGGGCGGATTGAGCGCCGGCTCGGCTCCCAAAGTTTACACTCTCTAGCTGGCTAGCATGAATGAGGAAGGTGACCGATGGGCTGGGAAATTCATGTGGAGTCAGCTGCAGGACGCCGCCATTGTGAGACACAGCGCAAAGCCTGTCACTCCCCAATTGAAGCTTTTTTTCCCCACAGCGGCAGTGAAAATCATGCGGTCCGGAAATTGATCAAGCCCAGACTGCACGTCTTGTGCGACTGTGTCGTGTGGTCCGTTATACAGACACATGGCCGGTTGGAGGTTGTACTCGACGACTCGTCGTGCTCGCGTGTGGGGGAGCGGCAGGCGTCAGGGCGCCCGGCAAGGCACCACCCGCTTGGTGGACCCTGCTTTTCCGCCGCCGCATTTCGTCACTAGCTAGCAACTATCTCACTTCCAACCAACACACAACCCAAACCATGGCGCCTCCCGACGGGGAAGACGAAGATGACTACATGTCCATGGTCATCGAGGAGCCGAAGAAGCCGGTGCGGGAAACGGCCTTGATGAAGCGGGCGCGCGAGAAGCGCGAGGTGCGTGTCAGCATCACCCACGTCCTGGCACGCTTGGCTGACTGTAACCAAGGCTGAGGATAGAAGCCGCGTCAAGTCGAAAAAGGAACGCGAAGCCGAGGCTGCCGCCGCGAGAGAAGCCGCTATGGAGAAACCCCTCGATACCACTGCCAGCAAAGGCTTTAAGATGATGGCAAAATTCGGCTTCAAAGAGGGCGGTACGCTTGGTAAAAGCGGCGAAGGACGTACAGAACCTATCCGCGCCACCATGAAACACGACAAGGGCGGCATTGGCGTTGATACGGAAAAGAAGCGCAAGATAGCCGAAGCAGCCGAGAGCGAGGCAAAGAGAATCAAGGAGGACACGGGCGACTTTAGGGAGAGGATGAGGGAGGAACGCGAAGCAAAGCGGTTGGAGGGCCAAATGATTGGCGCACAAAAGATTGCAGAGCGCTTAGATGCTGGCCCCGAACACCAAGATCGCGGCGACTCCAAGGACGCCTTGCCTGCAACCGATCCAATGAATACCAAACCTCTGTCGAGTATCAACGTGCTCTACCGGGGCCTCATCCGCCACCGGAGGGAGAAGGAGCGCGAAAGCAGAATGCGTTACGACATGGAGCAAGGCCTCTCCAGGCTACCGACTTATGAAGACTCTAGCGAAGACGAAGATGACAAGCGGGCTTTAGGGAAGGAAGAGAAGATCAAGATCGTGGAGGAGGAGCTTGAGGAAGAGGACCCTGAACTGGACGAGTTTAATGCGCTCGAACCTAGCGAACGAGTGGCGAAGCTAGTGCAGTACCTGCGCGACGTGCACAACTATTGCTTCTACTGCAAGTTCCAATATCCCGATGCCCAGATGGAAGGTTGCCCCGGCATCACCGAAGAGGATCACGACTAGGGGAGTCGAAGGCCAGGGCTGGGCGGATAAACCAAGCCACAATTGTACAGATAGATAGATACCCATAGACTTTTTGCGATGATGCCTTGAAAAATACCAAGGCCATGTTTATATTTTTGGTTGTACTGTACCTATTCTGCTTTTTGTGAACGGCGGTGGCACGTGCGCGTGTTTACTACTTGGCTTGCCTGGCAGTTGCTCAAACCAGACGCTCTAAAGAAACCGCAACAAAAATACAACAACCTCGAGACCTAGGATGGAACATGAGAAGTGCTATGTGTTCAAGCCGCACGAGGAACGGCCGGCAAAGAGGAGGCGGGTCACCGCGCTGAGTGAAAACCCATCCTGGCAGCTTCGGAATCAGACGTGTCGGGAGCTGTGGGCAGTACAACAACAACAACGCATTGATGTGAGCTGTCATGTCCATCCCACCAAGCCTGTTTGTCTGATTCGCTTGATAGGAAGTTCTCACGGACGTCAATCGAACGACGTTGGATGGCATCATCGACTTCGTGTCTGGAACCCCTGCCTCAAAAGACCAAGGGTCCAAAATCCCGACCGGGCTGGTGGTCGTCGGACCAAGCATCGCTTCGCATGCTCAATTCTTCGACAGTCTGGCCAAAAGAACGACCCAAGAGGCAAACAGCGTTTTTGTCACGCTGACCTCGGGCGACTGCCCGAATCTAAAAACCCTATTGAAGACTCTGATCAGGAAAGGCACATCAGCAGAAGATTTAGACGGCGATGAGCTGGTCTCCACCAGACGAAAGGGGCCCAAGTTGCTGAATTACGATCTTCAATTGCTGCACGAATGGTGCAAAGAGCAGGAGCCTACGCACGTGGTAGTGGCGATCCAGGACAGCGAGGCTTTCGAGGGATCCTTGCTGGCCGAGGCTATCCAGCTGTTCCAGTAGGTATTCCCAATCAGACCTCGAAGAATATCCATTTACAAAGCGTAGGTCATGGTTGGACCGGATACCTTTTTTGTTGCTATTTGGAATTGCCACGTCCACCGAGGGCTTCGAAGAAAAGCTCCCTGGTGCCGCCATCAGGTGTCTCCAAGGCGAAAAATTTGACGTTGTGCAAGCAGACCAAGTCCTAGAGCAGGTCTTTCACACCGTAGTCAGCGGTGAACAGTCTCTTTGGATGGGTGCGGGCTTGAGCAGCAGACTCCTTGACAGGCAAAAAGACCACATTCAGAGCGTTGAAGCCTTCGTGGATGCCTTCAAGTACGCATACATGTGCCACTTCTACGCAAACTCACTCAGCATCTTTCTCCGAAAAGACCTCAGTTACGAGCAAATGTCCAGTGATGATCTGGAAGCACTGCGAAACCTCGACTCCTTCCGGCGTCTAGCAGAAGACCTGGTAGATAAAGGAGAGACCATGACCGTTCGTGATTTGCTCGAATCTGACGAGGTTTTGTTTCAATATACTGTTAAGGAGACCAGGGAATTTCAATCGAAGATCCGCGACTTGATCGATGCGGTTGAGCTTATCGGAATTCTGAAAGGATGCGTACCAAAGAGTTCCATCGTCTCCTTTTCCTCGCTCTATGTACGCGCAGTCTCGGGAGAGCTTCAGGGCTCACCGCTTGTCCGCGAACTTCTCTTGTCAGTGAAGAAGTCACCCTCGGACGTGCTGTCAAAGATACTGTCCTGCTTAAACGACAGTGCCCTATGCACTAAGGTTCAGGCACTTCAGCGAGACCTTGACGAGCTCCTCTCCACCGCTGAGCATCCGGAACAACCTCTTCGCAGCAAACACGATGTCCACAACGAAACACTTCGGACGACGATAGTAGCGCAGAAGGTTGAGCTTAGCAAGCAAAAGTCGAAGCTCTCCAAAAAAGACACCGCTTACTCGAAAATTGTGGAACAACTGCACAGCACGCTGGACGAGTATTTCAAGAAGACGCTGATTCAGCCCAAAGACTACTTTTTGCATGAAATCGTCTTGTATGACCTGAAGAGTCCACACGTAGATGTCTTCACTCCAAGACCGAGGTTTGCCGTGGAACGCGCTCTATCGGCACCACACGACTATTTGAATTGCAGTTGTTGTGCTACGTCGAAGGGCAACGGCGCTGCCGGGGTAAGCAAATTCACCAACATAATGGGAGACATGCTAATTAGTACGGTAGGGCTCTCTTGCTTCATCCCAACCCCCGGTTGCAATCTTGTATCAGCTATACCTAGAATCCGGCAGCTTGATCAACGTCAATGATCTGTGGCTAGCTTTCAATGCCATCATCAACGAAGATGATGAGGACGAGGAAATGGCTATGTACGTTCTTTGGCTTCCCCTAAGGCAACACTTGCACTGACATTCATTTTAGGGCGTTGTTCCAGCGCTCGCTTGCTGAAATGAAGTACCTGGGACTTATAAAATCTAGCAGGAAGAAGACCGACCACGTTGCAAAGGTGGCGTGGAAAGGGCTATAGACGCGGGCGCTTCTATTCAAATCGTCTGGAATCTAAACAAGACAATGTTCACTCAATCGGGTATCTGCCTATCTACACCATTCCCCAGGCGTCTCGCACCAGTTTTTAAGCCTTTTTGGGCGCTACATCACAGAGCGTGCCGCAATTCTTGCATTTTCTGGCCTCCGTATCCTCCTTGAAAGCATTCACTGCTTCCTTTATCTGCGTTCCTAAGTTTGTACAGTGGAAGCTCTTTTCGTGCACCTGCTCCTTACAGTTCTGGCAATACCACCTCAAGCGGTCCACGCTCTCTTTGGGACGGTGCTGCTCCAGGACGATACCTACCGTGTCGGCGAAGCGCACTGGGTTGTGTGGCGTATTCGGTGGCAGCAAGAACATTTCGCCCTCGTTGATGTAGATGTCGCGGAAGGGCGGGTTGTGATCCTTGTCAACGACCTTCAGCAGCATGCGGCCTTTATACTGGTAGAACCACTCGGGGGTCTCGTTGATGTGGTAGTCGGTGCGCTCGTTGGGGCCGCCGACAATCATAACGGTCATGGATTCATTCCAGACGCAGTAGTTGTTGACGGGGGGTTTCAGGAGGTGCGAGTTCTCTTTGAGCCTGTCGAGGTCAATGTCAGTCTGCGCCTGCGTTATGGAACGGAGGACTCACCATTTGGGGATATCGACGGGGCTTGCGAGAGCTCGCAGGCGCGTCGCGCTCGAGAAGGCGACGCGGCGCGGAAGGGTGCCGGTGATGCGCGGGACGAGGGAAGCAGCGCGAGAGTGAGCATTGGGCAATGCACGGCGCGCGCCGGCCGTTGCGATGGGGCGTATGGACTGCATGATATATATAGGTATAGATGGGAAACGGCGGCGGGGCAGCGCGGGAGAGAAAGCTCGCTCAGATACGATGACGCTGCCTGACTCGCACAGACCCTGATCCGCATCCATAGCTCCAGCTCCAGCTCCAGCTCCCGTTCCGTCCTCCGAACCACAACATCAACACCTCTATCAAATAACAAATAACAACAACATGGATCACTCGCACATGGACCACGGCCACATGGGCCACGGCGACATGGACATGGGCGGCGGCGCCCACAAGTGTAACATGAACGTGCGTCTCGTCCTTCCCACCTTCATCACCACCGGCTGACGCACCACCTCAGATGCTCTTCACCTGGGACACGACAGACCTATGCATTGTCTTCCGCCAATGGCACATCGGCAGCGCCTTTGGCCTGGTCGTCTCGCTGCTGGCCGTCGCCGCCCTCGCTGCCGGCTACGAGCTGGTGCGCGAGCTGACGCGCCGCTACGAGGCCTCTGTCGCCGCGCAGCAGTCGGCCAAAACGGCCGGCTCGCCCGGCATCCCCAGTAAGTCTTGTCCCCTCCCCTCTCCCCTTCTTTCTTTTACCGCCCGCCCCCCCCTCACCGTTGTCCTTCTTCTCCCCTTCTCCAACCTCTCTGCCGTCTGGGCGAGGCTTACCCCGTCGGTGTGTGCGCCCGTGCATCAGGCTCCGATGAGCACGAATCGAGCTCATTGCTATCATCAGGGAGGGGGAACTGGACGGCCCGCGACGAGAAGAGAGCCAAGACGGTCAAGGCCGCACTGTATGCCGTCCAAGTCTTCTACTCGTTCTTTATCATGTGAGTCATTCCCCGCTTCGGTCCTCCTCTCCCCGAAGGAGGACTCTGAGTCCTGACGCATGCCACAGGCTGCTTTTCATGACATACAACGGCTGGGTCATGCTGGCTGTTGCCGTTGGTGCGTTCTTTGGCTATCTGTTGTTTGGTGGCTCTTCTGCCACGAAGACTGTTGCTTGTCACTAGGCATCCCATCTCTACGAGGCTTGAGACTTGAGGCGGTCGGCTGAGCATTATTGTTCTGCCTTGTTCAAGAAAATATTTCCATCACAGAAGCAAGTGCTATGGTTCATTTTCGTTACTGCAATTAGTCACATCATCTCATGCAATGTTCGATACCTTGAGGACAGTCATCTCTTTCTTGCTTAAAGTCAATTCAAAGATACTACATCAACCCTTCCAATGTGCCTACAACGCCCCGAGGTGCCTTCTGGAGCATTCAGATTACGTGAAGTTCAACCCGACTTATCCCAAGCCTTCTTCCCCTATCCATTTACTCTTCTTCATCTTCCTCTTCTTCTTCATCTTCCTCCATACCCTCAGCCGCCGTGACAGTGAAAGTCGGCGCCTGATCCACACCCAAGTAGGAGTCGCTTATGAGGAAGAGCGTCAACTCATGCTCACCAGGCGTCGGCACCACATACTCGAGCTTCGTCTTGAGCTCCCTGCCAACCGTAACCCTCTTGATGGCGAGCAGGTTCCTGGTGCTTTCCTCGCCAACCACCAGCCACCAGTTCTCCGTCTTGTCCGCCGGGAAGAAGGGCGCATGCACGTCCGTGTTGGGCGTCTCGTCCTCGTCAATCTCCCGCGTAACAGTGACGTTGAGGTACGCCGGGCTGCCCGAAGCAATCTCGTCGGGGTCCTCAACCTCGAAGTCGATGGACAGGTCGGGGTAGTATTCGTTGACGAACTTGGCCGCGTCCTGCATCTGCGCGCCGCCGAAGCCGAGCCGCTTGACGAGCTCCTTGTTGTTTGGCGCGTCCGGGTCCATGGCGTCGATGAACTCGGGAACCTCGTTGACGCCGATGGCGTTGGCTTCGGAGACGAGCTTGTCGTCGAAGTGCGGGATCTGCTTGAGCGGCGAGTCGCGGTCCCACATGGCCTGCACGACCATCTGAGATATCTCCATGGCGTTCGTCGCGTTGAGATGACCTTCCGAAGATAGGACATCGACACAGGCGCTCAAGAGGTTGAGGGCCTTCTTGAGGATCAGCTCCTGGTCCTTGACGAGATCGACGGGGAGCTGCATGCGCGAGAAGTGTGCCTGCAGAAGGATGAACGCTTTGAAATGCGGCGATTCGAAGTTGGACTCCGCCATCTTGACAGGCAGGCGGTCGTAAATGCGCCGAAGAACGTGGTCCTCATGACGGCGGATTTGGATATCTTCGAATTCGGCGGCCGAGGTGATGATTTCCAGGATAGCCTTGAGCTTCGTACGGCTATTCAGGGAAAGCAGGAAGGTCTGAATGGTAAGGTGGGAGATGTTGTAGTAGGCCGCGATCATGGCAGGGTTGAGAGGGGTGATGCTATCATCCTCTTCGTCCAGCTCGATAATCTTGGCATCCACAAGTTCCTTCAAGGCTGTCTCCACTAGTTCAGACAGATGAGCGCTCAAACCCTCGTGCGAAGTATCTGTTAGACCGTAGTAGCTTGGGTTTGCCAACAAACGGCGGTAGAAGTAGGTGTATGTGGACCAATCAACGGCATCCTGTGTGGAGGAGATCATGCGCGTGCTGATCTCCGAGACGAAAGCGTCCTGAAGGTAGTGATGAAGGTGACTCTCGATCGGAAGGGCCTCATTGAGGAACTTCTTGTAGTAGTCACGCTTGACGGCAGGCAGCATGAGAAGACCCTTGCTGCTCTTGTCTTGGCCAGCTCTTCCTGACTTACCGAACATCTGCAGAACCTCGCTAATGGGATAGTCGATGTATCTGTGCTCCCTACCCTCAAAGAACTGTGTGTTCATAACAATGACAAGATGGGCATTTGCGTTAATTTCCCAGCAGCAGTCACGAGAGACCAGGAGCACCTGAATGGCGCCTACGCGGAAGAAGTGCTCAACAGCCCTCTTGTCAAATGCACCCAAGGCCTCGTGGAAATATCCAATACCGTGGGAGAGAGATTCTGCAAGAGCTGGTTCGTTGATCCTCTCCAGCACAGGCTGCATGTCTTCAATCGATGCGTGCAGGAAGCGGTCCTCATCATCGTCCGCCACACAGGCGGCAAGCAAGTCCAAAGCGGTTGCTCTGACCTGCTTTCTGCTTGGGACGAAAATTATAGCTGGCTTGTCCGGCGACATCTGTAAAACGGCTTGATAGGCCGGCTTCGCCATAGCAAGCATGAGGGAGGGGAAGTGGGGAATTGTAAACGACTGGATGTGCAGTTCGAGCGGCACAGCGCGGACATGAGGGCTGAAGTTGAAGATGGTGTGCTTGGTGGCCCCAATCCACTCCCCGATATCGCGAGCATTAGAAAGTGAGACGCTGAGGCCGACGATGCGCATTTCAGACTCAAGTTGAAGGGTCATGGCGTGCATGCGAGACACAATGGTCTCGTATATGTGTCCGCTTACACCTCCAAGCATATGTAAGTCGTCGGCGATGAAGAGTTTGACGCTTTGCACATTCTTGCGACGCTGCCATTGCCGTGAGATGACATCCCACTGGGTAGGGGTAGCAAGGATAAGATCACCAGCCTCGAGCAGCCTGAGATCCGAAGTTGTATCACCAGTAAGCTTGACGATTTCCTTGCCGCCAGCGGTCTTGGCTAAACGCTGCTGCCACTCCTTGAGCTTAATGTTCACAAGCTCTTGGAAGGGTGCAACATAGACAGCCCGTCCGCTCTCACCCTTCGCCCAATGACGCAGGAGGGCAAACTCGGCGCAAATAGTTTTGCCCATACCAGTGGATGCGCCAACGAAGACGTTGTCATCAGTCTGATAGAGCGCATTGAACGTCTGTGTCTGGACCTTGTTGAACCGCGTCCAATTCGGATACAGGTCGACATAGTCTTGCCTCTTAAGCGCAGCGACAGGCAACGGCTGCAAGTCGAGGAGTTGGGTGTGAGGCGGGAATTTTTCGGGAAGGATAAGTGTTTGGAGAGAGACGGCTGTCTTAGTCTCAGAGTGCATCCACCTATCCGACACCACTGTGATGAAGTAGTGGGGTGGCATTGGCTCGGTAATGGGAACGGTGAATTCGACCAAGTGGTCGGCCGGCTCGGACTGAGCATACTCACGGCGGAGCAAAAACTGGTCGTGGAAGAGAATTTCCTCTCCGTCGCAGTCTTCGACCATGATCCAGAAACTCTCCGCGTTCCCATGTAGCATCTCATCCCACACGAAGTTGGGTGTGATCGTGAGTTCAAAGCGAAGCATAGAACGAGTCATTGGCTGGAAATTAGGCTGGATCTCCAGGCGAGGAAACTTCTCAACCAACGAACAGACAGTCCTTCCTGCACGAGGCAAACCCATGAGTTCGCCCATGTGGGGAGGATCAAGGTCAAAGTAACTGGACCAAGGGACATCGATGCGCTCTGCTTTCTGCACAATGTCACGAGGACAGGTAGGAAACTGGCGTAAAGGTGTCATGGTAGGCCACATGCGTTTCTCAGCCATCTTACACAAGTCCAGTGCTGTCTTGGCAACCGAAGCCCAGCCCTTTTTCAAAGCAATCTCAAAGATCGCCCTGAGGATACGACCAGCAGACTGAGTGACATACACAAGATCAGCCATAAGAGCCAAACCCTCAAGCTTGAGACGAGAAATGTATGCCTGCAAGAGAACATTAATCTTCGCATGGGGCTCTTCGATGCTTTCCTTGACAGGGATAGGGACACGACCGAGCAATTTCGCAAGCTCGAGCTTTTCATCCTGGCGGACAGGGATGTACTTGAACTCATCGCTGAGAGCGAAGACGCGGAAAAGTTCGATGGTGGAAATGGATGGCTGGATATGTGTGTTGTACGTGAGCATAGAGTTGTGGGTAATGTAGTAGTGCGAGGCAACACGACCGAGCTCAGTAGCCTGCAGCTTGCCGATCTTCTTGTCGTACTTGACGAGGTTCGATCTCTCCAAGACTGTGGCGGCTGAGTGAATGAGGTCGACGCGCTTCTGTTCCAAAGCCTCGTCCTCTTCATACTCGGCCCCGACGCTGTAGAGGCCAGGAGAACGCAACATACGGACGTACAGATACGTGTAGCCAAGCCATTCCACACCCTCATCGCGACTGCGGACATTTCCAAGAACGATTTCAGCATTCAGGTTGTCTGCGAGCCTGCTCATAAACTGCGATTCAATGGGGAGTTGCTGGTTCATGAGAGAGAGGTAATACTGCATCTCTGATTGAGTGGTAATGATGATACCCTCGCCATATGTGTCGTACTGGGGACGACCTGCGCGGCCAAGCATTTGGAGAACGTCTTGAGGGCTAAGCTCGACCCAGCTACCCTTTTCGGGAGAGTAAATCTGAGTACCTTTGATGATGACAGTGTGAGCGGGAAGGTTAACACCCCAGGCCAACGTGGCAGTACAGACTAGGACTCGAAGAGAGCCATCGGCGAAGAGGTCCTCGACGGAAGTACGGTCTGCACGGCTCATACCGGCGTGGTGGATGCCGAAACCGTAGGGCATTACATCCTTGAGTTCGGCGTTTGTAACACCGTCAGCTTCGCTGCGAAGAATCTCTCGGCTGGCGGCGTCACTCCGCAAGATTTGGCCAATAGTCTCGAGCTCTAGCGCCTTGTCACGGATGTACTTGGCAGTCTTCGCCGTTTCTTTCCGTGAATGAACGAAAATCAGCATTTGGTTGTCGTGCTGACCAACCTGCTCCAAGACCTTGGTATAGCAAACATCATTCATGGCCTTCAGCTGTTTAATGGCTTTCTTGTCGGTGACTCCGATGAACTCCTGCTTGAGCGGACAAGGCCTGAACGTCCCATCGAAATGGAACAGTCCCGTGATCGGGTCGACGCGCAAAAAGCTAGCAACATCGCGGTAATTTGGAAGCGTAGCGCTGAGGCCGATGATGCGGACTGGGTCACCCGTTTGCTCCATACGGCGAATTGTCCTACTCACGATGCTCTCTAGGACGGGGCCTCGGTCGTCGTGGAGCAGATGGATTTCGTCAATGCAGATCAGGCGAACAAGGTTGGTGTAGCTGGTATCCGTAGCCTTGCGCGTGATGACGTCCCACTTTTCAGGGGTAGTCACGATGACCTGGGTATCGGCAATCTGCTGTTTGGTGAGCTGGCGGTCTCCAGTAAGTTCGGAAACCCGGATGCCATATGGCTCAAGTCTCTTGCCAAAGTTTCCGACTTGTTCCTGCACCAGGGCCTTGAGCGGAGCGATATAAATTATCTTAAACTCGTCCAAGTTGATTTCGCCAGTCTCTGGGTTCCTGTGCTTGCCAATCTCCCGAAGCATCGTCAACATCGCAACGTTTGTCTTGCCGGAACCAGTGGGTGCGCAGATGAGCATGTTACCATCATCGTTGAAGGCTGTGGGGAAACAGCGAGTTTGAATGCGGTTAAGGTTCTTAGACGTGCCGAACCCTACCCTAGCCCATTCGGGCATTTCGGTAACAGGCATATCCGGAGGATCGTTGGGGTCTCTCTTTGGCTTAGGTGCTGGAACATGAATTTCCTCATATCCCTTGAAAGTCCGTTTCGTGGAACCCTGGGGAAGCTTGACGTTAGGGTTGGTCATAAGATGGTTGCCCTGATCGAAGACGAGATTTTCCAAGTTAATGAGGCGTTTTGGTTGTAGGCCTCCAACTAAGCCACCCTCCTTTGCACCATCAGTCGCACCGGTGTCCTTTGCGGAAGGCACATCGATATCCATAAGATCCACCTTCATCTTTTTCGCTGCGGGAGCCTCGGCGGGAGCCTCTTCTCTCGTCCTGAGCTCATTCAAGATGCTTCGATGACCAGAAGCGATCATTTCCCTTTCGACAGCTGTCCTGGCAGTCGCGTCGTCTTCAACTCTCCGCCATCTTGTGACCCAGACCACCTTGTCTCGATTGAGAACCAGCTTGGCTACTAGTTCGTGGTGCTCATAGTCAAAGAGCTCCATAAGATCGTTCTCAATCTCGCGCAATGGCTTCTCCTCTTCGTCTTCAGACTCGCCAGAAAGAATCCGCAGGGCTTCCTGAGTTTTTTCCTGTTGGATGTGGGCGTCCTCATAGATGCGTCCAATTTGACGCTGCAACCAGAAGGCATCAATCTCGTGTGCTGGAATAGTCTTCTCTTCACCTTTCTTCGCTGCCGCCGCAGAGCCGTCCAGTCCAGAATCAATAATCATTTCCCCATCCTCATCCAGCTTGTCGCCGTCTTGCTCAGGTAGGGCCCCGCCGCCAGCAGCCGTAGCCTCCTCGGCACCCTCCCGCTCAGCAAAGTCGTCGCCTTCTTCATCTGAAGTATCATCCTCGTCTCGGACCTCAAAAGTCTGAGCCGCATCCTCATCTTCATCATCCTCATCGAACACGACGGCAACACCCTGCCGCTCGTCTAGCTCGGCGCCTGCAGCACCTTCCGCTGCGTCCTCCATTTCCTCATCGTCTTGGGTGTCGTAGTCGGTAATTTTTTTGCCCAGATTGACGAGCTCATTGAATTCCTTCGCGCCCATCGTCACACCGAGAATGTCATCCACCTCCTTCTTCCTATCAAAATCCTTAAGATTCTCATCCTTCAGGTATTCCAATACTGCATCTGCTGCGCTTCGTGTTACGTGGTTGGGGACGTCGCCAAGGTGTCGGCCGACTATCGTCGTGATGAGTTCATAGGTAGCGCGCGTCGCGGGAGTCCTCGGCCGATACCTTAGGTCTTCCACAAGTAGGTCCGCTTGCGACAGGATGCCCGTTCCACGCAGCTGGGTAGGCTCGCCACGCTTCCTCTTCTTCTGCTCCCGCTCTAATACGTCCTCTCCCTCGTGAATACTGCCACGCTCGAGATCCGCAGGTCCCTTCGGCTTCTTCTTCTGTACTGGCGCAGTCTCGCGCGCAGTCCTCGAGCCCATGTCGCGAATGTTCAAACGGCCAGCCAGCGATTCAGGATCGCCTGTCGCGTCATCTCCACGGCGCGACACGAAACGTCTATCGGCCTGGAGGACGAGGTTAGACATGGCCGCATATTTGAACTGCGCCAAGTTGTTCTCCTTCTTGTCCGCCATGTTGGATGTGAGTGATGGTGACGAGCCGGCGTGGCGAGGTGGGGTTAAAGCTTCCGACGGCCGTTGTCGAGTTGTTGGATTATGATGAAGATCTCATTGCCTGCAGGCGCGACGGCAACAAGCAGGCGATGGAGCTGTCGGCGCGAGCGGTGACGGGAGTTGGGGTTGGGGTTGGATTGACGTGCATCTACCACGACGCGAAATCTTGAGCTTGCAGATTGTAGAGCGCGCACAGACGACCGGCTATTGTTCGGCCGTCCTGCTATCCATTTGAGCTTGACAGCACCTCTGACTATCAAAGATTTCAAACTGCAGCCGAACATGCCGATGAATGAAACGCTGTCGAGTAAATCTCGAGCGGTTTGTGTCTGGCACACAGCTATAACTGTAGCTTTCTGCCCGGTTTACGTCTGGCATTTACTGTAAATCTGGAAGCATCCTCATGTAACACCGCGCGACAAAAACGGTCATGGTTTAAATCAATCGCGCCAGTGGCGCTTCGTTGTAGGAGGGCCACAAGTATCTACGACCACTCATCCTACTACCTGGCCTTCCCTCTCCCTGAGTAGCGTGCCTCCTCAATCTTTCTAATTCGTAATGAAAATCCACGCTCGTCTACCTCATCTACGTCCCCCATGTCCACTATCCTATACGACCCACTGCTAGTGCCGCTGGCCGTTGATTTACTCGACCACTGGCTTTTGGCTGGCTCCGTGATCGGGTTTGATGTTTGCCTGCTTGCCGCGGGGACTGAACGCTTGCCCGAATAGTCGTACAATGTCGCGTTTGTTGGTGGGGGGCTAGGTGCCTTCGGAGGAGTTGGCGCGCGATGGTAAGTTACATGGTCCGGCCGAGGTACATAACACACACTTGGAGAAGCCTTTGGAGGATGATCAAAGGACGGTTTGCGAACGACGTGGCTGGCGGTACTCGGCGGCTTCTCGTCCTCTGGCTCATTGTCGATGTAAGCCTCTCGCCAGTGGTCGTGGGCATTCAAATGTTCCGACGTCAACGGCAAATCTTCGCTGCTCATCTGTCCATCCAATCCAGCTCTGTAGTGCTGGCGGACTCTAGGTTGCTTTGTTTCGGGGCTTGGACGTGGTGAAGATTTCTTTCCGTCAGAAGTCTCAGGCACTGGAGCGAATTTAACATGGTGACCGCCGACCTCCACTTTCGTACTTTCAAAGCTCTGTCTATCTTGACGTCTGGTAGGTGGGGAATACGGTGTTTCCACTTCTGACCGTCTGGCAAATTTGTTCATGCTTTGGCTTCTGTTCGACAGGGTCTCATGAAAACCGTGGTCAGGCCGGACAGAATGTCCTCTCGAGTATAGAGAAGCGATCGTATCTGGTGGCGGAGCATAGCGAACAGACGATATCGGTGCGTCTCTACGCGGTGTTTTTTGTGACGAAGACGGAGTCGGTGACTCAATGGCGAGCTTTTGTGAGCGGGAAGATGGAGAAGAAGGAGCAGACCCTTTGTTTGATAGTATAGGGACAAGATAGCCGTGGCGGAATGCTGAAGGATGAGCAGCAAGCTTCCTTTCAGCATCGCTTATAACCCGACCACATGGAGAAGAAGAGGGCCTAGGACTTTCTTCCATGGGAGGCAATGCACTTCGTTCTATTGATACCGAACATGCTGAGTTTGGCGAATCCGCCCTTGCCACTCTAATACGCCTAATGATGACTAGCTCACTAGGATTGCCGCTTTCTTCTGGAGGGGGTGAAGTTGAGAGGCTTCGACGGCGGCGACCTTCGGTCTCTCGAATGAGGATCCTTGTCCGGCTTCTGGATCTTGTATGATGCTTCTGGGGAGAAGAATCTTCATAGTAGCTTGTCGACCTTGTGTTGGTACTTGTTTTTCTACAATGAGAAGAACTTCTTACATCATGGTCGCTTGATAGTCTGATGATGCGTATGCGTTCTGATTCTTTGACCGCCCTTTTGCCTGGAGCGTTTACTATGACTTTATCGTCCTCACTGGAGCTTTTCGCTGCCCGACATCTGCGGCATACTTCCGGAATTATTTGTTGCCCGGGAACCAAAGGATGTTCGCGATGGTAACGAGTGGATCGGGGCCGTCGACAAACCGAGCATATGTGGTATTCCTCTGAGTGTATGCCATCGCCTTGTCTCAAATCATGATGGTAGTGGTTGACCGTTAGGTTGTAAGGATCAGCGTAGTACTCGGCGTCCTTGCCTGGAGACTCCCTTGAATGCCTGACTGTGACTTCGTGCGATTCGATAATATCGCCCGAGGGACCTGGTTTAGGTGAGTAAGGGTACATGCATGGCCAAATGTGCCTCTCATGTGAACGAGGGTACGGATGGCCGAAGCCATATGGAGCGGGCGCTTCGCTGTTGTAGTCGAAATAACGTCGGGACAAAGATACATGGCCTAACGGTGGCCTACTGGCGATGTGCTTAGTGGGGACAAACGCCTCGAAAAAAGCGTTTAACATAGAAAATGTTTGCTTGTTGGACTTAGCGACTGACAGCTCAGAGCTAGGCGACATTGGAGCTTCGGGTAGAAGCACTGGAATTGGAACTGTTGGAAGTGGAAGTGGAATCGGTGGATGTGGTATAGGTGGATATGAGCTGTGCGTGAAAGTCAGTCATTTGCTCCGATGACTGAGCAAAAGATACCTACGTCAGTTGCTCTGGGTATTCATAGTAATACGTCGACCAGTGAGCTGAAGGAAGATACGTGACAGAGTCTTCGTCATCCGCAGGCCGGTACCTAGACGTAGGCATGTTCAACCCAATCCATGCCATGGCAGCGAAACGCAAGGACGCCTCGAACGTCACTGCTGCGAAGCACAGGTACCCTAGGTTGACAGGTGTGAGGCGTGGTGCGTTTCGGAGGCAGGTGTTGAGGTCGGCAGGCAGGAAGGTGCGAGGGGATATTGTCATGTGAAAAGAAACCGTACCCTAAAATGCAACTCCAGTCATGTGCTTTTTTAACACAGACCCTGTGACCAGCTCTTTATTGTACACTTGGCTCTTAGCTACTTGATTGTTCTTAGTGAAAGTACAGCAACCGCCCTGTAGGTCCAATCATTCGACACGCAAAGTCCTCGCTCCCCTCCGCTTCGTAGATTTCTTCTTTTTGTTACCCTTCTCAAAAGCCATGGCGCTGGCATGGTCCCTGCCCAAGTTGTCCAGATCCTTGACCTTGTAAATTCTGATGATCCAGTTCTCACTGGTAAACGCTTCCTCGATCGTGCTAAGCTGAGGGCCCTCAGCCGGCAGACGGACGCCACGGACGCGGTCCGCAGCTTGCCCAGCGGGGAAAAGTGTGTGGTAGTTGTAGTAAGACATCTTGTACCTGCAGAAATGTCAGCGCTATTTGGATCTAGGGCGTTTCAGGTGGCTTACATCAGACTGTTCTTCATTGCCGGAGTCGCTTGATCATCAACACGGTACTCGCCTCTCGGGGTAAAGTAATCGCGTTCCTTAACCTCATCGGGCCAAATGCCCTCAGCGATCCTGACCATCCATAGGAACTTGTTAATGTCATCACCAGAGTAGCCAAGAAGACCTCCAAACACGACAAGCACATAGTCGACCTCGTGCTGACGCATGATAGGATAGCTGACTTCTTCCCGCGAGCTCATGGCCTTGCCAACAGTGGCGATGTGGGTGTTGTTCCAGGTGTTGTTGTCAACAAGAGTAGGCCTATCAGCCATACCGCCGATCTGGTAACCGTAATCCCACCACGACATAATCTTGGCATTGTCAGGAGTGTTCTGACGGAGCCAGTAGTAAGCCTCGCGGTAGTCGTCGATAATGTGCTGGGACCCATCCGGAAGCCTGCTGGCCAAAACGACGGAAGGAGAAGAGTAGGCGTTGGACGTGACCCACGTGCAATGTAAGACAAACAATAACAGATAGATCGTGGTGGAAGCAACGACCGTCAGCTTCGAGCCGTATGAGTAAATACCAACCAGAGGCGAACGAGTGGAGCGCAGGGAAGCCGGCAACATGGTGGAAGCCACTTCCTCAGCTGCGTTACCGCTCTCCTTAGCCTTGGCATTGACGGATGCCGCAGGAGTGTCTACAACAAGGTAGGTATCCAGAATCTGCGAAAGCGCCATGGCAGCCGCAACGCAGACAATAGGGGTCAAAGTCAACATCAGCCGAACCATGACACCAGCAAAGTAGCTAGCTAGTACGGCGTAGATGACTATAAAGACCTGCTCGTCCGTCAACTTGCGGAAGCACATATAAACACCAGCAGGGAACAGCCAGATGAGCATGTTCAAGTCAAAGAAGAAAGCGGGCCACGCAGTCGGCTGGTGCTCCGAGACGGAGGCAATGATGGGAATGTGAATCTTGGCGTAGCCCGTGTCCCAGAGAGAGTAGAAACGGCCCGTCCAGGGAGCGATGACACCAGTAACAGTCAAGAGCACCAAACCTCCGAAGGCGACGACAAACACCAACAAGACCAGACTGCGAAGGAGCGTCTGGAATTGCTTGCTCGGAAGTTGCGTCCTGACCCACTCGGTGAAACCCACGAGTTGAAGCAGGCCAAACACACCTTTGTAAAGTCAGCACGATGCTATCAAAAAATCTGGTACGAAGCGAAAAAATACCCAATGCGGACATGTGCTCGCTACTCCTGATGGGCAAGAATCCGACGAATGGAATCTGCATGCTAGCTAACGTCCCAAGCGCATACCAGGTGGTATAGCTGACGTAAAGCCGAGGGCTGTATCTGCCCATGCAGATCAACACGAAAGCATGCAGAGGAAGCAGGTTCGTGATGAAAACATATCCACCCCACGCTGACACCATGTAGCCGTAGAAGAGCGCGGTCAACGCACCCCAGAGGGCGGATCCGTTCTTGAGAGACTTGATCCAGAGGAAGAAGGTGAAGACGAGAAGAAAGATGGCAATGGCCTCGTTGTCGTAACTGCCCGCAACGGAGCGCGAGATGTAGCCGGGCGTAATGCCCATGAAAGCGGCCGCCAGAAGCCCAGCGGACGGCGATTCCGACATCTCCGAAGTAAGGAGATAGGTGGCGAAAGCAGTAAGGCCCGAGAAGGCGGGTGCGAGCAACACGCAGATGTTACGAATGTCGACGGGAATGGTCAAGAACCGGAGGATGTGGTAGATGACGCCGCTGGTAACCATCAAGCCCGGGTACAGGGTGCCGCCCGTGACTCTGCCGAGAGGATGCCATGTTCCTGTAGTGGGGTTCCATCAGCTACTTGAGAGTATGAGAGCTGTCTCTGGAGATGGCATACTGTCGTCGAACCAGTCCCAGAAGCTGTAGAAGCCATTGTTCACGAGGTATTTGGTCGCACGGAAATTGAACCAGGGATCGACTGCGAGGACATCAGCGCAAGGCTCGTGCAGCGACGAGATAGCAAGCTTACATTCGTGGATGATGCTCTCGAAGCGGATAACACTGAACAGGCGACTGGAGACGGCGGCAGCTGCAATGGTGCAGAGGATGATAAGGCGCAGCAGTCCCCGGGTGTTGCGCCCGGTGACGCCCTTCAGGACGCTCTGCTCTGCGGCGGCAGCCATTTCAGAGCAAAGAGGTGGGTGGGCAAACGCAATTGAGGAATTGTGGTGTTGCTCTCAGTAGCTAAGGAGCCACATATCCTGGATGGAGCTTCGTCAGCGCGGGCGGGCTCGGGTAACGGCGCGCGTCCGGGTCGCACCAGGGCAGGCGTAGGTACCGAATCGGGGCACTGCACCACGCCATCACTGCATACACACACAAGCGATGATATTACGGGCAGTCTCTCCCACGAAAGGGGGTGTGCAAAATCAATTTTTTCGCCTCAAAGTAAATAGAATGAAACAAGAACTCGATCCGGGGGTAGTCAATTATCATAAAGAAACAAAAAGCAGGAAAACCGTCGTGTCAGCCGCATACGCAGGCTCAAGTAAAAGAGGGGATCGTCCCCAATCCAGCCAGCCCTGACCTCCAGGCGGCCTGAAAACAAAGCTAGAATGTGTCGTTCGTCCTCGCACACCTCCCCGTTAACCAAGCTTCCAGTGTCCCGGGCCCGCGTCATGGCTGAGGGCTGACGTCAGGACGTTGTTGTTGCTGTCGTCGTCGTCGTCGTCGTCGCAAACATCAACTTCGGCGACGCGGACGCTGGCTTCGATTCGCAGCCGTTTTCGTAGTGTCGTAGGGTATCACTCCGTGTTGATTGCTTGTTTAACAGCAGTCCTCGGCGCACTGGATCCCGTTAGTTGGCTGCTGAAGCCTCAGCTAGCCTGCGCAATCGTCACTTACCTCGCAGCATTCGGCGCAACACTCGCAACCTTCCTCGCACACGAAACAACAGCAGAGAATGGCGAGACAAGAGCCCAAGCAGCCACGATCCTTCTTCTCCTTCACGATAACCTGCTGTGGAGGCCCTTGCTGGTACTGCATCTGTGACGGGTGTTAGTCTGTGGGATTGGGCGACACGCAGGCGCGCAAGCTTACCGGCTGCTGAGGGTAGCCACCATACTGTTGGCCATAGCCTGGTTGGGGTGGGCCATAGCTGTGAGACAGAGGTTAGCTCGTGCTGGTGGCGCGCGCGCGCGTGCTTGGATGTCGCCAAGTAAATGGTACGTACCTCTGGGGAGGGTACTGGGGACCGCCCTGGTAATAACCTTGGTTGGACATGGTGATGTTGGAGTGTTTAGAGAGTAGGTATGGCGTGGAGAAAGCGGGTGGGTGTGGCGGCGGCGCGGAGAGATAAAGAGATGAGGCGAGTGAGAGCGAGAGAAAGAGAGAGAGGAAGAGAGGGCGCGGAGTCGGAGATGAAGAGTGACGATTGCGGGCGCAAGGGAACAGGGCTGACGCTGGATTTGTATCGAGTTCGGCACTAGTTGCAGCCACCTGACACGCGCCCGATCAGCGAAGGGCGAAACCTAATGACGGCGACGGCGACGGCGATGCGCCCGGCCACAGCCCACAGCCACACAGTCACCACCACTAACAGCCCACCTCCCCAGCACAGCCCCCCCCGAAAGCTTGTCGCCCCCCGAACCGCGCCCCAATCCACTCGTTCGTCAACTCAAAACTGCTTCCCTCAACGCCATCCGGCTCAGGCGAACCCGCATTGCCTGCGCATGCAACCTGCGTGGTCTTCTCACGCCTCTCTCGCTGTCGGCCCCGGATCCGCGCGTCCATCTGCCGTCTTTGCCGAGCGGTCAAGGATAGTATGCCCTAGCCAGCTCGACTTCCGTTGCGTGCCGGCCCTCGCGCGAGGCACCATCAGCGAACCGTGACCATGGTACATTTACGTGGCTGTGGAATCATCTGAGAGACGCGTCCAGACGTGGCTCAATCTGGGTCCCCACACCAGCGGCACTGCGGCAAACAATTTCATTAAGTCCAGGGCCAAAAACAGAAACATACGAGTACAGCCCAATCATAGTGCGTTGCGCCAAAAACAGTCCAAATTAACCAACGCCCAACCTATCCACTCCTCCCCCACACACACACAACCTCAGCTCGAGATGGCATGGTGCGGGTGCTGCTGGTACAAGCCCTTGATGGCCGCGCTCCTGTTGTCCGACACCGTTCCTCGGCTGCTTGTAGACCCAAAGCTCTTGCTACTCCCCCGGTCGGACCCGTCAGAACTGCCTGTGCCGTGTCTAATAACATTCCGAGCAGTGCCACGGGACAATTCCTCACTTGCTCGCTCGGGACTGCTGCCAAGGCCATGCGCCGAGCCTCTGCGATATGTGTACTGACTGGGACGCTCACTAGTCGTTCGCGAATGCGTCTTTAAGCTGGACGTACGGCGGAGGCTGGGAGAGCGGGGCCCGACTGGTGTGTCGCGCATGCGATATCGTGGAACTTGCTCAACTCCGGGTTCTTTACCTCCCACTTCAATGGGTTTGCTCGCACGGGAGCGACTGCGGGTCCTAGAAGAAGTCCGCGAGAGGCTTCTTATGCGCGCAGTTTTCTCTGAAGCAGAGTCATCGTCCTTGGTGCCTTCGGTTGTTGTACTTCCTGTTTTCATGCTTCTGGCCTTACTGCCTGGTTTTCTTGATGAGGACCGCGACCTATGAGCAAAAACTATTTCTTTGATGCTTTCTGCTTTGCTGCTCAGAGCAGTCGCCTCGGTCGTGTCTGCTTCCGTGGTAGAGTCACCGGTGAGCTCATCCTTTCCGCTCCCTGTCTTATTTGTACTCGACCGTCTTGATGATGGCCGAGATATAGAGTGAATGCTCCTTGCACTCTCTGATGACAAGACTGGGGCTGGTGCTGCACTGTAGTTGCGTGATAGCGAGATGTAGCCAGCTTTCTCTTCAGTAGGCTCCTCAATGGGCTTCTTTTCTTCATTCGCGGATTCTTCAACAACCTTCATACCGTCGTCGGCAGGCTTCTCAGGTCCGGTCTCGGCGGGGAGTGTTTGCCCAGTGGCGTTCTCATATGCAGACAACATATCTTCCCTGGGTTTCTCTTCTACTGGTTTGTCTTCTTCGGCCTTGCCAGCTTCAATCAACTTTTCTTCGCTCGATTCCTGATTCACTGGATCTGCTTCGGCATTATCTCCTTCAGTCTCGCCTCTGACTGTTTTTTCGGGATCTTCTTCAGGAGTCTCGTCTTTAGATAACTGCTTCTCGAGGGGTGCGTCTTCAGTGGGTTGACTGTCGATGGCCTTGTTCTCCATGGTTACTTCCTCCGTTGAGTCTCTCTTGCCGATATCATCATCGCCGTTAAGATGCTCGTCTTTCCCTGATTTTTCTTCTGCATCTTCCTCTTCAAGTGACCTGTCGTACCTACGAGGTAGCGCAATATAAGCAGGCGAACCCTCAGAGGCTTCATTGATAGCTTTGTCTTCTTCCGTAGCGTCATGGGAGGTTTGTTCGTTGGTTTTATCTTCAACATCAGGACCTGGTTCCCTTGTTGATGATTGCTCATCTGTACCGGTCGTAGCATTGAAAGCATCTGGCGTTCCCCCTTCTTCGAGTTTACTTTCACGCTCTGGGGTCGCTGCTTCTGTGGCCTCTGTCTGGTCCGCGCATAACGTATCTCCTGTCTTTTCTTCTTCTTTAGAACCTGGTTCTGGTGAATTAAACTCTGCCCCTTCCTTTACGTCCTCTTTCTTGTCAGATGATTCATTTTTCTCATTTGTGGTATCTTCAGGGGCAGTGTCTTCTATTTTGCTCGACTCGAAGTCGATTACTGCATTAGTCTTGGAATCTTGCTCTTCTTTGTCGGTTGGGGTGTCCTTCGGTTCCGGCTCAGTCTTTGAATTTTTATCATCTTTTGGGGTACTTGCGGCATTACCTGGTGATTCTTCTGGTGGCGAAGCTGTTGTCTCCTCTTCGCTCGGATTTGGTGGAGGACTGGATGATTGAGGTATTTGTACTTCGCGCAGCCTTGAAAGAACTGCCGGTGAGTCCTCATACAGTGCGAGGCCGTAGTTATAGACATATCCCACGTCCTCCTTACCCTGCTGTTCGCTGGCTGCGCGTGAACCTTTCAAGCACGGTTCACGGCTGATAACAGGGAAAAGCCGCAGTAGTACCTCTGATTTCGGGCCAGGTTTTTCGTCCAGTCCGGCAATTGAGCTAACAGAGTAGTCAGGTGCATCAAATGACTGTGCCGGCCAAAAGTCAGCTTGATTATCGAATTCGGATGTAGCACCTGGTGGTGGCATATGCGCAGATATAGCCTCCCGCTCCAAGCGCGCGAAGCGCCACGTTTCGGCCGCGAGTTTGACGACCCTCCTTATCTCAATGCGGACTTGCTCCTCGTGTCCGGACTCTGCAAAGTCTTTAACGGCGTTGCAAATTTCATCGACAATCTTTCCGGCTACTGCGTTGATGCGCCGCTTGGCATCATTACCAGTAAACATTGACGTCAGAGTTTGACGACGCCAAACGGCTTCCTTGAGCGGACTTTTCTGTCGCAGCTGAACGCTCGTTTCTCGAAGAACATCATTCATTGAAGCTTCTTCACCGTTCAGACTGAAAAGGAAAGGCGTGAATATGCGAGTGGTGAGAACGGTAGAGATTTGATGCATGATATACGAGGTGCGGATGTGATAAGCCGAAGGACTATCGTCCAAGAAAGACGGTAAACCCGGTGGTAGCTCTTTTGTCGTATCCGATTGAGGTGTCGGAGGGTTCTTGTAGTGCGTTGTCGCAACGTCGAACACTTGCTTTTGCAGACGGGAAAAGGCGTCGGAACTGCGTAGCATTACAAGTTAGCGAAAGTGCAATCCAATTCACACACCAATAGCCAGAGACGTGTGTATATAAAGCCAAGTTGGATTCTATTGGCAGCTAAAGCCGAAGATGATGCAAGTTTCTTTACGTCCATTTTTTCTTCTCTTTTTTTCCAACTAGCCATCGGTGTGCCCGCGAGAAGAAAGACACGAAATGACGATACACGAGGATTAAACAAAAAAGAAAAAAGAAAAAAGAAAAGAAAAGAAAGGAAAAGAAAAATGAAGCCAGAATTAAGCCAGAAACGGCATGCCATGTACGTTGTGAGACCAAAAGATGAACTTACTAATGTGCGTCTCCCTTGCCCTTGAGCTCTGGAAGGTCGCCGAGGCCTTCAATGATCTTCTGCATACGTTCTTTTTCGAGTCCCCAATTGCCAGCAATTGTCTTGAGCTCGCCAACAACTTTTTCGAGGCTCGCCTTGTCATCATCCCACTCTTTCTTCATCCTCTCCTTCTCCTCCGCCATTGCGTCCCTATCATCTTGCGCCTTCTGCTCGAGCTCTGTTTGGCGCGCATCCCACTCCTTCCGGAGTTCTTCTTTCTCCTTGTTGAATTGACTGTGGAGAAGTTCGCGCTGATCGTCCCAACTTTTCTGGAGTGTTTCACGTTCATCCTCCCAGCCTTTTGTCAGGCTCTCACGTTCGGCGTTCCAAACCTCACGGCTCTCGCGCTCTTTCTTTAAGGCTTCCTCGAAGTCTCTTTGTACGCCACTTAATTTGGATTCCAACTCCTTCCGGACTTTTTCGAAGCTGTTCTCCATTTCTCGTTTCTGCCGCTGGAATTCGTTGCGCATGGTTTCCTTTTCCTTGAGGTGATCTTCGACCATCTGCGCCTTCTCCCTCTCGGTCGCGTCTTCTTTCTCTTTCTGCAGTCGGTCGAACTCAACGGCAAGAGCCATTTTTTCGGATTCAAAAGTCTGGTTGGCATTCTCTTTCCAATCCTCGAACTCTTTTAACAGGCGCTCCTTTTCTTCGGTGGTAGACCTTTCAAGCTCTAGCTTTTCAGTCTCAATGAGAGTCTTCCCTTCCTCTAAGGCAGCTTTGACCTCTTCCAACTCCTTTTTACTCTTCTCAGCCTCTGCGATGGTCTCCTCTAGTTCTGACTTCTTTTCTTCGAGGTCACCAATCTGGAGTCTGAGCTTGTTGCTCTCAGATGAGTGTTGTTTGGCAACATCCTCAAGTTGTTTGGTCAAGCTGTCAATGTAGTCCTCTTTCCGTTTGACAGCATCCGCCTGCGCAGCCTCCGACTTACGGATGAGTTCCTCGCGAATACCAAGTTGGCTGCGAGTCTCGTTGTAGCGGGACAGCAACAAATTTAGATCTGGAATAGCCGAAGAGATTCGACCCAGCAGGTCTCCTGATTCGTCTTCCATTGCAGATCCATTGGCCCCGAAATTGAAATCAGCAAGGTTGGTAGACCTTGAGCTAGTGGAGTTATGACGCTGGGCCATTGGGCTACCAGGATACGGGCCGTACGGCGAGCCAAAACCACCATATGGTGGCTGGTACGGAGGCGTGGCATGAGGGGGCATCATGCCATAACTGGGCATGCCGGGATAGTAGTAATTGGGGGGTGGATACCCCGACATGGAGGATGAAGAATAGGAGGAGTCTGCAATTGAAGGAGGGTAATAGGGATTCCTCGTTTGTGGATAAGACGGCACAATGGGAGACCTCGGCGTCGGTGTCTCGGTTCGGAACCCCATGTGGGAAAGTGATGGCGAGTTTCTCGCCGTTGCAAATGCAGCCGTCGCTGTTTTTGGCGTTGGTGTGGTATTAGGCGGAGCAGTTGCAGGTTTCCCAATTGGGGTTTGTTCAATTGGAGGTTGCTCCACTGCGGTTTGTTCGGTAGCTGGCTGTCCCGCTGGCTCTGTGAGCTCTTCGGTGGGTTCCTTTATCGGCTCTTTTTTGGACTCCTCTGCAGGATCACCTGCGAGCTCTTTTGCGATCTCCTTTGCGAGCTCCCCTATAGGCGCCTCAGCAATCTTCTCTGTGGGCTCTTCTGCGGTTTCCTTTGAATGTTCCTCAGCAGTCGAATCTCCAATGGCAGGTTCCTCTCCCGTAGGGCTGTCAGCTGAAGGTTGCTCCACTGTAGGTTGCTCTGCAGAAGGCTGGTCGTCCACTGCTTGGTCCGCCGAAACCTGATCAGGTTCGTCTGGTTGAGTGATGCCGCTTGCCTGAGAGTCTTGGACTGCAGACGTATCTGGAGTGTCGCCTGTGTCGGCAATCTTCTCTGCAGCGCCTCTGTCCGCACTGTCTTCCAATATAACTACTGGGCCCTCCGTAGTTGTGGTAGGCTCACTGGTGCCTTCTTTTTCAGTAGCGTCAGGGGTGGTTTCAGTGCTTTCTGCTGGTTGGCAACATGCACTCTGATCGTCAACTGTGGTTGTTTCGAGTTCCTTTTCCACAGAGTCCTTGGCTTGGGCTTCCAACAGGTCGGAAGTGAGCTTCTCAGTGTCGCTCTGGTAATCTTCAACAGTGGGCTGCTGTGGAGATGTGACAGAGCCTTTGTCTGAGGGGGAGGGGCTTGGTTGCCGCGTTTGCTGGGCAGACAGGGCCGGCGAGGAGGGGATGGGGCTGAGCGATGATTGGCCGTCTGGCTTGACACGAGGACTCGTGGGAGGGGTGGGCTCGAATTGGCGTGCAGCTTTCTTGCCAGACCTCTTGGACTTGGCCATTGTGATAAAAGTGGCAGGGAGCTAAGATATAAGTGGTATGAGTGATGAATGGGATGACTGCAAAAGAGCAGAGCGTGAGATCAATGGACGAGTTGTGTAGATTGGTGGTTGCTTGCGTGGCAGCATAGAGCAGAGTCGGAGACTAAGTAATGATAGGAACTTTGGCTGAGACGACACCGCGTGGCCAGAAATGCCTCGTACGGAAAGACAGGCATGATGCAGCCGCCCCGTTCCAGCCCAAGGCGAGCCAAACGAGGCGAACAACAGGGTGGGTGACGGCATGGCGAGGCGGCAGCGGCGTCGAGCGGCTATGAGAGCGAGCAATGAGGGGAGCAGAGCAGGGGACAGGTACGGCGGCTGAGAAGGGCAGTTTGACCGGTTTAACAACTGTCAAGACGCGACTTGCCGGCCAGGTTGCACAAGCAGGTGCGTGGAGAGGCGTCGTTGGCCGGGGAAGCCGCGACTGGCTGCATGCTGCAAGTGCTGCAGTGCTGCAAGCATGGTGGTGGCAGTGGCGTTGTCACGTGATGCCGTGCCTCGTCCACCTACCGCAACGCCTTCCGTCGCGCGGAGCAAACCATGGAGCTCCACGACACCTCTTCTTCCGCCTCTTCGGTCAAGCCGCTGCGCGATAAGTCACTCTATTCTTTTTTCAGCAGCTCCGCCACCCAACGTCAGCCGTCTCAGTCGTCGCCTAGCCCGGAACATGAGGCAGATGCTATCCAGGAATACGACTCTGGTGACTCCGCCCATGAGGCCAGCGTGAGGCCGCGCAAGCGCCCTCGCCATGGCAGTGACGACGCCAGACGTGGCAGTCAGAAATTCCTCAAGCCGTCGTCTGCCGCCAAGAAGCATCCTGCCGAGGTGCCTCCTCACCGGCCTTGGGTTGAAAAGTACGCGCCCGTCAACCTCGACGAGCTTGCAGTGCACAAGAAAAAGGTGGCCGACGTCAGGAAATGGCTGGCCGCTGTGCTTCAACGGCGCGACCCAAAGCGCCTTCTCATCCTCAAGGGTGCGGCAGGCACGGCCAAGACGACCACTCTTCACCTGTTGTCCAAAGAATTGATGTTCGATCTAATTGAATGGAAGAACCCCACGGGTTCCGACTTCTCTTCAGATAACTTTGTCTCCTTGTCAACTCACTTCGAAGACTTTATGAGCCGCAGTGGCAAGTTTGGGAGCTTGGAGCTCGGAGGTCCGCAGGGTACAGCCTCCGACACGTCTGCGGGCAGGCAAGTAATCCTGATCGAAGATTTCCCAAACACCTTTGCGCGCTCGTCATCGGCTCTGCAAGCATTCCAGACCTCCGTCCAGCGGTACCTATCTTCGTCTATTCCTCTCGGCAAGCTGCCCATGTATCCCACAGAAGCTCTTACCCCAGTCACACCCATTGTTATGGTCATCTCGGAGACATTGCTATCAACAAGCACAGCGGCTGCCGACAGTTTCACGGCGCATAGACTTCTAGGACCTGACATTATGAACCACCCTGGCACCAGCGTCATCGAATTCAATGCAATTGCACCCACTATCTTAACGAAAGCCCTCGAACTCGTAGTGAACAAAGAGGCACGCCAGTCAGGCAGGAGGACAACTCCCGGTCCCCAGGTCATCAAGAAGCTCGCCGAGATTGGTGACGTACGCAGCGCCATTTTCTCACTGGAATTTCTCTGCGTGCGCGGCGACGAATCAGCGGACTGGGGCAGTAAGGTCACGTTCAAGGGCCCGGCAAAGGGCAGTCGGGGTAAGCCACTTACGAAGATGGAGCAAGAGTCATTGGCGATGGTCACACAAAGAGAAAGTAAACTGGGGATATTCCATGCTGTGGGCAAGGTTGTATACAACAAACGAGATGAACCAACGGGTGACAGTGACGTTCCGCAACCTCCATATCATCTACCTCAGCACATTCGTCCAAAACCTTCGGAAGTCAAGCCAGATACCCTTTTGGACGAGCTGGGAACAGATATTTCCACGTTCATCGCAGCTCTGCATGAAAACTACATACTTTCGTGCAATACCACAAGCGAAGAGGACACCTTTGATGCTATCAATGGATGCATTGACGCTTTGTCAGATGCTGATTTGCTTTCTCCTGACCGCTTCAGTGCTGCAGGCCTTGCAAGGCGGACACACCAAGGAACCGGTGCCGACAGCTCACGACAGGAAGAGATGAGCTTCCAAGCTAGTGTCCGCGGGTTACTTTTCAGTCTGCCATATCCAGTCAATAGGAGCCTGCCCCCACCCGGAATGAAAGGAGGGAGAACGCCACTGGGTGCAAAGTCTGACGCCTATCGGATGTTCTACCCGACCTCTGCCAGACTGTGGCACCTTCGGGAGGAGATTGAAGGGCTTCTTGACCTCTCCTTCCGAAGAGCACAAATGGAATCCTCGGCCGGCACACCGAGAGAAGCAATAACTGTTCCATCTCATGGAAATGGCAGCGTTGAGACATGGGGTAACAATGGCGGCTTCAATCGCAAGCGGCAACAAAGTCACGAGGGCGACGGAAGTGCTGTGCCACCTGCTCTTGGCCTTGGTGGCATGGCCAAGCGCGAAATGCTGCTCGAGCGCTTGCCATATATGGCTACTGTCCTGCGACGAGGAGGCTCGACTTCCGGGCCTGCCGCTTCGAGGCTACGGGAGATTGAGAAGATCGTTGATTTTCGCGGTGTCAATATCGGATCGGGTGATGATCTTACCGAAGATTTTGGCCGGGATGTGGAGGATCAGCAGTGGCATGTGGAGCAACCGGTCATGTTCGAGCCGGCAAGGGCGGGGAACGTGGTCGGTTCCAACGAGGAAGGATTGGAGAAGCTTGTGTTAAGCGACGACGATATTCAAGACGATTAGGATTTTTGAGGGTGGAAGGCATCCCAGAACAGCAAGTCAATTGATACTTAGGCTCGATTGCTTTTCAGCGTTGTCAATCGGAGTAGTTCATAATGGTTGCATGGTAAGCGATAACAAAACCACAAGTCGTAGGTAGTAAATGATGTCGGAGCCACGAGCTCCGCGATTCATCAAGCTTATATAATACAGATGTCCTCCCTGCAAGCATGTCTTCCGTGTCGCATTTGGAAAGCAAGGAAAGAAAGTGAAGAAAACGGAAATGGCTTTATGCGACAACTCTGCAAAGTAAACCAACCTTCCGTCAATCCTGCAGAAGCTAGGGAACCATAGAGATGTGATAACGAAGGTGAAAAAGCGACAAAACCGGCAGAGAATGAAGGGTATAGGGGTAGGGAAAGTGCCAATTTGCCTTTTTTCCATCCGGCGAGGGAACTCTCCGTCTATTGTTTGCCCTTTCTGCGTCCCTCCTTGTCCAGAACTTGGGCCGTGTTTGATAGCATCCCACCAGACGCCAGTCTAGCGAATGAAGGCCCTTTGCGGTAAAGGCCAAAGTAGACACGGAAAGAGCAGAAAGCCGAAACCCTCGGTCATTCAGGTGCAATTTGTGAATCGTTCATCAACAGACCAAACAACTCACACCCACCTCGAAAACAAATATGCGCTCGCTGTCGTAACTCGTAAAAGAAACGTAAGAAATCAAAAACGGAAATGGGAAAATATAAGAAAAAAGTAAAAAGCGTACATGCAGTACTGGTTGGTTAGTGAAGCGAGGCTCAAGCAGGTTGTAACGACGGTGACCTCACAACCCTCACTGAGACGCAAACACGACCAGGTTGCTTGAACCTCTACTGCACGCTGAAGCCCGACCTAAGAGCCTTCATCCATCGTCATCGTCCGCCTCGTCGTCTTCTTCCTCACTCTCATCTCCACTCGTACTGGGCCTCTGCACGGGGAAATTGCCCGTCTTTGTCTTCTTGCCCAAGGGCACGATTTGGGCGTTTGGAGCAGTCTTCCTTTTTGCGGAACCCAAGTGTCCAGCTTGGATGACCTTCGTTGGCGTTCCAGCATTTTCCTTGTCACCACCATCCTCTACATCGCCATTGTTTGTGGCATTGGCCTTCTCCATAGCGGCCACCTCGTCCGCAGTCAAGAAGCGTCCGCCTGGCCCACGCGGTCTGCGCATTGCATGGTTGTGACGCGATTCGTGTAGATACGGCTTCCGTCCTTTAGAAGTGAGGCGCAATGCTTCCTCGAGCTTTTGTCGCGCCATGCGCCGCTTCAAAATCCGGTGGAACTGCTTGGCGTTGACATAAAGAGGCGACTCCTCCGCACCGCCTGGCACCAAATCCGGGGAGGACTGGTGTTGCTGTACAGGGGGTGCTTGAGGCGGCATTTGCGGCGGAGCGGACGGACGGTTGGCAGCAGCATGGTTCATGGCCGGTTGGGGATGTTGCATTGCCGGGCTGCTGATCTGCTGGCTCATTCTACGGGGCAAGGACTGCGACATCTGGACTTGCGGAGGTATGGGCGTCTGCGCTCCCATACTATTGGGAACCTGTGTCGGAGAACGAGGACCTCGCGGGTCAGCCTTGATCTGAGCGCCTCCTATCCTTGGAGATGCTCTCGGGTCCTGGCTGAGCTGTCCTTGCATGCCTCCGTCGGCCATGGGATAATACGGTTGGCCAGCTGCTGCCGCCGTGGCCATGGCGGCAGCTTGAGTAGGCGACATGTACTGCTGGTGCATGCCAGCCGGCACGCCGTAACCTGCCGGAGGATATCCCATTTGCTGAACCTGATGGCCGGTAGCGCCCGATGCGCCTTGCTGCGAGTATGGATTCTGTTGCGAGGGCAATATCGGCGACTGTTGGTTGTGCGAAGGGTGCATCTGAGTCTGCTGGTTTGGCGACGTTATTGCACCGGGACCGGCGGACTGAGGCGGCGCGGAATAGGTGTTTTGCAGGTGCGTCTGAGCATGGTTGTGGGGATGTGGCTGTTGATACTGCGCGTACTCCATCATGAGGGAGGGTCGTCTTCTTCCCGTCTTGTTCGTGGCAAAGTCAAGTATACGCGACGCTCGAAGGCCAAACGCGCCTGTAGCGCAGCGTCTGCCCGGCGAATCCGACGAGTAGCAAGCACCAGGTAATGGTGATAGTCGCTGCCTGAGGAAAGGTGCGATCAATAGGAGCGGGTCGCGAGGCAGCTGGCGGCGATGGAGTGTGGCTTGGTCGTGTCAGCGCACGCCCAATCAAGCGCGCGTCGGGATCACGTACCTTCAGCGGGAGCGACGGAGCGCAATGGTCAGTGAAGCTTCTACTCGAGCCGGTCCGCAGCTAGAGGTTATGAGTCGGTCGTTGGCAGGGTTGAGTCACCTCGCAGGTAGCGATGCGTTGGCAATTGGCGGGATCCGGGGGATGCGCAGGCTAGGCTGACAGACGGGACGACAGGGACGCGAATCCGGGGATGATGTATCGCGGCCGCCGCAGTGAGGTCTGTGGCCGTGTGGAGAGGAAGAATAAGCTCTACCAGTCAAGGAGGTTGCGACCTGGCTAGCACGGGCGGCGAGGCGTTAGCACGAGGCGTGAGGCAGGGCTGGGGGAAGGCATTATTGGAGGCGATGCGCTGGCAATGCATGGCAGACAGGTGCGCGGGTGCGAGTGGACGACGACTTACCGACGTCACGGGAGGGGGGCAGCGTCCGAGGGCGACAGTTGGCGTGAGCTTTGGCAGGAGAGGGAGGGAGGAGCCAGTTAGACGGCAGCCGGGAAATGGTGTTGATTTGAGAGCGAATCAAGCGCAAATTTATCGCCGGGTGGGTCGGGCGCGACCGGGCCACGGAAAGCCCAACCTCTTCCAGGGCGCAGCAGCAGCAGCAAAGCGGGCAAGCAAGCAAGCAAGCAAGCAAGCAAGCAAGCAAGCAAGCAAGCGAGCAAGCGAGAATAAGTATCGTATTTTAAATTTTTTCTGGGTTGTTGGTTACTTACTTCTTACTTACTTACGTGGCACGGGGTGTGAGGGGTTGGCAGGCTGGGCTGGCCTCTACCTGCAAGCCTGGCTGGGCTGGCTGGCGGGCGGGCGGATGGGCGGACAAGGGCCAGGTCCAACCTGCAGCAGCGGGATTTACCCGCCGGATCAACATTACCCCGACTCCCGAGCTAGGTATCATGGATTGTGGATTGACGGGACTCTCCAGAACATTGGGCAAGAGAGAGACAAACTGCCTGCCATGCTGTGCCCCCGCTGCTTCCTCCTCCGCGCCCCCCGCCGCGCCTTCTCCTCGGCCCGCCCCGCCTTCCAACTCGCCGTCAACGCCAACACCGCAACTGCCGCCGCGCCGCGACAAGGCGAGCCTGACTCCCACACGCCTCCCGCCGCTACCTCAACCTCCGCCGCTCAGCCCTTCAGTGCCCCATTGACTCCTGGCTCCGTCGAGTCGGCCAAGCCCCCCGCTGCCCCCGTCCTCGTCCAGAGCTCCGTGCCCGCCGGCACCCCGCTGAAGGGCCTCAACTTCCTTAAGAATAAGCAAGACCCTGTTGCCCTCGAGGATTCGGAATACCCCGCATGGCTGTGGACCGTGCTGAAGTCCAAGACTGCCTCCAAGGAGGCTGAAACTGAAGGCGATTTGTTTTGTTGGTCTTCTTTTCCCTGCGCCGCCCAACACTGACACTGATGCCTTTTGTCACAGCGAAATCCAAGAAGCAGCGGCGCCTTGCCGCCAAACGGCTTCGCAAGCAGGCTCTTCTGAACCCGGACGCGCTCGCGCCCAAGATACCCATCTATGAGCAGACCGTAGACCTACCGGGTGGTGACGGAAGCGTCAAGGGAAACGTCGAAGCGGAGAAGGCGAGAGAAACCCTCACCAGGGCCCTGCGTGCAAAGAGGAGGAGCCAGATCAAGGAGGCCAACTTCCTGCAATCTATGAGCTAAGCTTCTACAAAACGATCCCACGTTGGTTGTGTACGTTAAGTTGTAGTGGCCTTGTGAAAATCGTGGGTACGGGACCTGTACGGAAATGGCTGGCTGAACGTAGGTTGCATCTGTATCACGGAGGGAATGGAATGGCGTCTTGTGGAATTGCTCGGCTGGGCAATCATCTCCGTTCAGCATATTGACCTACGCACGCAAGTGGTTGGAAAAGCTGGTGGTTTTCAAAAGATCATTTATACTTTATTGCTCGCGGCACTCACTGGATATATATATATATACAGACCTGCTGTACGCCGAGGTGCCCCTAGGTAATCTCTGGTCGTTATCCCTCGTGTAATATGCGCCATTGGCCGAAATACCGTCCCTAAACAACACTCCCCACCCTTCTTCGTTCCACATTGGTTCTATTGTGCTCATTCCGCAAGCACAGAGCGCAGCATGGTCAGGAAACTCGGGTGCAGTTTCTTGACCTCGATGATTGGTGGTTTCTGCGGCTCTCCGGATGAACCCTTCAGTTGCTCCCTCTTTCTACGGTTGCGTTCCGCAACGATTGGGTCTGTATCGTCATCCGAATCCTCCCCAGAGTAGGCATCTGATACTTCATCCTCCAGGTTCAACTCTTCAAGGTCATCCTACAATGTAGAATTATGTTAGCACTTTTTCCAAGAGCGAGCTGTCAGATCCGTGTCTCGTCATGACTTACAGCATTGAGCCCGAAATCGCTGCTTCTGAACCCGCCCACGCCCAGTCCCATCATATCACCACCACTCTCGTCACTTCCCTGCGCCATTTTTTGTCTTGTCTTGTCTTGGTGCCACTTCTTACGTGCCGCTTGCCAGCGAATGAGCGCATTGATTTCCTTGATGGCAGTCCTCTTCTCGATGGATCCATCGTCCAACGCCCCTTGCACTAGAGCGTTCATATCAAGCTTGCCACCGCCGGGTGCTCCCTTTCGTAAGAATTCCAAGATTCCCTCAATCCAACCCATCAGCTTGTCAAAGAGTCCGTTGTCATGGATGTGTACCTCGTGGATGAACTTGTACAAATTGTCCTCATGTCGTGCACAGAGATCAATAAATGCTTGAACTGTCTGGTTCGGATCGGCGGAGATATCGGCGCGTTGCGCTGCCTCGACCGTGCGGATCACATCGTCGATGAAGACAGCAAAGTCGGTAATACTGCTGTACACGTTGGCTGATTTGTAGACTCGGACCAATGGCTCGTAGAAGATTGTAAAGAGATCGCGGAAGAGTTGAAGAGTCGTCGGTTCTTCAATGATCTGGAGCATCATCTTTTTGTCCCGTTGTCGCATGTACAATTTCAAGAGCTGCTTCAGGTGTGCAAAAAGCTCGGCCCCTTGACGCATGTCATCGTCGACGTTTTCCACCGCATTATTCCAAGCCACATAGGCGTTGAAGACTGCCCCGATTTGGTCCTCGGACAGCGCTGGTCGGAGGAATTCAGTACGAAGAATGACCACGAGAAGATCGACATCGTCGTCCTCCGCCTCCTGTCGTAGGATAGTCTTGACGTCCTCGTCTGCGTTGGTGTACGCCTTGATCTTTTCGCAAAATGTCGGGTTCTTCACTTTGGTGGAAGCCAACGTATCAATTGATTTTTGAACGGCGTTGATTCCATCGCTAATGGCCATGCCGAATATGCGTTGCATCAAAGATCGTGATCCAAAGGGCTGTGCAAGGAACAGGTCAAGAACTCCACTCATGACCGCTGCAGGGTTTGCGATGCGGATGACGTTCTTCATCACACCGTACGGGACCATGGAATGTATCCTCTTCAGCTGAGCAAACAGATCCGGGGAATTATCCTCTGCAAGGAACAGATGATAGATGGTTGCTGCAACTCTGACGCAAAGTCAGTGACAGTTGTGTTTGGTACCTCGCGTGAACTTACTCTATTCGACACCATTCAGCAAACTTTTGGTATTCGGGCTTTAGCTGTGAGATCTTGTTCTTTACTCGTATCTCCTGGAAAAGGTGCGACAATCCATCTGGAGCCCGTTCTGTTAATATCATCAAACGCCCTGACAGATTGCTCGGACAACTTACTAGCTTCGACGATCTCTCTGCGGAACATCTCCATGTGCACGTCAAGTTCAGCAGCCCTTTGGCGGGCTATCTCGTAGAACTTTCTCTGTTCTTCGATCCGCTTTTCGTCCATTTCCTTTCGACGTTCGGTATCAAACATTTCTTCTTCGTTGAGGACCACAGTATTCCCAGTAAGGAATTCTGTCATGGCATGTGAATTTGCAATCTGTTCGTTCTTCAGGAAAGTCCGAAGGAATGCCCTCAAAGATACACGTTGTTCTTCCCGGTACAGGACATGCCGAGACTCCAGACGGTACATACTGTCACCGGAGGGTCGGCGGGAAGGAGAAGGTCCTCGAGATGACGCCTTAGATGCGTTGCGTCTATGGCCACTCTGGAAAGGCAGGTAACTCCGCAGCCCGCCGCTACCACTGTCAGCTGTGTTTTCAGCTCCATAGTTGGCTCCTGATGTATCTTGCGTTGATACAGAAGACACGGAATCCGTATCATTATCATCCTCAGGGTTCGGGCTTAGGTACGAGTTCTTCTTGTTTCTCCTTGGCAGAGGAGGGAGAACTTTCCCAGGCAGCTCCAGCCTAATTCTCTTATGCAGATTCACAAAATCTGTCCACGTACGTCCGACATAAACTTCAGGCCTACCTTCTCGTTTGACCCGGAGAAGGTATTCCTAGCAAGAGTCAGCAATGCACGCAAAACCAATATCGTCGAATAAAATCGAATTCTTCTCATCGAACGTACCGCGTGCGTATGATACCTGATGTGTCTCTTCACGGACTTCGTCCTTACTCCCGCGACGTTGACGTCCCAGCCGTTGATAGGGTGCCCTTGTGGCTTGTTGACTACAAGGCCATTCTCATTTGCGCCACGATCTACCACCTCCATCTCTGAAAAGCGTATCCTCTCTTCATAACCAGATGCCGTAGGTATGGCAGACACCATCATCAGCTCGACCAGCTTTTCTGCTTTAGCCGCAAGTTTCCTCCGCTTCGTCTCTTCTAATCGGTCTTCGGACGAGGAAATGTGCTTGTTCGCAAAAGACTCCAAGAACTGCGCATTGCCCCCACGTGTCAGCAGTTACCCCCAGAAGCTGGGACGGCGCGTACTAACCACTTGCAACTTGTCCTGCCAAAACTCTTTCTCTCTAGCCTGGTCGAGGAAGGGGAAGTTGCGAACATGGTGTACGAAAATGTAACGCAGCAAAGGAAGTTCTGAATCCTCAGGCGCAACTTCCCCAGCTTCAGACCTGAACGGCGCTCCGAACCGCTGGAGTGCAGTCGGCGAAGACAACTCGGCAATTTCATACTTCGTTTGCAGGGAAATAAGCTCACGCTTGAGGTCTGCGACGACGTGAGTACTGCGGGCCTGTGGCACAGCCAAAAACGAGGAGATGCATACAGTGTTCTTGCTTGCCCGTCAATATCGAGCCCGGCGGGGGCACAGAAGCCGAGGAGAACTTGGATGTGTATGAAGTCGACGAGCGCGACGGCTTCAGCCGGGCAGGCGGCTGCGGTTCCTCAGGAGCTTCGTAGAACATCTCGTGTTCTATTCTGGGCACCGATCCTTGGCCGTCTTCGTGCGATGTGTTCCAGGCCGCTTCGCCGTAGTCGCCGCTGGCGTCTCGTTCGATTGCGACGGGCTCGTTGCTGCCATTGGCGGGGTTGCTGGCCATGGTGGGAGTCGCGGGCAATGGCTGCTGCGCGCTGGGAAGCGGGCGAGGCGTATCTTATTATAGAAGAACGGAGATCGTGTGGAGCAGCAGGACGGCAGCGGGCTCAAGGACAGCGATGCGGTCTGTGTGAGGCATAAAACAAAAACAGCCACGTTGGGGGCGCGCTCTAGGCCAGAGTCGCGATGACGACGTGCACCGGGCTGAGCTGCGGAGGGTGCGAGCTGAGTACGCGGCCAGCGCTGCCGGTCCGACTGCCAACGTCACATTCCTCACAGTGTGCAATCATGTGGTGCCGACGCTGCCGGCTTGGACGAGCTCCCCGCAAAGCTTGGCGCTCGGGCTGTCTTGCATTACTTGCTACTTCGTACTAGGTATGTATCAATCTGAGAGTCGCCGCCCCCGCCCCCACAAATCCACCTCCCTCTGCAAGCTTAGTAGTTGAGCTCTCCAACGCTGCCGCCTGCTGCGTCCAGGTCCTCATAACTCTTTAGGCTGCGGCCCTGGACCGCCTCGCGCGGCCCAATGGCTGCCGAGCCCCCGTCGGTGAACCGGCCCGTGCCAGGCCTTGCGCCGCTTCCTCTGGGCGGCGTCAACCGGCCAGATCCGCTCCAGCGCATGCCGCGTGCATCCTTCTGCTGCCGATCGTAGGGGCCTGCCGCACGACTGCTGTAGCGGGACCCTTGGTTGTTCCGCCGCATGGGGCCTGCGCCGTGGCGATCGTCGTCTCCGCCCATCCCACTGAGTCCGTTCGCCATGCCTTGCTGGCCGAAGAAGGCCGAGAATGCCGCTGGGTTGGGAGGCATGCCGGGGAAACCAAAGGGCATGCTCGCGAGGTTGAAACCGCGCGGCGTGCCCGTAGGCACATTGTTGTGCAGTGGGAAGTGACCGTTGCTGTTGGCATCGCTGCGAGAGGGTGCAATGTGTGCTGGGTCCAGCACATACCTGTTTACCATTTCAACCTGTCATGTCGTTAGCATTCTGGGCAGAATTATAGGCTTGGCCTACGCACCTCATATTTGAGCTTCTCAAACCATTCTGCGTGTCGCTTCTCCACGTGCTTCCTCCAAAACGGATGCCCTTTGAACAACTTGGTGCATTCAGGAACCTTGCATCGGAATTTTGCTTCGTCTTCCTGCTTGACGTATTTGTTAAGCTCGTCCTCCAGAGCTTCTTCAAGAGGCTTTCCACCAAGTTTCTTGATATCAACATTTTCCGGTTCCAGAATCTGGAGAAGTTTATCCTCATACGTCTTCACCCAGTTAAAGGCCCTTTGTAGCTGTTGTTGGGTTTTGCTGCCAGTTTTGAAGGCCTTTCTTTCTTGATTTGGGGAAGCTGATGGATCTTCTTCTGGTCCAGTGGTGGATTCCTGCTTCTTCAGGGGGAAGGGTTGTCCTGCGGCACTGGCTCTTGCCGCCGACTTTGCCACGCTGGTCAAACTGGATCGAGGACGGCGAAGGTGTCCACCGGGGCACTTTCTCGTGAGTTCGTGAACTGAATCACTCTCGAACACGCAGAAAAAACAGAAGCTGAAAACACGACGGAGGTACTCAACAAGAAGATCAAGCTTCTTCTTTTTGGCCAGTAGTTCCTCGTCGTCTACTTCTTCATCGTAGGTTCCTTCATCTTCGTCTAAGTTGACGTCTTCGCCCTCCTCCGGTTCTTCGGGCTCCTTCTCTTCTTTCTTCTGGGCGCTGGGCACAATCATAGGGGGTTGCAATGCACCCTGGCTCCGAAGTGCCTCAACTTTCTGTTCGATTTTCGCGACGCCGTTGAAACCGGACCCTAATTCTTCGTCGAGCTTCGAGACGAGACGAATTGCCAACTGAAGATCTCTGTCGATCCTTTCGGGTGCTGAGAACAGATCCCAGAGAGCCTTCTTCCGAGGTGCAGCTGGTGGCTCATGGACACCTACATGGCAGGTGAAATCGCCACGGACCTCATCCTGGATTGTCTTGCCGTTAATTTCAGTCAATGCCTTCTCTGCAGTTGAGACAAAAGGCACTTCAGCCTCAGATCGAGTTCCATCCTCTTCCTCGCCATCTTCCTCTCGACCATCACCTCGGTCGTCCTTCATTAGCTGCTCGGTATTCGGGTTCAAGATGACCCAACCGATGCGATGGCACTTCTTAAGCGGGTTGGGATCGCTCAAACTCAGCCATTTGAAACCACCTTCGCCTTCTCCCAAATGCTCTTTGCAGAATGCTTCCATCTTCGTTCGACTGACAGTGGGGGCAATAGTCTTGATGAGCAGAGTAGGCTGAAGTGCCGCCTCATCGCGAAGGTCACCCCCCTTGGAAGGTAGGAGATCACCCACGCCAAGAACTTCATTCGCGGCCGTGGTCTCGCCCTCTTCTTTCTCGATGACACCACCGGCTCCATTGCTCTCGTTCTTGTAGATACCCTCAAGCGTGAAGTCATCGAAAGAGCCATTCTCCAAGTCGCGTTCCCAATTGCTGTAAATCCCGCTCCTGTACTCGCTAAGGTGCTGCCGGAACGCATCACGAGCCTCTGGGTCATAGCGCTCCTTGAACCACTCTTCGCCTTTGTGTTGCTGCACGAACGTCTTCGCCATTTGGACCTGAAGTTTCTCCTTGTACGCATCGTAGGCCGCCTGTATCTTTTCTCTTTCCTGGCCGCGCTCTTCCCGAGCTTCACGCTCGCCTTTGACACGCTCGACTCTACGACCTCCATTCTGCTGCCGTTCCTTTTCCTCCTTGACGAGCTGATCCATGCGCCACCACTCGGCAAACCAATTGAATCCAACTTGGTAGTCCAGTGTTAATGGATTTGGCAGAGGATTGGCAACGGTAACCGGGGCGGGGTCTTGGCCAGGGACATATCGATCGATTCCTGCCTGGATTGGTGGGGGAGATGAGCGCCGACGGTGGTGAAGATCGTCACGACCGCGGTAGTAATCATCTCGTGACGAACGATCCGGTTGGTATCTATCGATTATTTTCGGAGATCGGGATCTCTCGCGTCCGGAACGAGCTCTTGGACCTGCTCATGCAAAGTTAGTTAAGTTTACGCCAGATACGATATGAACTCGGGCGCACGTCACGAGTATCCCTTTAATGCCAGCCCTGCTACCGCATAGCATGCAATGCAGCTTGGCATAAGAAAAGAAGTGTACTCATAAGTCTTGCTGGGACTAGAGGATGCAAAAGGGTAGGTGATTGAAGGGTGAAAGGCATTTCAGAAGTTATACCCTCATAAACGCCAGGGCTGTTGGACTTACCAGGAGATCTCCGCCGGTAGGAGTCGGTGGTCGGTCGATCTTCGCGACTGTTTCGACGGCTGTCAGTATACAGAGCACAATAATTTGTAGACACGAAGCGATGGAATAGCCAATAAGTGCAACTGGATTTGATGTCCATCCGGGGTATGGTGTGTGGTCGTCCCTTCGGACAGAATGTAACATACCCGTACGACTCCATGGTGTCAGTCGTGGTATTTTCTCGGCCGTGTCAAGTTGTAAATGTGGACAAGCGAAGGCAGACGTTGACCTTAGGGAGAGGGTAAAGAAGGCCGGTAAGAGAGTTGCTGTTAGTCGGTCAAACGATTGCGTTTGGGTTGAAGTGGCAGGCAATTGCGCATCCGACAGAAGCTGTTTGCCAACATGACTTGGAGTTAGAGAGGCACGTCAATTGGGTGATGGAGTGCGTGGTTTAAGGAAAGACAAGAATAAGAGCGGAAACAAATGAACAATGAACGTCGGCAGCCCGTGGGAGAGGATAAGAAGTAGATAAGGCGGGGACTGGATGAAGGGCGAGCAGGAACCCGCGAACGAAGGGCAGGGAGACGGTAAGGTAGGTAGGTAGGTAGGTAGGTAGGTAGAGAGGCAGAGAGACCAACAATTCGGAGCAGCGAAAGAGACGCCGAAGGCCAGTGAGGAGACACTCACGATTCGCGTGCGCGGAGGCTGCCGGGGGAGATGCAGGCACGGTGGGTGGTGGTGGAGGGTGAGGGAGAGGAGGTGGAAGCTGGAGCGGGTGTCGCTGGCCGGGCGTCTCGGCGCGTGGAAGAACAAGCCGACGGGGCCCGTCCGCGCGCGCGTGAACCTGGAGAAGCGGCGAGTCGTGCGAGCGGCCGGGGTTAGTACTCTACTCCGTCATCCGTACAAATACGGCCGTTAGGGTATGATGTAGGTATATACCTACATACATGTTGTAGCTATCGCTCACTCCCTTCACTGCCCGTCACCTGTCACCACCATGACGACCTACGTGCCCCAGATCACCCTTCCCGCCGCCCTCTTCGCTGCACCCGCCGCGTCCATCCTGTTGCCCGTCGTCGCCGGTAGCAGCGTGGGCTACCTCACCCGCCGTACGCTCCCTGCAACGCGTCAAGGCTCAAACACATGCTGACTCCTCGCTCAGCCCAGACGGACAGCAAGTACAAGGCCCTAAAGCAGCCGCCTTTATGTCCACCGGCCTGGGTTTTCGGCCCTGTATGGACCCTGCTCTATGCGACCATGGGCTACGCCGCGCACCGCTCTTGGTCGACTGCCATGGGCTCGTTTGACGGCCACAAGGTGCTGAGCGCAAAGGTCAGTCGATCGCAGATCCCACCATCCGCTTTGACCTGACGATCAATAGCATGGCGCGACACTCTACACCATCCAGCTCGGGCTCAACCTGATCTGGATGCCTCTATTCTTCGGCTTCGGTCGTCCCATTGAGGCCACGGCAGACATTGTCGCCCTGACTGGTGTTACCGGGTACCTCGCATACATCTGGAGCCAGGTTGACCAAACAGCCGCCTGGCTTTTGGTGCCCTATCTGGGCTGGCTAGGCTTTGCTACCTACCTCAGTGTATGTGTAGACTTGTCTAAGTGATTGGATTTGTGCTAATTCATGTTCTAACAGGCTGGTTGCGGTTATTTAAACAACTGGAATTTCAAGGGAATTGGTAGTACAAAGAAAACTCAGTAAGGTCTTTGTAGTTATGTAGTAAAAACATACAGTGGTACCTTAGATACATTATATTGTCGGATAGCAATTAGAACCCTTTAGGCGTAGGCAGATTTACGTATGAGTAAATACGATTATCTGGCATAGTAGTATAATACTATAATAGAGTAAGGTCTACTACATTTTACATCCGTCTAGTATAAAATACCTACGAAATCCGATTCTTTTTAGTCTGGTTAGCTTAGTAGTAATATTAATCGGCTATTTACCGAGATACACATGTTTCTTCGAATATTTTCTAAGATACACATAATATTTCTAAGATACACATACATAAAAAATCTCTCTGAGATATACATATTTTTATATATTTCGGTTATAAATAAATATATTATAGTATATTATAGAAAACATATATATCTCAAAGAAAAAAATCTAAATATATGTATATCTTAGAAATATATCTCTAAAAAAAAAAAAAATTAGAAAATTATTTCGAAAAATAATGTGTATCTCAGTAATTGTTTTTAAAAAATAAATATTGTAAAAAAATAATAGATAAATATACTCTTAAAGAACACCGAATGTATTCCAAAAAGTTAACATACTCTTAAAAAAAATCAAATATATTCTAAAAAAAAAAAAATTTAA